TGCGACGCGACCAAACGAAACGAGACCGGACGAGATGCGACAGCGTCGCTCGATCATTAATGCGCGGACAAGTTTACAGTTTCCGAATATAAATTTTCCTATTTATCCGCCACGAGATGACCGATGTAAAATGTACAGTTACCCTCGAGAATTAGATTTAACGTGCAACGATATCTTTTATACGCGTACAACGGAAGTTGACGATATTTAAAAGACAACGTAACTATTCCGAAATGGTAAAATCTTTCCTATAAATATCGTTACCGTTCCTACAAAATTCTTACAAAAGCCAGGAGGAAACTCAAACGTTAAAGAATAGTTCCAGCTTCAAATGTATAGGAAATCAAACGATAAATTGCGTCCCTTTAACGCAAAAGGCTTTAACGGGATCAAATTGTTCGGTTTACCGGGTCTTTTTCTCTCAGGGTAGAAGCGAACGCAACATGTAAATGACGCCCGTCGAACAATAGAATTGTCCACCCTTATTACGAGAGCACGAAATGTTCGCTTCTCATTAATTGACGATTCAATTCCAATTGGATCGAAACGATGCCCTCTTATAACTATGAATCACTCGATCGTTCGTTCCTTTAAAAGGTCAAGTTCGCATCGATTACCGCTATTCGGTAATTGACAAATACCGTTACAGGGAAATTCCACGGATTCGCTTTGCATTGAAATATCGTTAAAACATAAATTGTTCGTTACGTCGTCTTTTTACGGATGTCGGCCGTACTTCGATAAACGTTCGTCTTCGGTGTGTGGGTTTTTATCGAGTATTCGATCGCGCGAGCAAATCGCTGCATGGACGCGAATGCCTTCTGCCCCGAATATAGGCGCTACTCGTGGAAGTGATTTCGTCGCAACAGCCATTGCGCGTAACCATCGAAGGGTGAACAATGCAAGCGTAACTCATCGATACCTAATTTAGCCCGTCATTATTTCCGCAAGCCCGGGCGAACAATTTGGATTTATATAATAATGGTTTGCGATACAATGGATGCCCTCGTTGCATAAATTTTCTGCGTCCGCGAGCGTAACGCCATCTCCACCACTAGGGCGTGGCAGTGGCCACTGGCCACCCGCCGCATTGGAAATGCCTCGCGCACGATAAAAGATCGCTTTCGAACCATTTAAGGTGAAGCGAAACCCTCCTTAAATCGGTCGATTCGAATAAGACCCTTCGAGGACATTGGACCGAACCGTCCGAAACTTTTATCGCTTAAAAGCCGTATTTACCGGCAATGAGTAAAAACGATCGGTAAAGCTAGGCCGTTCCCTTGGAAATCAGCGAAAACGATTTCCTTCTTCGAGAGTCGATTGCCTTTGATTTCATATGAAAACAACAATGCGATTCGGTTTACCTGGGACGTTCGGCCTTAATATCGTGACAGTATTTCGACGATTTCCAACGATTTCCAACGATTTCCAGCTGATTTCAAGCGCTAAAATCCATGATTACCTGAGAGAATACCTCCTCGAGCTAAGCTCAAGAGAACGGAGTATCGTTTGAAATTTGCATCGATTTCGTTCGACCAACCCTAGGACTCGTTTTATCCACGATAGTCGATCGATAAAAAGGTAGTCGATCCGAATCGAATTTCCTAGGAGATCATTTCACTCGGTGGAGAGTCGCGGGTCCCTCCTTGTGCTCGCGTTATGCGCCCACGCGGTGGAAAAGTCGGGGGACATTTTGCATCCGTCTAAATTCTTACTTTTTGTGGTCGGTCCCACGGTCCCACGAGAGCGATGCACAATCCATGCATTATGGGTCCGCGAGGTGTCGATACGTAGGAACGACGGCGGCGAGAGCAAGGACGGGCTCGTCCCGATGTTACCGGGACGTTGCCGGCTATATATAGGTGCCCCTGAGTGAGCAAAAATCACCCTAGAAAAATGTGGATCAAAGGGCCATTCACCAAGCGCATCGAGTACCCTCGTTTATCGGAGCGTCGGCCCCTTCCACGCGTCGCCCACCGGCCGACGTCCATGTTTAGTAATGGGTCCGCGTCCACCGCATTAACCGGCGATGTAACCGGCGATCTAAACCGGCGCGGGCAGAGACAGAAGAGAAACACCGAGAGCCGTGGACGGACCCGACCCAGGAAGCGACGTCTCGACGGATGTAGGTGTAGATGTATATCAAGGGCATCCGGCCACCTAGCCTATTCAGGGCGTAACCTCAACCTCGGTCAACCTCGGACGCGGAGCGTGCCTCAGAGTCCGAGATATCTTGGAAGACTCTCGCGGTCCGTCCCTCTTTTAGCCGGTGGGTATCCCACGAGGTCTGACAAATTTCCAGTACCACTTGGTGGCAATGACGTTAACGTTTTGCTTTCCCTTCCCCGAAACCTTGACAAAAGACGGATTTCATTATTTCATCGGTAGATGTGGTTTTACGTTATTACGATCGATTTTAGGGGCGAAGAATCGAAAGGATACGACTATCCGGAACGAGCGCGTTTTAACCCTCGAAATGACTCCGCGATGTTCGAGATAAAAGGAAAATGACGTTTATCGGTGTTGTAAATTATTTGGAAACGAAACGGACGGCCCTGCCAAGATACGGAAGGGGATATCCACCTTTTCGATATTTTATTACGAATGAACGGTGCCGTATTTTTGTCGATGACTCGGCTCTGAAAATAAAACGCTGTAACGACAATTTTGTCTACGCGATATATACCGCGCGATCGCGTAAATTACTTAACCAACCGTTTGGATGCAAAACGTAGCCCTACGAGTTGAAAACGAAGCGATCGCGAACTCACTTTTCAGCGATCGTACGACGTACACGTGGAAAAATGCATTAGCTGGAAGGACAAAAATGAATTCTCGAGTTACCACGATATCGGAGGCGCCGTGCTCGCTCTCGGACCGATCCGAGCCTGCCTCTTAAAAGATGGCTGGCCCTTTCGATCGCTTCGCCGCGTACCTACATAGGTGCGGAGGAATCCAAGGAGGAGACGCGCCGCCCGCGCGCGACGCCCACGCGCGACGCTCGACGTCGTCCTTACGAGGGGCCGGGGATGCGGCCGGGGATGCGACCGGGATGCACCGTCTCCCACGCGTTCGGGGATCGGGTCGCGGTTAATTTTATATATCCTCCTAACGTACGATATCCGGTGGCCGTTTGCGTACGTCGGCACCGTCGTCGGTGCATCAATAAGATACCGGATCCTCCGCGGGGCGGCGCCCGAAACGAGATAAGGCCGATGGGCAAAAAATGAAAAAATCGGCGGAGGTCGAAGGAGGGAGGGAGGCGAGGTATGCGTTAGCGCCGAGTCGACTTTATTAGCGCGAAGGTGCGAAAACGCGGCTTCGGCGGGTGCCTCGTTCCTGAAGAAGCGGCGTCGGGGACGACGTTATCGACGGTGGTGTAGGTTCTAAGCGTACTCGTTGGCCGAGCTGGTGGAAGTAGTGCACTGGCCCGTGCTGCCCGAAATACTCGGACACGGCCTCCCTTCGCCTCCTCTCGCCTCCCCTCGCCTCCCCTCGCCTGCCCTCGCCGCCCCTCGCCTCCCCTCGCCGCCCCTCGCCTCCCCTCGCCTCCCCTCGCCCCGAGGAACGGGAAATCTCTGCGGCGATTCCGTTCCCGAGAGAACGACTTCTTCTCGACGCGAGGCGAGAGCCAACCCGACGAGAGGTTTCGAACCGATAGGACCGAACGGGGAAGCCGAGGGACTAGGATTCGTCTTTGCGTTTCTTCCGATCGCCCTTCGAACGACGAGGTTGGGTCCTTCCTGGGTTCCTTCAACCCCAATCGATACTTCGACTCTTCGACTTCGTCGCGACGCGTAGTCGCTCCAAAGACTCGGAAAGAAGAGAGGCAAAGTGCTCGCGTACCTTGGGCCAGGGCTAAAAAGGCGCAACGATCCGTTTCCGGGCTCGTAAAGGTAGTCGCGGTAGTCGAGTTCCAGTCGCCCGCGAATCGTACCTCGTTCCTCCTTGCACTTAATTCTTTCCCTTGAGATGTCGCGAAAGTGGCGTCAAAGTGGTACCCTCGGTTCGGAGAAAAGTTTCGCGAACGATCGACCCCTCGGATGTCACTTTTGCATCCCCTTAAGTAACCCGAGCGTCAACTTCGGGCGGAGACGCGAAATCCGAAATAACCCCGGGTGAGGGGAAAACGTCTCGTTGGATCTCCGAATTTATAATACCGGGGACGGACGGGGAGTCCGCCCATTCCGATGGACCGGCGCGGTCCATTGGCCGACCGCCGAGCCAGTGGAAACGCCGTTGCTGCGCTCGTCCGCTCTTACTACTCGCGGCCCGCCGCCTAGCCTTCGTATTCACGTTGGAAGGTTTGACGCGACTCGATACCCCCAAATTCGGAGTAAAGTTTCATAAACGAGACCTCTTTGATGCCACTTTCGCGTCACCTTAAAGGAAAGATTCGATTCTAGGATTTTGTTAAGGAAGGACGCGTAAAGCGTTGAAATCGACTCGTTAAAAGTCTCGAGGGTTCCGTAGCCCCTTAGGTAACGGAGTCCGTTCTCGGGGCCACCACGCGGAGCGACGCGCACCGACGATGCTGGGTGCAAGCCAAGAATCCCGAGTGCCCGTGTGGTCCATCGAGATACCTCACACTTTTGGACCCGCGGTACCCTTTCGGAGTTACAAAATGAATATTTAAGTTACCCACCGCCGTTAGGACGGACGAACGCGACGAGGCTTCGATTCGCTCCGCCGTGCCGCTCCGTACCTTTCTTTCCTTAACCGTGACTTACGTGTAACGCACTTTTCAGTCATATTTTCGTACGTTTGCCTCACAAAATGTTCAATGCTCAAGAGCGTATCCGGCGGAAGATGGAAAACGAAAGCGCGAAGAGCCGATAACGCGATCGTCCGGGAGAACCGGTCGTTCAAAGGAACGGCCGTCACGTGACTCGACGGGCATGCGCGCGCACTCGCGCGTAGTCGCGCGTAGTCGCGCGCAGTCGCGCGCAGTCGCGCGCAGTCGCGCGCAGTCGCGTGGATCCGGTAGAAGCGCGGCTTAACGACGCGACGGAGGCGCCGCGACTGTGCGCGCGGGTAAGAAAGAGACGGCCGGCATCGTGTCAGGAGGTGGTCAGTCGTTTTGTGTCTGCGTCCCGTCTAAATATACGCAAACGCGATGCGACGTGCCGTGCTCGACTTTGTAGAAATCTATTCGTCGCTCTCACTCCGGTCGGACCGAAAGCACCGGAGAAAGAGAGGGAACGCGCAGGATGGATCTCTTGTCCGAGGTGGGACGAGTCGATCGAACGAACGCCCTCGGGACGGAAGAAACGGAAGAAACGGAAGGAAACCAAGTTCGACGTGGCTTTTGCTGCGCTTAGGATAGTGGCGTAGCGTCGACGCGAAGGGCACCCTTTCCGCTTCGCGGAAAACTACGTCCCCAAATTTATCATCGGCTTTTTCGCGGTATACGTTGAACGGCACTTTACGCGATCGGCCATTGAACGTTACTACATTGTACATAAGCAGTAAACTAAACGCTGTATCAGGAAATATAGAGTTCAAAAAGAGATTCAAGCGACACGGTTTGCCCGATGAAATAGTCACACGGAATTAATGCGGATAGAATTTGCAGCTGTCGAAAATGATTTGAGGTCTAGCAGCTGAGCAAACAACATTGTTCATTAATGTTGCGTCGTTTGTGTCTCTGCTCGTTATGGAACGTTTCCAATGTCGCCTCGGTGCGAGCTTCTTGCCGACACAAATGCCTTCCGAAGCGCAAACGAGGAATTGCTTGCAAACAATTGTTCTCGTTGGTTCTTCTTCCAACGGATTCGAATCCGTTGCGAACGACGAAGATCATTGGTCGGCGATGGGAAGCATCGATAATAATGCATTACTGATTCCAGCCCGAATATTACGTGTACGGGTCATCGAAGAAGAATCGACTGTCATCACCAACAAGGTCGGTCGCTTAACGATTGCTGCTAATCTCCCCGTTATTGGACATCGGCCGACGACAATGGGATCGAAGGTGGCAGCGATTTTACGTCATCGCATGTACGTATTATCCAAGCCCTATACCAGCCCGATAAACAAAATTGTTTATCCAAGAAGACATATCGTAAATCGTTGCATAACCGGAGTTGACATCGTAGGTTAGCAGAATTTAAGGTTTCTACGAGCTTCGGAAACGAAGCCTTACTTCATTTCAGGGTTTGGATCGGGCACGTAGCGAGATGATCTATACGGAGAACTTGGAGCAACTGGAATTCTCTGTATCTCGAGTTCATCGCTTCATCTTATGTTTCCAACGATATCGCGGTCGAATACACCTTTGAGCGTTAGGTATTTCGAAAAGAATACAAAGGTGAGATTTAATATTGTATAATTTACTTCGCATAGATAATTTATTCTTCGTATGTATTGGAACGAATACCGTGGAACGGTGATGGCATTCCGTGCCCCTACTCATTCGACTGTCCTATGATAGGGAAATTGCGAATAAATGAAAGATGGGTACTCGATGGAAGTTTCCAACCCTGACTCTCGGGCTTTTCCGTTAGTTCGCAAATCGTCCCAGATATTTTCTAGGAATCGAAACGGCAAATCTCGCGTCTATCGTCCTCGGCTTTGGGGTCGAAGTATAGGATCGGGCAACTCGAAGGGACGCGACCGAAACAAACTACGCTGTTAAAAAAATGCATAAAATGCATCCACTCTTAGAACGTAAGGTTGAAGTAAGATTATAAATGTGACGTCTTAACGGTGAATTTATATACATTCGTAAAATTCTGAATAAACGTATGGGAATGATAGGAAGGTTCGGGACCGTCTTAACTCGCGAACACGTGGAAGTTGGCCACTTTACACATTGGCTTACTAAACTCGCGGGCAACAAGGGCCGCCTTGTAATTGTGGCTGCGGCCAATTAACCGCTAATCTCAACTTGGGGATCATCAGCCGACATACGTGAATAAATTTCATTTACACGGTACTCTTGTGTGTCCGTCGTAAGGTCCTCCGGATCGAGAACGAGGGCTCGCCGTTCCGGAAAGAAACCCGAAGGAGTCGAAGACTTTTTCGATCCGCCGAAATCTCGTTGCCGCACCCATCGACATTTTCTTTGCTACTAGGGACGTTGGCTTCCCTTTAACCCTTTTAGTGCCGCACAACGACATATCGTCGTTTTGCAAGTGCCAACGACTTCGTCCGGCACTAAAAAGGTTCAAAGTTGGTCGTACGTATCACGAACCCGTAGAGGAACGTTTCCAGCCGTTATCGTAGTTTACCGGAATGCCAGTTTCCCGCTCGAGTACTGCCTGGGGTGTACTCGGTAATTCTCGTCGGCGACCTTCGCGCACTCGCGATTACGTACGCGTCACGTGACAAGCGCACTTTGATCCCGATCTTTTAGGCCGCGACAACGATCTCTCGATTGCGGCCTCGAGGCGATCGAGGGAAGACGTCTCCCGATGATCCGTCCTTTCGCTCTTTTATTTCGCTCTCCTGAATTATCTACGAGCACGATTTGGGTCAACGACTCCTTGGACGTGCCGACGAACTCGCCGATAAAACGATCAATTGCCCCGAGCCGAAACTTTTGAGACTTCGTCAAAGCTAGTCGATATCTCGGCCAGTCTCGGGCAGGAGGGCCAAATTCGATTTCGCGCCGTTACGTCTCCGTTAAAAAAAAAAAAAAAACCCCGCTAGACGTTATATCAGTCGCATACTAATCTCGCGACAGGAGATGGCTCTCAACGATCGTTTTGCTCTTTTACGCCGCGCTCGTAAGTTATCTACCAGCGTAATTTAGGTCAACGACGTGTCGGACGTTGCGGAAAGCTAAACGATAAGTGAATTGCATGAAATAATGGTGTTTATTAGTCGGATCAGTGGACGAGCGCGAGTCAGCGTTTTGGTCCCCGACGAGACGGACGGTCCACGTTTCGTTCAATGTACGGTAAACCAGGGATACGCGAGACCGCTACTTTTTTTAATCAAAATAATTACCCGCATGTCCGGCCCAATCAAGATAAAGATTAAAAGTCATAAAATATCCGACGATTTACGGATTTTGAAAGAGACATTTCTTGAAAAAAAAATCACCCTTACTCAAACTCGGGAAAATTTTGCTCCTTTGCGACCGATGCCAGTAATTCGGACGAATGTCAATTTTAGATCCACGGACGGAGAATCGCGCGTAACGACTGGGCTTCCGTCCGTTCGGCAACAAATGTCCGAATTACCCCTCTAACCGATCTGGCGATCGCTAATCGCAAAATCGAATTTTATTTTTCGAGGTTTTGGCCAAGTTTTTCGTCATTCTCGCCAAGGTGCGCCGGGAAAAACGCGAGATATCGTCGGAAAACGGTGCCGCCCGGAACGGGAAGAGTTCCAATAAAGAAAGTCTCGGCGGGTCGCGGCGTTCGTCGGAACGGAGGGGAAAACATGATATCGCGTTGCGTGGGCTGCCATGAATTCCCACCTTTAACCTTGATCGCGCACTCGTGCCATGTCGGTGGGCCGTTCGCAACTGGCGTCGTCATCTCGCCAGGTCGGCAGCGCCTGCCGCGCAGTCTGGCCGCGGACCGGCGTGCGTATTATTTCGAGATGCGTGCCGCCTATTCCGCTCTTTCTTCGGCGGCGGCGGCGGCGGCGCCGCCGCCGCCCACGTTAAATCACGGCCGGTAAATCACCGGTCCGCGGCCGACTTTTCGCTCGGAGCGACGCGACTCCCGAGCGCGAGGGCGAGTGCGCCTCGGACGCGTCGGGAATGTGTCAGGTGGCGAGCCGATCGGCCTCTCGTTAGCCCTAACGAGCAGGAACGGGAGGCCGACTAAACGGCGTAATAATTGGCACGGTTCCACGTCATCTCGAGGGACCGCGTTTAGTAAACGATTTCTCGACGGTCCCGGACCCCATTTTTCCTCGACGCCGCTCCTGTTTGCCCTCTTTGTCGCTTGCCCGACTGCCCGATTTCGGTACACCCCCGCGGACAAGGAATTCACGGTCGTAACGAGACATCTTACCCGGAGAAGGATAAAGGCCTTAGCCTTACGGAAGCCTATCCCGGTGGATATCGTTTTTTGCGATGCGGTTAAGAACTGTCCCATTAACGGATTAATCCAGTTCATTTTACTTTCTTACGTGTACAAGTAGCGGAAACGTTTCCGTAAAAGTCAACCGTAACCGTAGCTGAAAATGTCCCTTAACGTTAATAACGATGAAACCGATACATTTAAAGCATTACAAAATTGTAGGTGCAATGAAAATTAACGACACGTAGCATTTTTGCATTTCAATTGGATTGGATCGTTTTATTTTACGTGTAATACGTGATACGCGTGTTCGGCAAAAGTAACCGGTTTTATGACTCTTGTACGTTCGAGCAATGTACGGGTGAAAAATAATGATCGAAAAGAAAGTATTTGGCGCGAGGTGTAATTTTTTGGGGGTTAATTAAACGCTCGTGTAGTTATTAACGGTGTCGGAACGGTTCCGGATTGCGGATAGGCCCGTTTTCCTTCCGATTTATAAATATATCTAGAAGTAAATGCATAAAAAGGTACTACTCGAGCGAACGCGAGACGTCATACGAGCGCAAAGGAAAACAGACCGCGTCGATTCGGATTCGATTCGGATTCGATTCGGCACCTTTGCCCGGTTCGTTCAAAGGATTTTGCTGTCAAGGTTCCCGCAAAAATAGGAAAAATACTTGTACGCGACGCGTTGCGATAAACCGAGAGCCGCAATTACAACCGGTCGGTAAACTGACCCACCTACGTGACCGCGCGACCGGCGAGAGCACACCACCGCTCGTTCTTATCGGGTACTCCGTCCTCGAGGTCGACGGGGCGCCCAGGTAAGGGCTCGTTCGAAAACGCGCCATGCGAGCGAGCCCTATGGGAGGCGCAATGGGACGAAAAAGTTTCAATTTGTGATAAGTTTAAGGCGAAGCGAAAGACGTCGAGAAATTTTTCTCTGAACCTTACGAGGATCGAGACCTTCCTTGCAGCCTCCGTATTCACGATTCGAGGTCCCCAGTTCGGGGCCTCTTTGGCGCCACTTTCGCGTCGCCTTAATGCAAACGGGACAACGTACTTATTTATTTACAATTTTCGGAACCTTTGCCCGCTCCGTAACGTCGTCGATACGGAACAAACGTCGATATTAACCGCGGCCGTGCCCAGTTCTTCTTTCGACGTAAATCATACGCATTACGGATGACGAGCTTAAGGATTTGCATGTCACAAACGAGACGCGAGTCCACGGTGCGAGAAGATGTCTCTCATCCGTAATGACGCGAGCCTCGTTCGGGTTTATGAATCGCGCGTGGCGAAGAGTGCCCAACCCATATTCGGAATCCCAGGGAGGAGATGAACGGGAATTTTAGGGAGCGCCTTCGATTCCGAAGCGAGCCCCCGGCGCGAAATGTGCGGCTACGCCCCTGGTCGTGAGTCGCGCGTCTCGCGCGTCTCGCGGCGCAACATTTCGCACATTTCTTACATACCGAGGCGAGAGTGACGTATGATAATGCGTTCCCTGAATGTGACCACACGTCTCGTCGATAAAGCCCGGGACGGACCGAGCGAACGTAGTCTACCGACCGTTGGACAACGTTGAGTTCGCAGGGGAGAGACCGAGGTCGCACGTAACACGGCCAAATTTTAACGAACGTCGTACATTTTTTTCCCTCGACTTGGAAATGCGACTCCAATGCAAAAATGACTCTATGCATGCTTCGTAATAGTTCCATCGTTTGTTGGCCCGGGCTTTCCGCACTTATCGGCATGTTTCGAAGAACGGCACAGGGGAATAATATTTTCGGTTTGTACTACATTGGGGAGGGGGGGACTGATTTATTCATGACACGGCATCGTATAGACTCGTTCGATGCATGTACGATTGGGGCATTTAAAATGAAAACGTCTCTAAATAGTTATCGTTGTATCAATCGTTTGGCAAGGGACACTGGGAACGGTTGTAACTAGTCGGATCGATTACGATCATTTATATCGTCCCAAAATGATTCTATGAAATATATTCTCCGCAGACTATTTGAACGCGAGAATAACTAGTTTTTATTCTTTTCGGTTGATCTTTCAAATGAACAATTGGGGTTAAATTTGCTTCGACAAGGGTTACAATCGTACCCTGTACCGATTGCACGTTTAACAAAAGCATTTACTACAAAAGATAAAATTGCCGTTCCTTCGCGAACTTTCAAAGCGTTACAACGTAAACTATGTTTCAGAGGAAGATTCGGTTAATATATTTATCAAGTTTTAATCATAAAAAGCCATTGCAATCAATTATAGAAACGGAAACATGAAAGTTCTCCTGCTTCCCTAGGAGAATTTTTCAAACTGCATGGTATATATGATACATTGCCCGAAGAATTCTTAAAAAAAAAGACCAAAGTCACGTATAACGGTGGGTTAAAATTACCCCAGATGTGAACACGTTATAAACGTTCACCGGTAAGTATTAATATTACTGGCTAGTCGAGTCGTTTAACTTGCTATAAAGACTAGGTAGCATTTGCGCGACCACGTGATCGCGCCAATGCATACGTACACGAGCATGGATGTGTGCATGTATCGGCATTTGGCACGAAATTCTCCCGAGTTTCCTGGTGTCGATATATACCGAATGTTTCCGTACCATTACGTTTTACCGTTCAGCAGTTGACGAAGAATTCAAGCATGTACATAGAAAAAAAAATGTATACCGCGAGGAAACTGCTGTTGTACCTGGCGAACAAGAATGTCTTCCCATTACACCTCGGCGGCGCCATATCCGCGGAGAAGGCATTCGCGTCCGCCAGCGTACGAGTCATTTAATCCGTAAGAGGTTCTACGAGAACGACTCATCGGCTTTGAAAGAACGAACGCGATACAGAAATTCACGTTAACGAACGCAAAAAATGTATGCAATTTCTAACGATCGGTTGCGACAAGAACGTCACGACTAAAGTAGCAAATTTAAGCCGACCCGCCTCGAAAGAAGGTGCGTTTTCCGATACCCTTAATTACATCGGATGTAACGTCAAAATAAATGCAATAATTTGCTCGATCATCCGTAACTAGACATTTCGTGGAACGCACGATTTCAGAATGCATACGCACGGAAGGCATAAGCAAGGTTAAGCACCGTTTGCCAAAGTGCCCACCGGCGATACCAATGAATTCCAACTTAAAGCTTCGTCCACGTCCAAAGCACGGAGCACTCTATCTCCGGAAATCGGTTGCCGTAAACGTTGCGTGCCATCGGCAACGATTTCAACCGGCTAGAGCGGTTAACGAAGAAATATCAAAGGAAAGTTGCAAGCAATTTTCACGGACGACGCACGATATATCGTTGTTATTCGTTGGAACTCGCAATGCCGCGATTTCCTCTTAATTCCCTTTTTCGCCTCGTCTACGGAGCGCGAGTCGTTGCGAGCAGTCGGTTGCGTGCGATTTAATTACGTCGGCAACGAAGTGGCGGGAGCGATCACCCGACGCTAAAATTGCGTTATCCGAGACCGAGGGGGAATTTAGGGCCAATTGTCACGTTTCTGCTGAATTTCTGACCGACGCTTTTACGCGCGAAAGAAATTGCCGGCAATTCCCCGCCGAGGTCTCTTCAAAAACCGCTTCGCATCGTCGGCATCGAAACCATTGCCGGCACCCGCAAACGCTCATCCACGCGGAGCAATTTTCAGGGCAACTCGTTGTTTGCAAATTTCTCCTCGCAATAAATTGTCTCGTTTAAACGAGGTTTTGGACGATGCAATTTTTTGCGTCGCGTGGACGGGTCCCCCAATTTGTCGTCGTCGTCCACGCGGTTAAATCGCCCGCAACCGACTGCTCGCAATAAATTGCCCCCCCCCCCCCCGTAGACGAGACTTAACTGGAACGACTTTTCTATCGAGAGAGTTCGGACCGCATTCCTATCTCGTTACCGACATCATTTTATAGAGACACCGAAGTATCTTTCTCTGCCGAGATTCGTTGTCTCTCCTTCTTGGTCCACCCGGTATATGCGTTTCCCTTTCTTTTCTTGGCGTAGCGCCCCCGTCTGCCCATCCCGCGCTTTTTCGCGACAAACGTCCAATATTTGATTTACTTTCTCTCTTGCCATGGGATCGCCCGGGCGTTGCACTTTTTCTATTTCCGTTACTTGTACACCGATCGTCTTTGTCTTGGGTCGTCGTCGTTATGGGACGGACGGTACCACGATGCAAACGAACTTCTGGTCACGTCCGAATTCGTCGGCGACCCCAATTCGCGCGTGTCCGAAAACGACAAAAGTAAGTAACCGATGCGCAGAATTCCCAACTCCGTTGTCGGGACGCTTCGGAGATGACGTAAAGCCGTTGCCGATCGACTTCGGCCTCCCTCTAAGAGAGGGAGAAGCACGCGGGGAAATAGGGACTCCCTCTGCCCCCGGTGGAATTGCTCCGATTGGCGCCGACGATCGATGACGGGTCTCGTCGCGAACGTCGAAATGTTTGGCGAGGCGAGCAGGGATTAAAAGTTATCGCGCCCGAGAGCGAATTGCGCGTCTACGTCGACGTCGCCATTGGTACGGCCGAGGCGCGTCGAGCTCGCCTTCTTGCTCTCGAAACCCGCAGATCTCTTCTCGCAAGGTCTACGAAGACGTTTCGTTTTTCCGTTTTCTTTGAGTACGACGCGTCGCGGCCGATAATTGCGCGTAACGTTCGACTCGATCGCGGTTTCGTTGCGCGAGCACTTACGAAATGGTGGATCAAAAGCGACCGACTTTTCCCTCCACTCGTAGAAGCGATTGTCAAAATCGTTCGGAATTAATGTCTCCCTGATCGGCCGGTTGGTCCCCGCGTTCCAGGGTTGACGTTCGTTAAATATCAAATGTTTATTTTATAATACATCTCGAGCTATTTCCGAGGATATCTCCTCGAAGATCCCCCGCTCTAAAAGGGCAAAATCGCTACGGTTTCCTCCGCCGTGAATGAGCCGTGAGTATTATTTACCCGCGGTCGAGAGCCGACTCGACCCTTGGGTACATCAATTTTCTAGAGACACTCTCTCTCACCTCCCCTGCGAACGGGCGCGACGCGATAAATTACCATACATCTAGCGATCGTCCCTCGCCCTTGGCCATCCCCGTGACGCACCAATTAGTCGCTATACAAGTTTTTTCTCGTGGGCAGAAACCACTGTCCTTAATGAAGCGATAAATCGACTCCTCCTCCTCCACCTTTCGCGACCAACACCCTGCGCCCTTTCTTTTTTCCATTCGTCGGATTTTTTACAAGGTTTCGCTACTTTCTGTCCGATCGATTTCGCCGCGCCGGTCAAACGGGCCGCCATCTTTCATCCGAAATTAACGGCTCGATCCCCCACGGTCGATCGGTCGTCGCGCGAGGCTCGTTCGAGTCTTTTTCTTATTTCGAAGTCATAACTTCTTCATTTTCGTTTTTTTTTTTGGTTGTGGAGCATCCCTTGGAGATTAAAATGGCGACAAATGATGTCCAGCAACGAGGAAAACTCATTGAGTTCTTCCGTTCCAGTGAAAGATCATTTGTTCGAACTCGGAGAAAATACCGGCAACATTTTAATGTCAGAGTATGTCTTTGCGTTATTTTGTGAAACTACTTGAAACAACGGATTTGCGTAAATAAACCTGAAACGATTCACGGAACTTAAGGAGCCGCAGTTACCTAAGGGATCATTGGTGATACCTGATTATTTTTTTTTTTTTTAATAATCTCAACGAGTGAAACTCGACGTCCCGAATCGATTGAAACTTTGCAATATAAATACAGGGGGAACGAGGAAGGTCGTTAAACCCATAAAATTGAAATGAAGTCGGTATGCTTACCGGCGGCGCGATGGGGCCGCCTGGCCCAGTCGTCCTCCAGGAGCGGCGCGACCCTGCGTGCCTCCGACGTCGAGGGGCACACGAAGGTGGCGACCAGCACCGGGAACAGCGTCGCCGCGAATCCCTCGTGGGCCCGCATAACGGCGCGGTCTCGGACCGCTCTCGGACCGCTCTCGGACCGCTCTCGGACCACCCCCGGATCAGGTCGGGTTCCCGTCCGCGAGCCCTGCCCCGCTCATCCGAGGGACGGAGAGGGAAAGGCGCGAAAGCGGAAATCGGTCTCTTCCGCGTCGCGACGCGAGCGGGCTTCGGGTCACTCTCGTCTCGGTTACCGACTGGCCGACCGACTGACCGGTTGACTGACTGACTGACCGACTATCTCGGACCCGGGCCGCCTGGTGGGAGGCCACTACTGGCATCGGCGCGCGCGGTCCTTCCGCCCCCTCCGGGGTGGTCTTCCGACCGTCTCTCGCGGCGGCGGGAACTCGAGTGTCGGCACGTCGGTACCGGGCGTACCGGAGGATGACAACTGCCCGCCGGCCGGTTAACACCACCGCTTTTATGGCGGGGGCGGCGCGGCAGGGCGGAGAGGGGCGGGGCGGAGGCCTCGCGCTTTTGCCCGCGCACGCGCGGGCCTCCTCCGGCGCCAAGGGAAGGTGCGAGTCCTCGCGGCGGCGGGCACCTCCCCGACCCGACCCGACCCGACCCGACCCGATCTTCGGAGTCGCGCCCATCGTTTCCAAAGTGGACATAGCGGCCGATCCAACGGGGAATCGGGTCGAGTCCTTCCGAAATTCGTCAACGCGTCCGCGCTTAGGGTCCCGAATGCGGGATGCGGCCCCGAAACGGTTAAGGTGTGTGTAGAACGTCACGATATTTATCAAACTTTTCTCCGGACCGAAGGCACCGAATCGTAGGATACTTCAACGCGCGATTATGGAGGCCCTAAGAAAGAACGCGTTAGAGATACGTCGCCTCGTTTATCCAAAATTGTTTCTACCCCGCGAGATCATGCTCCGTAACGAGTATAGTTGTCACTTTCTTGAAACCTAATAAATTTAAAATATTTGTGAGCGTCCCTCTTTTGATGCGGAGATTAAAAATTTAGGTGAAAATATTCACGGGATGGTTAAGAAAATATTTGAGGACGTAGGCCTAGTCGGTCAAACGCCAAGAAGTCGTTCGGGAGGTAATACGAGGACGAGCCCATGTCGAATGGCAACCCGTCGTTCCGTGAAACGTTACGGTTGCAGTCTATATCTCTACATGGAAAGAAAACGTGCAGTTGCCGTTCCTAGAAAACTATTTTCTTTAGGGAAAAATCCAATTTTTTCAGTTACGGTAAAAACAATTTTTTACCAGGACAATTAAAAATAGTCATATCGACTAAATCTTTAACAATACGCACATAATTATAGTAATCGTAAAATGTAGCAAAGTACACAAAATTGCGAGAACGGAATATTGTAATACGTCTAAACACTTACGTTGCCGATGTTTGTATTTATATCGGATAACTGTGTTTAATTATATTGCGTATTGTTCTAAATGACGTACTCCATATATCGTTTCCGTACAATAATTATAAGCAAATCGAAGGAAAACTCAAAAGATCTCCTAGATTCGTGGTTTTCAATGCCCCAATTGACAATGGAGTGCCACCCTGTGTCGTCTGTGATTCCAGTGCCAACTGAATTTCCTCTCGGAGATCTCGCGTTACCGTAGTTTCGGCATAGAAGCGCGTACGACCCTTTTTCTGCCTCTACCCCGTTGAAATGCGAATTTGTCGATTACTAGTGTTCCGAATCGTTGTACAATTGTTCTGACACTTTCGTTTCTCATATCGAATACTTCGTAAACGTATCTCGATCGACGCCATTTTAGTTCTGGTCTAGGCCAAGTCAACGAATTTTTGTTCGAAAATCCAAATTTTTTAAGTGTCAGGACAATTCTTGGATGATCGCAAGTCATGTGTCAATGTTCCGGGTAATTCGGTCCAATACCCTTAAAAAAAAGTGTCTTATTCGAATCGACTGATTTAAGGGGATTTCACTTTACCTTAACCCTTTCGCGTTGGCGGAACTATCCATCGGTACGTCTCCAATGACCTGACGTAACGCAATTAGTGAAGGCCGGACATACTCGGCGTTAGTCAGGGCGAAGCATTTAATGGATGCCGGATATAAACGGCGCTAGTCGCGAAAGAGTTAATTCGTAATCTAACCGATCACATCAATTAGAGATATTCGGCTCAGCTTACCACACGAACGCCATGTAACACCTAGTAGCGGTTAATAAATTTAGAGACTCGATCCAACTGGGAACTTTAGTGGGTTCAGTGAATTTGAAGTGCAGATGGCGATACTGCCGCAATCATGCGGGGTTTTTCGTTTAGAAATCAGGAAAAGCGGTATCGTTTATTGAGAACTGATTGCTATTCATCCCATATGATGAACAACGATGTAATGCGGTAATAGGTGGCTGCCGACATTAAAATTTCTGTAATATCGTTTCGGCGAGCTTCAACGATTTCCTGTGACTTCCACTGCCGTTCCCGGCATTTTTTGTAATCCCCAACAATTTTCGGAAATGACAGATTTACAAATCTACGCGTTCCCCACTGATTTACAATAATCCCTGACATTTTTATGTCACTCACTACTGATTTTTAATGACAACCACGCATTTATCATAAATTAAAAAATTAAATTAACACAGATTGCAATAAAATATGAAAGAGCTCAATTAGTTAAAATATGTAACAATTCTGTATTGATAATTTCACGATCCAGGATAGCAGGTGACTTGTCGAATACTTAAATGAATAGATTAATGAATAAATTTATGTACATCGAGTTATGTTTGAAAACTGCTACGAATTGAAAGATAAATGAATTATTACTACTTCTACTATTAATAAAAAAAGATCTGCTGCAAAAGGAAAAGGACAAATAATGGATTAAAATATATTATTATTCATTAAACAGAAATTAGTTTCAATTTTGTGCAATTAATGTTCACACAGGGAAAATTCGCGTTCAAAAAAATTAGTCCCTTCCAAGGCGTCGTACAAAACATACTTTCTCGAATGCATTAATTTTTCTCTGTACATCCTTGCATCTTCTAGAGTCATCGTGAAATTTAAAGAGCCTTCACCTTTTTCGTCATCAAACCAACTTTGTTGCTGAGGAAAAACGTGCTTTGTCGAAAGTATCCTTTTCGATGGATTCACGAGGAAGAACACTAGAATTTTTCTATGGCCGTTTCTAGTTCTATCTGTCAATTCAAATGGAGCTACTTTGTGCTGATAAAGATTCGGAAAAACGATGCAACGATCTTCGATACAGAGTATGGAACCAATTTCTTGATTGAGAAAATCTAGATCCTTAAGCCCGTAAACTGCTTTCACTCCATAATCGTCATCTTGATTATAGCCTGGAGTATCTATAGCTTGTCGAAATAATAATCTAGATTCTGTTATATTCGAAGAAGAGAAATAGTATATTCCTGTAGCAACAATAGCTTCATTTTCTGTACCTTCTACGTGCCAAGTTCCTCCCGGATATTTAGGATTTTCAGGTGTTAATTCAATATTTGCAAGTTTTACGATAACTTGCAATGTTTTTTCTTTTAAGTCTACGGTACCATTGGTCCTTTCCAGAGGTTTAAAGTTTGGTACCTTTGGCCATTGTATTTTTCGATTTTCATGCCAGGCTTCATATTCTGGTTCGTCGTCTGAGTAAGGACATCGTCTCTCGTCGTCTTTGTACCAATCCACATCGATTTGAATTATCACGTTGTCTTCGAAATTTAGTAAGTCAGTCAGGGTACGATTGAACAGAGGAATAAACTTTTCAAATATCTGTGCAATTAGAGAATATAAGGTTTCGTGTTTTTTTGGATTTAAATTGTTTATATACGAGTCTATAGAAACTTTTCCTTCCGTATTTACGGAAAACTCGGCTGGCAACCATTGGTACTTATCTGCGACTTCTTTGGAATCTTCACTTGAAGTTTTACTTGGAGTACCATCGGATGATTTTTTCTTTTCAAGGTGTTCGATCCTCTCATCTAATATATCAATTTTTGTAACACCTTCGACATAGCAGAACAAAGACGGATGTACAAGATCCACTACTTGTTTGTTACTCCATGGATGGTAATCCTTTTCGCTTTCGTCCACATTTTCAAGTTCATATACTGCCTTTTTAAAAGCTTCCTTCACGTCTGGCTCAATTAGGCCATCAGCCTGCCAAGTTCTACTCACTGCACCTACTGTAATTACACCCGAGCATTGACTAGCATAGTATCTAAGCTCTTCAAAAACATATCTAATTTGATCTTCCGTGAGGCCCTGTGCTGAAGCTTCTGATTTCCACTGTTCCAAAATATTCTGATTATTCATCTTTTCTATCCAATTCTCTTTCTCCCGAATTTCCTGGCTTAATTTCATCATACGAAGCTCAAATGTGGTTATAGGCTTCATTCCATCTCCCAGCGAGAAACAAGTGGGAAATGTATCCTTGCCATTGGTCTCCATTTTTCTCTAAAAAAATATTTGATTGCAGTTACATTTCAGGGATAGAATAATAATTACGTTTATCGCATGTTTACTACGAAGGGAAAACTTGATTCCTCGCATGATATAATTTCAAATCGTTCCAAAAAGCTATCTCGCAATAAATTGGTTGCTTTTAGAATCATTTTTGTAGAGATTCTGACATCTATTTTCTGACTTGTACCGTTCCAAAATGAAAATCCCATCACCAGTACACAAATAGCCATTATTGATGGAATTACGCGTGAATGTTACAAATGGAATAACAATCATGTTAAAATATTCATGCGAAACAAATGAATACAACTGATAACTAAGAAGGATGGAGAATAATGACACTCTGTCCTTTTCAAATCTGGTTCAATAAGCACACATATGACTAATATGGCATGAACATGGCTTTTTCTTTTAAACATTTTATATCGATACGTAACATGATTTTCAATACTTATGTACTGTTATCGGGTAGCAATATTCATTCTAATACAAAGTTTAAACGTGGTAGGGATATTACACATTTAATAAAAATGTATTAGATGTTATAACTTTAACTTAGTACTTCCACAAGACTGGTGGAAACATAATGGATCATGGGTAAAATACGTGGTAAATTCATTCAATTGGTCGCACACACATTTCATATCTACTCTTTCATATATTTCTGAAACATGGAACAACTGCTTCTTTTGAACTTATACCGAATTAAAAAAATATTTATGACTAAGATCACAGCACTGTGATCGTATATTTTTAAGGACGATAGATTAAATAAGTATGGTCATTTTCTGCAGATCACTAAAAAATATAACAAACACGTATGGAGAAATCGTTCGTGTGTATGTTTTTCTTATCCTCCACCCAGCAATGTAATATTAGAAAATCTGCAAATTAAAAATGCAATTGACAAGTTAACAACCATTACCAACATATCAGACAAGCAAGAGCGATGTTCATAGAATTAGGATGGTTCGAAATGAGAAAGAATCTTTTAATTATTGCTGTACTTCGCACATGTACGTATGTTTTCAAAGTAATTAGGACTAAATCTTTTTGACAAATAATGACATAATAATTGTACCTGTAAACACTCCTACGTTTCGAGCCGATTCGGTTACGGTTTCTCAATCCTGTCCAATCCTGTTAATTATTACCGATATACGTTCGATGACGCATCCACAACCTTGAAATTCCGTGTTTATCAAAGACGAGAGTTAAGAGGTTTGTTCGGAAACAGCAGGAAATAACTGCGGCGATGAATTTAAACGCATGTAAGTATATACATAACACCATAAGAGCCCATTATTTGATTTAAATGTGAGGACGCGAAAGTATGTTTAATCTCGGCGCCACCACGCCGAATTAAACGTGACTTAGGCCTGGTTTCATAACTCAAGTTAACCGAAGTTTAAAGGTTGACAGCAGGTTTAAATCCGGTGTAAACTAGTTAAACTTCGGTTAACTCCAGTTATGGAACCGGACCTTAAACAATCAGAGGTGGGGATTCTGGGGCAGAGATGAGCAGAGATGAGTTGGGAGATTGCTCACGGGCAGGGTCGCGCGATCGCATCGTGTGCTGCCCTCTGGTTTCATACGTTAGCTTTCACCGTTTTGTAGTGAGCGCTCTCGTCAAAAATATGTAATAAACTCCTAGGTGAAAATGTGAGCTATGTATGTACATTCGTCTCCCTTCCACTACTACGCGAGGTCTAGATATCTATGGTCTAAGGTGGGAACATTATATGCTCAGTTCATACAGGTTAACACATGCTCCTAATGTTATGCTCACATCAGTTCACACTCATCGCTGCCTTGGGCTTCGTCATATGTCTTGTTGCCCGTGGTCCTAACCTGTGTTAACCGAACTTATCACAGCTTACCAGAGTGCAGTACCAAATTTCCAGAAAGTAACCCGTGCAAAAAAATAATATATAGCGCACGTAGCGAGAGTAAACTGAAAACATTTATAATGAAAATAAAGGATTTGAGGAGAAATCCGTTTAGTCAAGTAAAATTAACCAAAAGATCAGGTGACCCAAATGAAACAAGACACGAAGCGACTAGTGATTCTCAGGCTAACGAGCAAGTATTGCTTCCTTCTGTTAGCAATTTTAATCACATCAAGTGCAAAACTGTGAGACACGAAAAATGTGAAAAATTAAGAAAGGAAAAAATTAAATTGAAAAAGGAAAATAAAAAGAAACGATTACAAGAGGGTGGGCCCAAACGGATTCCACATACCATTGAAAGTTTGAGAGAAAAGGACGAAACTACTGTTCTTGGTAACATAGAAGATGAACATAACGAGGAAATTAAAATAGACTTTGAACACGATGAGTTTGCTGATTATTATAAACACGCTTATGAACCTAAAGTTTTGATCACATATTCCGATAATCCGCTCAAGAAAACAAGAATATTCGGCAGAGAACTATCTAGAATGATTCCAAATTCCACCTCGCTCTTCCGAAATCGGTCTGGAGTGAAGAAAATGGTTAAAAGTGCCATTGCCAATAGTTACACCGATATAATTATTATTAATGAAAATATGAAGCAACCTAGTATCCTTTGAAAAAAAATATATCAAAATGTTATATGATTCCCCTATGTAATAAAGTTTATTTGTTCGATTTTCTTGTCCTTTACAAGTAAGAAGCATATTTTTCCTTACCCAATATAAAGATGGTATGCTGATTGTTCATTTACCAGATGGACCTACTGCACATTTTAGACTCAGCAATGTCAAAATAACACCAGAGTTAAAGCGCAGTCATAAGGAAATAACGGAACACCGACCAGAGGTCATATTAAACAATTTTACAACTCGATTAGGCCATACAATAGGAAGGATGCTTGGTGCACTCTTTCACTATGAACCAGAATTTAGGGGTAGAAGAGCTGTTACGTTTCACAATCAACGTGATTACATATTCTTCAGGCACCACAGGTATGTTTATTTATATTTTCTTTTGGTAGGATTAAATGTTCAGCAAAGCAGTGGATTTTAAACGATTGAATGATAATGTAAAGGAAGAGATGAGAATTCATACTAAGATTTCCATTTCAAATACTTTTTATAGTTTGATTCCAAGGATTTATCAATTAAGTTACTGTTAAATCGATGAACTCTTGCAAATTCGTTTGTCAATGCGTATTTAAAATGTTTTGGTAAAGGTAAAACACGTTCTGCTTTCTGTTTCAGATACGAATTTAATCCTGACACAGGAAAGCCTAAATTGAGAGAATTAGGGCCAAGGTTTACCTTGAAATTAAGATCGTTGCAGCAAGGGACATTTGATAGTAAATACGGTGAATACGAATGGATCATTCAAGGTCGACGCCACGCAATGGAAACTAGCAGAAGAAAATTCTTTTTGTAATATATTTTCATCACGAAATGGAACTTATTTACACGATTCTTAATAATAAATCTACAAACAAAGTAGAAGGGTAACATTTTACCAATTTTATTCCCGAGAATGGTACTATCGAGGAATTGAAAGTTCAAATATTGGATGGGGTTTGCTGAGAGATGTTCATTTATCTGGACCATGGTCGGTAAGGGATTTGGGAAGGATTCAGTGGCCGAAAACGGATTCGAAGTCCTACGGTGACATCGCGGAATTCCATTGTTGACAGATTATTCGTAGACACTAACGGTTTAGTAAAAAATCACATCATTATTATTATGAATTATACAGTTATATAAATAAGGGAATGATTCAATGACCAATATACACAATTGGAGTAGACCAGTCACAACTGGTTTATCAATTCCTCACTGAGTAATAACCTGACTTCCAAATAAAACTTAGAAGTAAAATGTATCAAAAACCAATATATTCATTGATCGACCGATTATTATTAGACAAATATTAAAACTCTAGGTCATAATCTCGTTTGTCATCAACAAAACCTTTTGCTGTACCTTTCGATGGTGACAACGATAGTGATTTATTATGAATATCTATTCCCAGGGTCATCTTGAGCAATTTCAGCACGCTTTTCTTATCCGTACTTTCATTCTCTGAAAAAAGAAAATTAAAACTATATTTGTCATACCGATTGCAAATAATGTAATTACACATGAACCATTAATTTCGATGACACTAAATAATTCAAGCATGCAATGACCATTAAATTAACTATATATTTACCTTCATTGTTGGTGATCTGTTTCTCTAATGAAAGTTTGTCTTGTGCAATCTCGTACATGCCTTCCTCAATCGTACCTTCACTTAGCAATCTAATTATTGTAACTGGCCTGTGAATCAATTACACTTTAAACAACTTATAATTATTTAAATAAAAATTCAAGGAAAATAACGACAACACAGTTAATACATGATATTTAATAAATATATATGTAAATAAATAACAGACCTCTTTTGGCCAACTCTATGACATCTATCTTCTGCCTGTTTATCATTGTATGGATTGAAATCCAAATCATGTATTATCACAGTGTCCGCAGCTGTTAAATTAATGCCCAATCCACCCGCTCTCGTCGAAAGTAAATAAATAAATATACTCGGATCGTTTGTGAACTCATCGATCATCGATTGTCTTTCCGTAACCGGCGTTTGGCCATCCAGTCTATATTTCATGGAAAACAATAAGATTCAAGTCAGACTAGATTTTTAGACAAAAAATAATTAAGCTTTTTTTTAATGGAAGAAAAGTACTGTTAACTAATCAATTCGTTCAATTCTTTCTTCAAATGGTTATAGAGAAATTTACCTTAAAAACGTATGACTCCTAATTGTTAAGTATTCTTCTAGAACATCCAGGACCATGGTGAATTGGCTGAATATCAGCACTCGATGACCTCCTTCTTTTAATGCAGGCAAAAGCTCATCCAACTTATTTAATTTTCCAGCTTTAGGAATGAGGTCAAGTGGTAAACCATGACCAGCCAAACTCTTATACGTTCTAGATAGTTGATTTATCTGATAGTCGGACATCCATGACAAATCCTCAAAGACGTATTGCGGATTTTTTTGTTTATACCCAGGTTCTTTTGCTAACCTCTTTGCCATAATCTAGAACGTAAATGCAGGACACGTATGAATGATCTAACCAGGAGATTTTATCGATATTCCAACTTTACCTCTTTGCTCGTAATATGAGTATAAATTTAAGTATTTAAAATAGACTTCTATTGAACCTGTAATTTTTCTTCGTCGTAATAATTTCGAACGAGAAGAGGGTGATTGGCGAGCTTTCGCAGTTGCATCATCATGCCAACCCCATTGACGTCGGCGTTGAGGCCTGCCTCGGCCGAAAATTCAGCAACTAAATTTGTGTACATATCCTTTTGATGTATCGTCATGGGACATCGGATAACTTGTTCATTTTTAATCGGTAGATCACGTAGAACTTCGGTTTTTAACCGACGTAGAACAAAAGGCTTCATAATGAGTTTAGCATTCTTGACCTGTTCGCGTTCAAACATGGGTCGATCCTTCTCTCCTTTTTCGGCCAGGACTTTCTAATGAACAAACAGATGTAACATTGAATAATTACGAGAAACCTTAAGTAACACCAAAACTATAGCTCAGTTGAACATAAAAATACTTGCAGGATTTTTCGAAAATAGGCTCTTTAAGTCAGCTTGCTTTCCGGCAAACATCGAAGGCATCACAAATATCAGCAGGGAAATTAGTTCCAACAAGTTATTTTGTAGCGGAGTACCGGTTAGTAGAATTCTATGCTTTGCCTAAAACAAAATGACATTGAAGAGAAGAGCGTTATTACGATCCTTCTCTGCATTCCCAGCCATTTACCGAAATGGTATTGACGATATCTTACGTTAATTCTAACAAGGTTCTCGTATCGTATTGTACTCATATTTTTGAGCATGTGTGCTTCGTCAAAGACAACATATTGAATTGGCATTACACGAAAGAGCCTGCGCTCTTCTGGCGTGCTACTGATAAGGTTGTAAGTGGTTAATATGATGTCCACGTCGTCCAAATCGCCATTACGCCATCCCATTCTCATTTCTTTCCGCTCATCCTGGGAGCCATAATATTTAACAACTTTTAAAATAGACGACCATCGCTCCAGTTCGTTACTCCAATTCTCTGTTCAGACATTAAAATTATTTACAAAAACAAAGCATATAGGATTTGTTAAATTTCTTACTAATTCTATAACACAACGCAAAATTAATTGTAGTCGACATTGATTCTCATAAAGGGTAAGAATGATTACGTAAATCATATATCTACGAGTTTTCAAAGTAAAACGTATAAATAACGTTCTTGAAATAAATATCATATTATATACAAATTTTGTATTAATACGCACCCATGGTGGAGCTTGGAACTACCAACAAATGAGGCCCATCTCTCTCATCCAATAACCCACTTTCTTTCAAGTAAGTAAGAAATGCAATGACTTGCACAGTTTTTCCCAACCCCATTTCATCAGCTAATATTCCGTTGACGTTGTGGTTGTGAAGTACTGCTAGCCAATTTAGACCAACCATTTGATATGGTGCCAACGTCAACCCCGATGCAAGACTTTTGGGCTGTTGTTTTATAGTAGATGCACCGGCAGCCACTGCCCTTTCCATATTTGTAGCAAGTCGCAAACACTTCTTCATAAGAATTTCAACAACTTGTCTTGTGGCTAACAACATCTAAGATGAAAAAAAAAAAAACAGACTAACGATTGCTTACTCTAATGGCATAGATTTCAAGATTGATCTGATCTAAATTATTTTAATAAAATCCCGATTAAAATCATCAATATACATCAACTGATTTTTATTTTTAAACATCATGATTTTTTTGACAGTCAGAATACCAATTATCAACCTTGATAGATTTTTATCAAATAATTTAATTTATGTAACTTACTTGTGCAGAATTGAGAAGTTCAGTATCCAAGTACTTTGTAGTTTGAAATTTTTTAACTATGTCACTCCAGCTGTCAAATGGGCGTGCTTCGACGATGGCTTGTGCCTTCTTTTGAGAACACTGTGGCATCAAGAGAAGTTCGGACAATGAGGCACTTCGCATAAATTCTAAAACTGCCTTTTTATCACCCGTTAGAACATCCGATACTTCCACATCGGAGTCTTCATCACTAAAAATGACAGCGTTATAAAAATTGATGAGAAGTATTACCTATAAATTTTCTATTTTTAACATACATAATTAAAATTTAAAAATGTAGATTACAAACCTGTCAAATACTTTACTTTTGTAATTGGTTTCATCCGAGTCAATGTCTACTTCTTCTTCCTGTTCATTTTTCCGACGCTTTTTATGGCTAACCCTTGGTGAGTGCTCGATATGCCTTTTTCCATTGCTCGTTAATACCTCTTTGGCCTCTTCTGGGTTCCACTTGGTATTATTTAATACCTTTTGAACGTGCTACAAATAAGAAAATATATCAAAATTATAGGACATGTTTATGCACAAAATAGAAACACTTACAGCAATATCTTCTCGTGGATACAAGCCAGTCGGATACTTCGGATTGAAATTTTTCTCTTTGGTTTTATTGTCTTCACTTACATCTGAACTAGATGGCTGGTGCTTGATCGGGCTGCTAGCATCGCTGTCGCTATCTTCTATACGATTGACGATTTTACGCCTGATCTGTATCTCTGGACTCGTTATGTTACTGTCATCGTCGGCTAAAGATAAAAGAAAATGGACAAAATTTCATGGCTAAAGATGTTCGTATCATGTTAAAACACCTTAAAAGATTCAAATTGCAAGCATAAAATATTCAAAGGCTTCTAAATTATGAGTATACGACGTTCAAACATTTCCATAACATAAACTGTAAATATATTAATTCTACTCGAACGAGCAACGATCGTGTACACAACAAAGAAGAAATTACATTTAATAATAAGATATCTCGTGCACGAGAAAAACGACGAAACGGCTTCAATGTTAATTTATATCCGTGAAAATCTTTCCTAACATGCATGTACGCTCTAAGTACTAGAATGGCTCATAGAAGCTTCGGATTACGGTTAACCGAAACATTTTAAAATACCCATTACAATTACTATCCAATGAATCTAAAGAAGCGTTCGATGCTTTGCTCACGGACAAGAGAAGTTAGGGTAAACGGATACGTCGCGTGTCATAATTTAAAGGTGTTTAAAGGTCCAGTTAAATCCATTCTCGAGCATTTGTTTGAGATATACCGTACGAAACAAAAAGGGATAGGCTTTCTGCTGTACCAAGACATTTAGCCGAAGTTGTCTAAAGCGATGCTCGTAATTCCGTGAATTGTTGTCAGAAATTGAGAAATTTCTTACACGTATTCATCCTCTTTGCTTGCCGCTTCTGGAACCGAAATCTTCTCAAATCCCCCAACGAACTGGGGCTACCGGTCTCGGCTTTCGGCGAATTCGAGTCGGACATCGTATCAAATGAAGATGACGCGCCTGGCAAGGGACATTTTCCGGGAGTGACCTTCGAAAATCCTCCTCTGACAGGTGTACGAAGAATTCCGCGAATCAGGATCGCTCGTAGACGCCGTTTCCCATCACTCCAATCAACGACTTCGACAGAAATTCACCCGCGCTGTCGACGAAGCACCCCACGATCTTACAACCAAGTAAGAAATTGCCCGGTGACGACGTCTCGATTACGTTATTACTTGAATCAACTACAATATTTCTTTAGGATAAGGACTGCTTAAATTTGCGATTATACAATTGATTTGAAAACGGGATAAATGCGAAGCGGGTGGCGCCATCCGGCCAAAAGAACGAAAAAATTGTTGGCGCGATGTTTAAGTAGCTTGCCGAGACATCGTATTATTCGAGAATTCAGAAAACCGTTTGATTATTTCAAGATATGACGAGATCTACCATCACGACGTTAAAAAATGAAATAATCGGGTCAACTATCGAACACCACACCACTCCTGGCAACTCCTGGTGGGTACAGAGATGAGTTGGGAGATTGCTTACGGGCAGGATCGTGCGATCGCATCTTGTGCTGCCCTCTGGTTTCGTACGTTAGCTTTCACCGTTTTTTGCCCCCAAGGGCGGCGCAACGAATTTCTGATAGAAGCTCGCACAGTCGCTATTGGCGGCTCACGTACTCGTCATGGTAATACCATGCGGCAGTTGACGGTGGTGGCTTACCTACGCTTACCGATACTGCTCGCTTTTGATGGTAAGGGAAGAACACTCGTGACGCTCCATTTGACTTTATCTACTACTATTAAGATATGATACGAAACCAGAGGGCAGCACAGGATGCGATCGCACGATCCTGCCCGTGAGCAATCTCCCAACTCATCTCTGCCAATATAATACTTTTAGCGATTTCGGAGCTTTCCATTCAATGTTTGTGTATTTCACCCAATTAAGCCAGTTATTCCGTTGACACCTCATGCTTTAGTCATTATCTAACGGTATCTTGGAAAAGAAACCACAAAACAAATTCACTAATGACTTCTCTCCCATGTGTGTGCCCTACATTGGTAGGACCATATTTCTTGATTATTTAGATTTCCGCCATGACCTAACCAACTATTATCGGTACCATATAAGATCAATCAAGAAAATCAAAACAGTTACAAGGTACAGGTAACAGGTACTAGTACGGCGTCCTTTAGCAGCGGTTCGATCGTATTTATCTAAGAGACCCTTAAAGCGCCCATAAAAGTGAGGTACAAGGAAGGACTTTATGGTTTAAAGCATGGGAAAATACTAAACCTAATGGAAAATAAGAAACCGATACCAAAGGAGTCAGTACTTGAATTCTTCCTACATATAGAACTTCCATGTCCCACAATCGACGGTAGTCATAAAATATAAAAAATATAAAATTATGGAAGCTCGATTNAGCATTTGGTGCATGCTACTTAATAATAATAATAATAATCCCAATAATGACGTACTACCCAAGTAATAAATACTATAGATACAGAGCGAGTGTGTACGTGTGTGTTGTTTAGGGTTGGGTGTGTGGGTGTGGGTAGATGGGTGGAGTGTTAGCGCGACGTGCGCGCAATGTCGGAGTCGTGTGTCTGTACCGTGAGAGAGTAAATTAACCAAGTAAGGGTTAGGGTTCCTATGTACAAGTCATATTTGTACTATGCGACTGACGCTGTTGGCCACCGTGGCTTCACTCAGACGCGCCTCTAGTTCGCTCCTTTTCTCTTTCTCTCGTTCTCGCCCTACGTCGCCCGTTCTCTCCTATCCTTCCCCTCTTTTTCTCGACCTCTATCTGTCTCCAGAGAACGGCAGGTATACGTCGGCTTTCCTCTCTTTCTCTCATTTTCTCACATTCGCTCTTTCGCTCTTTCTATCTTTCTATCTTTCTATCTTTCTCCCTTTGCTCCCTTTTTCTCCCTCCCATCCTCTCGCTCGATTTACCTAATCTCGGCGATGTCTCACTTGATAAATTATCGTAAAAACAATACTTTACCCTATGATCGTAATATGTATAATGTATAGATCACCTAGTTCGAATAAAATTTGTCAAACGGCATTATCGAAAAGTCCGGAGGCTCTTTGGGTCTAGGAAACGTGATAACAGGCGACCCAATCACCCGCGCGGCCATTAATATCTTAACATCCGTTTTCTCTCTCCGTTCCTTTCCTCGTGTCACCATCTAGGGGCTTGTACGAGGCAAGTTCCGATACCTACGACCAAGTGTAAGAAGGGAAAAGAAAAAAAAAACAGGGAAACGAAACGGTAGAAAGAAGGGGGACGCAGACCTCGACAGAGGGAGTGAGATAGAAAGAGAGAAAGAGAGAAAGAGTGGAGAAACGTAAAGCAGAGAAAAGTGCTACGGGAGAATCAAAGTTTTTCCTCCGCGTATTATATCATCTATATAAAATTAAAAAACAACGTAATATCATTATATTACTTCGTCGCTATTAATACAATAAAAGGGCTTTGTACAAAAGTCAATTTACAAGTAAAAACATTTGGATTCGGTCAGCTTCCTCCTCCATGGTGATCCATGCGTGATTCGTAATTCAACTATCTAACGACGGAGAGACGATTGCGGACCGATTTCGTAGACTCGACGTCGCTCTGGCCTCTTTTCTCCCTCTCCCTCTTTTTCTCATTTTCTTGCACCCCGCGTTCCTCGCGTCCCCTCTATCGGTTTCCCGACAAGAAAACCGACGACAAAGTGTCGGACAGAAAATAACTCCCATGGGAAAGTAACCGGGCAACGAAATATCTAAAATAACGCGAGAACGCAAATTCGATCAGGGCTTCGAATCGTTACGTCGAAGCGTAAACGATATCGAGACTACGAGGCTCGCTCGAAAGAAATCGTTACGTCATCGAAACATGTCAAAATACATGCAAAATATCTCCCCAATGTCTTCCTTCGCGAACAGAAGTAAAACAAAATATAACATACTTCTACGCTGGTTGGGCCCCGACGAACCTACTAAATGTATTATGAACTTCCAAAAAAAAACTTCCTTTCTTCCCTTATTTTGTCCCGAGGCATTTCATCGCGTAGATATTTTGTCGTACGGGTGAATTTTCGTGGGATATCTTGTCGCGCGTCCTCTGGTCGAACAATTCGCGATACCTCCTCGAACGTCCACGTTATTTTCCCCTTTGTTCCAACACTTTCTCTCCTTCTCCTCCTCCTCCTCCCTCCGCCTCCGGTCCTTCCTTATCGATTAACCTCTACGAACACAAAGTGTAATCTAATTTGAATATGTCTGCTGCATTAGAAAAAGTGTAAATAGATCCTACCGCGCAGCCTTCCACGGCGCGACGCGATTCCTCCCGTCGTCCACGACCATCGCGACCGCGCTTCGCCCATTTTCCCGAAGAAGTGAGAAGGACGGGCCCCCTTTCTCGGTAGTCGGTACTCCGACATCGTTCCGACATCGCTCCGAAACCGATCGCCCGATCTGTCCGTTCCCCGCGTGCCGGACGCGGGTGGCAGGAGCCCACCGGTACCTCCCGGAGCTCGGGCGTTCCCCGCGAGAATGGCGACCCGGAACGACAGGAGGAGGCTCGGGTCGCGCGGCTCCGGTTGCTCTCGCAAAGCCCCAAGTGACGGCGGTACGATAACGAGTGCTTGAGAGAGGTGGCGTTCGCGTCGCTTTACAAGGGGTGAGGGTGTGGGTCAGACGAGAGCAGCGGCCGCGTGGTAGAGCTGCATCAACGCCTGCACGTGCACCGGCAGACAGGACAGTCGGTCCTTCGTGTTCGTGTCCACCGCCAGCCAGGAGAGCGCGTTGTAACCTTCCAGCACGTACCTGTCGAACGGAAAACCCTGCGGTTAGGACCGACGAAACCGGGCAAGAGTACTTTCGCGGTAGAGCATTTTTTAGTCACACCTTAGCCTCGTTACAGGCTTTAATAAGATTCGTATCCGGTTAATGGAACGCGGAAACATACTCTTCGTAGTCAGAATTATAATTCCACAATAGGAAATATTATCTTCCTAATCGGAACGTTTCGCCAAGAAGAAAAAAGCACTACCTACTGTAATATAAAATACATGAAAAGTACGGTAACGAACCTAAGTACGTCGGTGGTATACTGTGAATCGAGAGGATGAACGGTGAGAGCGCTTTGCTGTTGCAGCAGGTCGTCGCTGTTCTGCTGAATGGCAGGACTGTGCAGGTGCAAAGCGTTTTTCAAGAATACGGGACATACACCTTCGAGGTGCGGACAAGCTGCCCAGAACCAACTCGGCATCCGACCCGTTGGTGCCGTGGAAACCAAGTAACCCAAAGCCAGTGGTTGCTGCAACAACGTTCCCACTTCCTCCGCTTGTTCCGCTATGGCTACCTAAGAGAAGAAAATTCCAATGAATTCCACTTTTAAGCCGACTAAATTCGAATGGCAATATTTGACGGAACTTCGAACGCGGTTCCGGTCAAGAAAACTTAGCTTTATACTACAGTCGACGGGCTGTTTATAAGCTACATTATAGCTTTTCAGCCTCAACCCTTATTTCTTCCTCCACAAATATCGTTGCCGCTGACAATGGACGATCCGCGTCATAGCACGAGGATGTTCCGGCATGTTAATTACGTTTAACCGTAATCAATTTGAACTTACTCTCGGAGTATTGTTGCACGGGAATGGACTGCCGGGTCCGTCGTGATTTCCTAATCCGGAGCCGCCACCGTCGCCGCCCAAAGGAGATCCTTCCGGACGATGGGGACTGCCCCCGGGACTTTGGCCCCCTCCGGCACCGGCTTCGGGCCACACGTTGAAGATGTCATTGAAATCGCCCATACCCTCCATTCCCTCGGGCATGTCATCGTTTAACACGTAAAACAATTCGTCGTCACCTAACTCCGGACCGTTTATGTGCTGCTCTTGGAACGCGGTCTGAGAGGACTGGAACATACGAATCGGTTTTCACGTACACAAAATATATCTCCACCTGGAAGACCGAATATTTTCGATGACCCTTTTGGCTTCGAGGTAACGACCCGTAACGACCCGTAACGACCCGTAACGACCCGTAACGATTCCACAACGATCGGATCAATTTATCCGGTAACTTATGAAGCACGCGCGGTGGTGGACTCCAAAATTGGCGGCGATTACGGGGGAATTTGCATTGCAGCTAGGAAATCCCAGGTAACTCGATTATATCCCGAATTCTGGGATGTGAATAAGTTTACCGGACAAGGTACTCGGTCGATTTACCTGAGTCGTCGCGGAGGTAGGAAAGACGAGTATATGAGTGCACGTAACGTCTTGCGGAGTGGACAGTTGGCAATTGACCGAGGCCTGGCTGAACCTCTCGTCCGGAGTAAACTGATCGGCCATCAGGCGAAGCGTGGAATCCGGCTCGAGAGAGACCAAGCAGGCGCTGAGCACGCAAGGTGCCGCCGACGGGTAGAGGAGGCTGCATTGACCGCATATCTCCTTCAGATGTTTCGAAGCCTTCAGAAGTGCCTTCCTCGAGAGCAACCAACTCCACCCTTTCAGTTCGCCGTGTCCGATGCGACCCACTCGACCGACTACTAGTCTCCACGGCTGCACCTACGAAATGACATACGATTAACGAGGATATCGGAGCATATCGGAGCATATCGGAGCAGTTTTATAATATCATGTCATTTCCCTAATATAGCAATTTGCCTTGGTAGAACAATCGATATATTATTTACTAAGAAATGCCCGCTTAACTAGGAAGTATTTGCGAATTCCTAACATGAAATTGAAGAAAGTTAAACTTTAAAACTGTAAATTATTAAACAAAATACATTAAGAAATGTGATCAAATCGACGTTGATTCACTAATTTTTGCGAAAGGCGTACGCGGAGTACTTCGCGCCCGCAACCTCACCGAATTCGTCATTATTTATTGACAACATCGTTATATAAAACTTGGGAGGGAAGGCATTCCAGAGGATCGGAGAACGGTCGCGGGACGGATGCAGCCGCCTCAAACTATTCCGGAGAACGACGGATCGTGGAAACAGTGGTCGGATAAAGAAGCGCGTCCAAGACTCACCCCTTGCGACATGACGCCGAGGATGAAATCCATGAGTTTCTGCAGGCCGACGCGCCTAGCGGAAGCTCGTTTCCGTCGCTTTCTGTTGGGCACGTCGATGTTGATGGTGGCGGTCTCGAAGATCTCGCCTCGGTCATCGGTGGCCACGGCCAGCAGCCACGACTGATCTTCGCTGAGGCAGTAGCTCAGGTAGAGGACGGCGCACTCCTCGGGTCCTGCTATGCCGAACGACTCCGGCGCTTCGCTTTTGGCCCTCAAGGGTGCCAAAACGTAGGCCGGAGCGTACAGCCTGTACGGAGCTCGATTTCGTTCCTGATGTACAGTTGGAAGAGGGTTACCAAGCGACTGGAAAGGGTTTGCCCGTACATATAATATTTAGGCCCTTACTCGCTTTTCCCTCGCTTTTCTTGCTAAAAGATCTTTTGGTAGTTTATCCCGAGAAAGAAACATCAACCAAAGAAATATGCCGCTAATTAAAGCCGGAAGAATAATTATTTAACTCGAATAAATAGAATGCAACGTTATTCGGAATTATGACAATTTATTTCGGTCATATAATTATTCTTGGAATTAACAAAATATTTCTTTGGTTCAATGAATTTTTTTTCTCAAGGTACGGGCCCTACTCATACCTCACTGCGGCGCTTTGATAGAAATAGTCTTAAAGGCGGCTATAAATGACATATTTTGGTAGCGGAGCCTTTTCATACCTTCTTTTGCAGTTTCTTTTTGAGAACCTTTGGATTAAAAGAGATTTCTTAAAAAGTGGGTAGGGGGACTTCTATCTCGCTTTGACCGTCAAAATCGTCCCGAGATAGGGGGGAAACGAACGACGTCGATAACGTAGGAAAAATGAATGTAGCGGATGAAATCAATTCCAGAGACTTTAAGAGAAATTAAATTTGTCGGTCTTGCTGATGGTGTTGCGTTAAAATCGCCTTTCCTTTTTTCCGACACTGTCGTACCACGTTTCGCAATAATGGTACTTGGACTAAAAGTGAACTTAAAAGAAGGTATCGGTATCGGTATTTTAATAGCGATCCGACCATCCTTAACTACAAGACGTTTAAAAGCGACCATAAAAGCGAGGTATGAGTAAGCGCTGGGGTACAAGGACGGTGTGTCTCTTGAAGGATATTCTCATGTCTTGTGTAAAAAAACATCGATGTGCCTGCAATTGTTAAATCGTTTGGCAACGCGATCACGCTAAGCGAACTTGTACGTTGCCCAACGATTGAAGAAAAATGTTCGCTCGGTCTGTCTCTGCCTTTAGGCAGGGAAAATTCGTCCAATTTTGATGTGATGTTCCTGCGATGCAATTATCGTGGTTTAAAGGAACGTCGTCTAAAATTATAACTCTATGTAGTTATTTTAGGGACCACAGGTAGAAATTAGGCGAGAAAGACCACATTGATTGGAAGATCGGGAAGTTTTAGTACTTTTCTGACAATCTTTCAAGTAACTAAATGCATTCGGAAAGTAACCAATCTATTGCCTTTTAAGTATCAATGGCTTGCTATAGTTAGACCCAATTTATTAGGCAAATATGACAACGGACTGCCGTGATTATCTCTCGTTCTCGAACTGGTAAAACTGCTGAACTCATTTTGATCTTCACATAAGATTTTTAGTTTTCCTCGGCTAATAACGGTACTCGTTATGGTAAAGCTTACGTCTTTGCTCTTCAGGAAGAGATCGGCAGCGGCGGCGGTGCCGAAGCCAGTCAGACTCTTCACCGTCGAGTTGTGATTCAACAATCGTCTTCCTTGCAAGAACACATTAAGCGCCAGAGCTCTCATTTCGTCTTGAATTTTTCGCCTTTCACGTGCACGTCCTAGTTCCATTATGCTCTCCAAAGATATCAGCTGCAATGACAATATCGCTTGATTGTAACAAACGCAAAGAAAACTTGAGGAAGAGGTTCAATTGATCAACAAAACTATGAAATATAGCAAGAAAATGTAGAAATAAAATCCCGAATGTAACGATCTATTATTTTAGCCTTATTTTTAGATTTTTTCGCAATTACTTCAAATATTCTAGTTAAAAAAAAAATTAGAGAGAGAGAGAGAGAGTAGATATTTAAAATCATAACTACGTCTCAGTGGATGAAACGTTCGGTACGTTGGTGCCTCGCTTACTTGAACGTTAATATTGGACCTGATGTTTTCAGGCATACTATTGACTGCGGCGGAATAAGCTCGTAGAAGGGCCAGAATCGCCAATCTTCGGCGATCTGGATTCTCGACGCTTCCGAAGGAGAATGGTTCCACCAGGTAGACGACCACGGACGGAGGCTCCACCACCTCCTCGTCGGGCCCGACGGTGGTGGTCGTCGTGGAAGTCGTCTGCGAAGTCGGCGTAACGTTGCCCATTGACGCGTTCGAGTTGGCCGTAGTGGTCGAGGAGGGTGTTTCGCTTCGGGAGTTTTCACCTTCTGTGGACAAATGTATAAACGAATCAGAAAATTTTTTCCGCGTTATACGAGACTAGGAGGGCAAAAAAATGTAAACGAAAACAACGGAAACGTAAAATTGTTGCGCTATATGCACAAAATAACTAAGTAAGAAGACGGATAAAACTAAAATCTGATCACTGTTCTTCATCGTTTGGATTCCATTTTTAACGATTTAATTCTGTATAGAAATAACGAGAAATACCTGCCCCAAAACGTGCACTTTAAACAAGCCTTACGCCTCGCATAAAAGTTAACGCATACCTGTAGTTTTCGAGTAAATTCAAGACGCATACGTTTTCATGTCACAATTGAGTCTTTTTTGGCAATCTTTTAATCGCGTTACATAGGACCCGTACCGTATGTAAAGGTGTAAAGTTAAGTATGCGTTTATGAATTCGCCCATGCATGGAAAGCGCTTAACTGTCAAGGAATGACTTAAATGACACAAATTGCGCGAATACCGAATGACAAGAAGAGGGCGAACGGTAATTAATTGTAAAAGGAAACGAACCGTTTGATCGTTTAAAACGGGTCTCGTAACGGGCTACCGTGCTATAAGAAAAGTTTGACTCAGATGGGAAAACATACCGACAGGTTCCGTTTTGACAGCACCGGTGCTGTCAGGAGTGGCAGGCATAGTTTCGACCGCTGGCACGGCAGATTGCGATTGCTGCTTGCTAGAAGCCTGCGAGTCCCCGGGATCCAGAAGACTGCGGTCCTGAATCACTTGGGTGAGGTACAGTGCCAGCCGATGATTGCACACTTGGGCGTAGAGCCTCAGTAATTCCCCGGTCTGATTCTCGCCTAGAAGCTTGAACCACTCGTCGATCGGTTGCTTCGACATCTTTTGTACAGCCGATTTCCCCACTCGAAGGATACCGTCTCGCAGCGCCTTCGAGATGGGCGTGTGTCTTCCCAGACGGCAGATCTGAAAAGGGTGACGATTCGATGCTCACAAATAAACTGAAACCCCGTCTCGGAATGGGCAACTTTCGTCCCGCACGACGGAGAACCGAAAGTTGGAGAACCGAAAGGTGAAGGGAGGACGAAAGAGACGTTTCGACGCACCTCGTAAGTGGTGGACAGCTCCCTGAAGAAGGACTTGACCTTCCCGATGACGGGATCGCTGTCGGGGGCGACGACGATGTACGCCACGTCCCGAGGCCCGGCGTAAGGCTCCAGCAGCAGCTTCTCCCAGTAGCTGAGGGCGTAGGGCGACAGAGACAACCAGTCCCGGTCGTAGCCGACGATCAGGGCCGGGATGGGCTGCGGCTCGCAGCGGTCGTCCGTGCCCCTCCCGGCGAGCCGGTGGAACTGTCGCCAGGTGAGGGGACCGGCCACGGTGTAGGGGGCCTCCCACATCCTGGTGGTGCACTTCTTCTGCACGGCCTCCTGCAGGAGCGGCTGCAGGGCCCTCATCATCCTGACTATGTCGCCGCTGCACTGGGGCCCCTTCGCCCTGAGGAAGGCCCACCGGTGGACGCCGTTGACCCGGCCGGGGCGCTCGTTCTGCGAGCCGTCGACCTTGCCCTGGTCCAGGGCGGCGAGGGACACCTCGTTGCCGTCGTTGAACTCCAGAGCGTTGACGGTCGTGGCCAGAGGCGCGGGGCCCTTCGGACTCGCGTAGATCCTGGCAGCCCTGCAGAGGCTGCTGGCCGAGCTCTGGACGATCAGGCACTGCTCCCTGAGCAGCTCCAGGACGCCGGACGGGATCGCGTCCAGACCGTCCGGGGGCTTGCCGGCGGCGCCGCCGCAGGCGATGCTCCCCAGAGAGCTCTTCTTCTTCTCGGCGGGGTCCTCGGCGATGCCCGTGATCTCCATCTCGTCCTCGTAGAAGAGGCCGGCGCCGTGGGCCAGGCGGCGGTTGACCACGGCGCTGAAGCCGCAGCTGCACTTGATCTGGTCGTCGTCCTGGAAGAGGGTGCCGCCGCTGCTCCACGCGCTCGCCAGGTAGACCCCGGCGTCGGCGCCCTTGATGTTCCCGACGACCTTCGGGCCGGCGTTGCAGACGCAGAGGCTGCAGCTGTCGAAGTTGTGGTCGCGGAAGATGTTGAGCGCGGTGTCGCCCAGGAGGATGTTCACCACGAGGGAGTTAGACTCCGGGGCTCGGGTGGGTCCGGGGGTGTCGGCCTCGATGCTGTTCAGGTTCTTGTTGAGATAGGAGGAGGTCGTGGAGGTGGCTGGGCTGGGCTGGTCGTAGGGTGGAGGAGGCGGCCTGCCGGGCAGGGTGGCGGACCTGTAGGGCGCGCCGAGCGGCGCCGGACTGGGCGGACAGGTTTGCTGGTGTTGCTGCTGATGCTGCTGGTGCTGCTGGTGCTGCTGGTGCTGCGATGGAGGCTGCTGCGACTGCGGCGGTGGCTGCGACTGCGGCGGCGGCTGCGGCAGCGGCTGCGGCAGCTGCTGTTGCGATTGCTGCTGCGACTGCACCGGCGGTTGCGACTGCTGCGGCTGCTGCGGCTGCTGCGGCTGTTGCTGCTGGTGCTGGTGCTGGTGCGGGTGTTGGTGCTGGTGCTGCTGCTGCTGCTGCTGCACGGAGTTGGGCCTGGTCGGCGGCAGGGGCTGCTTCTCGGCGCCCACGGAGGCGGGCTGGCCGCACTGCCACGAAGGCCTGTAGACGCAGTGCGGCGGCAACGTGACGGAGGGCAGCGACTGGCTGGGCAGGTTGGTCAGCGGGGCGTACTTGGAGGAGCCGACCAGCTTGCAGACGGGCATGGGCCTGAAGACGTAGGACCAGTCGTCGATCGGCTCCTCCGGGGGCGAGCCCATGTTGGGGTAGATGTCCGGCAGATGGCGCAGAGACCGCTGCGGGGCGGCCAGTTCGGTCTGGTCCATGGGCGCGTCGCTGAGCTGGCAGGGCGAGGCCACCGGGTTGTGCTCCAGGGAGGGCGGAGTGGGGAACATCTTGGAGAGCTCCTCCGGGCGCAGCGAGCCCACGCCGCGGCCGTTGTGCTTGGTGGCCCCGTCCAGCCTGGCGTCCTCGTGCAGGCCCCCGGACTTGTTCGAGCCCGGCGGGGTTTGTACTTGGAGCTGGTTCAGGTTCTGCGGAGGTAACAGTCTCTCAGGCGACGAGCCCTGCGTGTCGGGATCCGGAGAAGCGTCAGTAGGGGAGCGACGCGCTACCTCGGCCGCGGAGGTTTCCTAAAATTCCTAGCTGCACTTACGGTCTCGTCGCTGGACGTGTCGGGGTCGGAGTTGTCGAAGATCTGGTCGAGGTCCTTGTAGGACGCCTGTAAGCCCTCGCTGGTGAACAGAGAGCCCGGCTTCGGCGGGTCGTCCCTCTGCCGCCGCAGACCGTCCACGCCGGTGCCGCCGTTGTCCTCGCCGGCCGCGTCGAACTCGTACGGGTCCGTCCTGCCGCCCGGACCCTCGCCCTGCAACGAGACCAACGTTCGATCTCTTCGACCTTGGGGACGATCGGCTGGAATCCTCCCGGTCGCGCCCCCTGCGTCTGCACTCCGGAATCCCGACCGCGATCGTACCCGGAATTTCGCAACTCCGCATCCGGGAAAAGCCGGGAAAAACCGAGGCGGCGCCTACTCACCGCGAGCGGCACGCTGGGCTCCTGCTTGATCTCGAGCTTGGGCGTGCGGGGCTGCAGATGGTGCTGGGCCGTGGCGGCGGTCGCCGCGGCGGCCGCTGCTGCGGCGGCGGCGGCAGCGGCCGAGGCCGCGGCGCAGGGCGGGTACAGGCTGCCGGGCCTCAGGTTGGCCGGCGCCGTGGGCGCGCCCTTGAACCGCTTGACGGGATGGTTCAGCCATGCTTCCTGCGTGGAGTAGTCGTAGAGCCAAGAGAGCGGCTGCTCGTCCTCGAGCAGGGCGCCCTCGTACTCGCGCGACGCGAGGATGGGCCGCTTCAGGGCGGGACCGGCGCCGAGGCCGAGGCCGGGGCCGGGACCGGGACCGGGACCGGGACCTGGGCCGGGGCCGGGACCGGGACCGGGACCGGGGCCGGGGCCCGGGCCGGGCGAAGGGCTGGAGGAGTGCGGATGGCAGGCCGTCGAGGAGGCGCTCGACTTGGGGCCCTGGGGCGGCGTCATCGGCGGGGCAGTGTTCGCGTGGCTGGGCGGCGGCTGCGGGCTCAGGGTGGGCATCGTGGGGTCCGCCGGCGGTACCGACGCCGGCTCCGAGTGCGGCGTCGGCAGCGGCGAGGGCGCTGGCGAGCCCGGCGAGCCGGCCGACGGCACCGGGAGGCAGTCGCCGCCCGTCGGCGGCCCCCGCGAGTACGACGGCGGCCCGCCCAGCGGGGTCCCGGGCGCCTCCGTTCTGCTCGGCAGCGACCTGCCGGACGGAAGCTGGTTATTTCCTCCGGAAGGCGACGACACGCCCTCGGGGGCCGATCGGCTGTCAAACTTTGCTCCTTGTTAAGGCCGATTCTTCCCCGTATCCGTCCCGTGTCCGCTCCGTGTCCGTTCCGTATCCGTGACGTATCCGCAAGCGGACGGATCCGAATCGGCCTTAAAGCGGTATCGGATATCTCGTATGACGGTAATCGGAAGCATAACGGTAAAAACTGGTCAACCGATCGGCGCCTTACTAAATTTTCTGCAATTCCATCGACCGATACACGAGGCGTGCGTAACGGGCCTTACGAACGAATTAGTTTACCCTGTTAAAAATATTTATAAAATTCATGCCCTATCGATGCATAAGATTGTACTAAAATGATTGAATTGGATACAAAGATTAACCCCCTCGTGTTCTAAATTTGTACGTATTTAAATTACATAAATATTATGTCGTACAATTAATATATCAAGGTGAATAAAATTTTCAACAAATCGTATCAAATTTCAATATTTTTTTTTAACAGTGTACTTTTAAATTTGAAAATGCCATGTAATGTCAAAATTGAGCCATTTAGTCGACTCACCTGATGATAAATGCTCGATCGTACGTACAATTTAACGCTAACTTATGAATTATCTATGATCCATAATTAAATGAGAATGAAAGAATTAGAAAGCGATGGGCCGTAATGACCTAACTGATAATTGCATAATTAGTAAGCAATGAAGAGCAAAGGTCGGGTTTTTTTTCGTGAACCACTCGGTTCATGAAGGAAAAAAAAAGGAAAGTTTTGGAACCAAGGAAAAGGATGAATTTGATGGGTCAAGGAACTGCTGAGAGGTTTTCGATTTGATGATCCTGTGAAAGTCCGAAAGCTAGAAGACATTCGCAAAGAATGGAGGTAATAAAGTGCACATGCAGAAGTACCGACAAAGGTAAGCAATGGTAACGAATTTCGAATGCAATGCAGTTAATGACCAGTTAATTAATGGTGCAAAATTTAAGGACCCAGGAAAGTCAGGCCCAAAATCCTGACTTTTACAACTTTTGATTACGCAGCGACCGGTTTAGTTGACAGTCTGCAACACGAATGATTGATTTAAACAAACGGGTAACATTTAATTACCGGAAAAATATTCATATTCATTGAATATTTGATTTCACCAAAAATATCTTGAATCAAATAAAATTTATTGGATTTAGCAACATGACTAATTCAACGCGTTTAATTGAGCGTTTTTGCAAGGATGTGTGAAGAAGTATACGGGTATCATGACCGACATATCTTGTGGTGATTGTAACGATTTGTGGTTATTATGTACCTTATAAGGTACAAGTATCATGACCGACATATCTTGTGGAGATTGTAACGACTTGTGGTTATCATGTACCTTAAAAGGTACTCGTACCCCTTTATCTTTTTAAATAGCGCGCGCCTTAAATGGCTGCCATATTAGAAAATGATTGCAATGTATTGTCCTAGGAAGTATCGCATTTTTTGCAACGTTACATGGTAACCACCTTCCCGCGTATACGTTTAAACGCAAATTGTCAAAAAACTATTGATACGGTAACTTTAGATTTTCGTAAACGAAGCGAAGATTGCAGTTAAAGCCGTACTTTGAGGAGGGAAATCGATCAACCTTTCTCATTATGCGTTTATACGTACACCATGGCTCATATATTTAGGGCCAGTACTTCTTGACCGTTTTACTTTTTATGTACAAATAGGTTTGTTTATTCAGTAATTTATTCACCAGCTCGTATACCGATTCGTTAAGCCTTCTTCACTGGAAAGACAATAACTTCTTCCGCCGCTCCGTCTTTGTAGCGGTATTATTGTTTTTCTTTGGTGCGAGAATTTCATCAAGTGTCCGAAAAATGCCCCTGTTATCCCTCGATTACGTCGACGAGTATGCGGTGATCGGTGAACGTTAATTATGACGTCGCCGTGAGAGGAAGAGATTAGAAGCAATGAGGGCGAATAGATGCTTAGTTGATACCATTGGACATCATGGGGCCACATGGGCGTGAGCTGTGAGTCGCGGCAATGGTGGCAAAGGGTTTTAAACGGTTGGCAAGATGCGGAGGGTAAAAGGCTTCGACCAAACGGGGCATGAACTGTAAACGCAACGGCCGCCAAAGTCGAATCGATGTTCAAGAGTCGTCGTGTCGAGCACGAAGTAGGATAAGGAGATACAACGCCACGTATTGAAATCGTCTCTACTTTAAGGGTTCAAGATTTTCAGATTTTTTCCGATCTAGGGCCGAGAGCGCCACCTCCATGAAATTTTGCAATACAAAATTATCGTCCGTCTTTAATTTAGTCTTTATCGCGTTAAGAACATCACATTCCGTATATCATGCGCGGATTATCGTTTCGCTTTGCGTACCTTAACTGCAACATTAAAAACTTTTTAGATAATTTACGTCGGTAGCAAATGTTTCGGTGACGTAGGATCGGAGTTCCCTCATGTTTCGCGCGTAGCACTCGCGTCGTTAGATCAGCGAAAATCTGAGATCCTGGATCCCGATTCTGGGATCACTTTCGGTGGAACCGACCATTGGCGTGACGTCTCTCCCTATCCTACTTCATGGGGTCGGGCCTACCCTGAACGTTGATTTACTTTAACCACGACCGGACACCCAAAGTCTGGAGAAAGAAGCGACGATCCCCGAGAGGGAAATTTGGGGGAAGAAGCCTGTCGGGTGGGAAAAGTGAAGCGAGTCGTTACCCACCTTGGGCCATTGGCAGGGGCGGAGGGACCCGCGTCCCACTGGGTGGTGGAGCGCCGGTGGAAAGGTACGGCCCTCCTTCCACCCTTCTCTACCCTCTGAGCCTGAGAGGTCAGGCCCTTCCAACCCCCGGGGGTCGACCACCTGTAACCGACGGGTTTAGCGTCTCTTCCTGCACTTCCGAGAGTTGGTCTCTCTTTTTCTCTTAATGCATTTTATTCGATCATCGTTACCATCATCGTTACCACCACCGCTACCATCGTCATCCTCGTCATCGAACGTGTCGTCGGACAAGGGCAATCTCTAATCGAGTTCTTTCAAAATCACTAGCTTACGGTGGACCCTGTTCGTATTCGTCGACGCGTACGTATATTTCGGGACGTCATCGTGGTTGCGGTCCTTACCACACGAAAGAGGTGCATAGAACTCGGCAGCACGTGTAGCCACAAAGAACGTACGTTTCAACTATCGCGGCTGAGTAGATTAAACTTGCCCAATTCGACGTAACTATTTCATTCGAGGATGCTTCGCGTAATTAGAATCAATTTTAAACTTTTGATGCCGATAGATGAAAGTTTTGGTCAATTTCAAGTCGAACGACCGTATTTCGCTGTAACCGAACGAACGATGGTCGATACCGTTAATACGGGTTTATTCTCCCGTAATGGACAACCGATAATATTTTAATGGATACTATAAAATCAACGGTACTTTGCTGTCCCCAAAAATGACAAAGTTGGACACGAGAAAAATTTCTTTCAATTTCTCATCTTTTAATTTACGAGATATTGAAATTCAACTCTCCAAAAAGTTACCGTAATCGTCCTCGTTATCGATTACGTTCCATACTTTTGCAGATGATGCATGTTTCATTTCCAGGGGGCTTTAAATGTGTAAAGTGGATCACCGGACGCTATTGCAAGGAACGCATAAAAAAATGTAACATTTTCGAATGGATAAAACGGTTAACATTCTACATTGCCTTGCGTTGTTCCAGATGATTTATTAATTCTTTTCGTCGTATAAATATTGGAGAAATTGCATTGAAATTGCATTGAAATATTGGAGAAAGTGCATACAGAGGTGTTAATAAAAGGAAGGAAAGGTGACTTTAAAGGGAACCTTTTTTGGGACTCTACCCCGGTACCTCAAAATGACTAACAACATTTCCGCGTCTCTGAAAAAGAGAAAGGAACGGAAGGAAGAATAATCTCGAGTGAAAGGGAAACACCTGTGGTTGGCGTCACTTTAAAGACGTTTAGATGTTTCGAAAGGCAAACAATAAGGAATTAGGAAACAATGGTATCCGAAATAAACCGAGCAATCAGCCTTAATTTCGCAGAGAGGCAAAATCATAGAGTTACATGCAGATACTGAGTCAGCCGCTGCCAAACTACTCGTAATCGCGTCGGGTAATTTCACGTGCTCATGATGCAGCTGCGACAACGAAATGCTTAATCTACACCTAGCTGTACACGGAGAAAAATATTCCTGTATCTAAAATTTTACCCTTTTCATTACACATACGTATAAACGTGACTCTGTTTGCACATTTCTATTTGAAACTCTGGTAAATTAGAATCATCCATTTCCTCGTTCCAAAGCGAGATCGCGGACGACTTTCATTTTACGGCAAGCAAAGTCTATTACGCTACCTTCGAGACATGCCTCTACCAGATAAAAAAGGAGGAAGAAAACGGATAGACCGCTAACTCTACAACCGGCGACTAAGACGACGACGATGACGAGGAGGGACTAGTCGAGGGAGGACATTCCTTTGACGCAACGGGGACGACGAAGGAAGGAGGACCTCTTCGTCCTGAGATTGGAACGGTCGTCCGCGAGGCCGCTTCTCTAACGAAAATGTCATTACTCGACAATTATTCATTCCATAACAAACTCGGAATGACAGAAAAATAAAAAACGAAGATCCGGCATCGCAATTGGCCCAGGAACCTCCCGACACTTCCAACGTCATGATCCTCAAACAAAATTGGGTCCAATCAATATTTTTTTGTGATCGAAACGTTAAAAGCATCGGAACGTTCCTCGCGAATCACGTGGCAAAATTCCAGCCAGTTCCGTGGCATGCCCTTAAAAAAGGTGTCCCGTTCGAACATAACGGCTCGAGGCCACCTTAAGGGGACGCGAAAGTGGCATCCGAGGAGTCAATCGCACGTGAAACTTTTCCTCGAAGTGGATGCACGGAATCGTTTCCAAGTTTACAGCGTGAATTCGAAGGCCGTAAAGAAAGTCCCGACGCCCATTAAATTTGATTTTGATAAAATTGAAATTTCGTGGGAACCGAGACCTTCCTTGCAGCCTCCGAGTTCGAAAGGATTCGGCGAAAAGTTTGAGAAACAAAAGCTCCGTAACGCCACTGTCGCATCCCCCTTAACAACTCGAGCGAAAAGACTCGGAGATCGCGTCGGCGTCGTCCCCGCGCGCGTCGCGTCGGACTCGCAGGCAAGACCTCGGGGGCCGTACTCACTTGGAGCAGGTGCAGGAAGACTTCTGGGTCGGGTCGACGAAGTGCCAGGTGCCGGGCTCGGGGCTGGCCTCGCCGGGCTTGGCGAGGGAGCACTCGGCCCAGACGCGCTCCGGCAGCTCGGTGGCCGGCCGGGTGTCGCGCTGCGTCGAGAGCGGGTGGTCGTAGCTCGCCGGGCTGTAGGGCGGCGAGAGCGGCGCCTCACCCGGGGTGTCGTCCATGTCGGTCACCAGGACGTAGCAGGAGGGGTAGCGCATCCGGACCCCGCCCACGAGGACCTCCACCAGGGGCGGCAGGCCCGAGTCGACGGCGCCCGCGGCACCCGCGGCGCCGTTGATCGGGTAGAAGTGCCGCCATTCCTCCAGGAGCTGGCCGTCCACGCGGCCCACCTGACCGGTGAGGGTGCCGGCCAGGCCGTAGGGCGCCAGGATCACTGAGGAAAAGCGCCGGACGATCGTTACGCGTGGATTAAGAAAAGTTAACCCTTGGACCGTAAGTCGTGGGAACGAATCGTTGCTCCGTCGTGGCGAGCGCATTGGGAGAGTAAAAATGGCTCGATGTCATTTCAAAGAGCGATGCGCGTTTCGATACAATAATTGGAACCATCGCAATATAGATGGACGGTGCATATACATGCAGCATACATTTACGATATTTGCGTTCGTACGGTAGTACTCGATACCACTCATAACTTCGGTAAATAAAAACACCGGGAAAGAGGCAGAAAGGGAGTTTCGAAGAACCCCAGGTATTGTTTTTCGTAATTAAGTGGTACGGGTATACCGTGGGAACCTCCAACACTCGGATATAAATATACGCACAAAGTTCTCTCCGCGTTACGATCCCTAAATGTAATTTCGACCGACTCGTTCCGTGTACGATTCTATTTCGGTCACGCGTGACGGCACCGCAGGTATTTTCAGCTTATTGCTTATTTGCTCCGTGTCAACGGTACGCTACAGGGCGTGCAACAAGTAAACGCTACGGAGGGTGCACGCGTGCCGACCCCAAAGAGGGACGGAAGATGGGAACTCGAGTGACTTGATCGCGACCGACCGTAAAAAAGACGGGTCGGTACCGAGTAATGCAAAAGAGTACCTTTAACGCCGGATTGAGTGGTCTGGGTCCGCTGCAGGCAAGTCCGCGTCAGATGGCGCACCGCGGGATGTTGCCTGACGTCGACGCTCGCACATACCGTGCTCTCCCCGTGGACGAAGAACGCGAAGGAGAAGGACAGATGACTGCTGCAAACGCAACGCTTTCTTAGAGCACAACCAAGCTACCGACTTCGGCTCGGTGGAGTCAACTCGAACGGAAATAAACGGAAACTCTTCGACTTAGTGGCTCGCAACGTAAATCGATTCGGCCGCGAGGACGGGTGCCATACGGAACGCCACTTACTTAAAGCGGTACGTCCCGGCTAAATTAGAAATATCGTCCGAAGCCCCAAATAGAAATCTTTCCACTTGGATTCTCGATCTGCCCGGATAAAATGTCGACCAAAGATCCCGGGTTCTTTCTTTTCGGGGAAAGACGCGAGTCCGAAAAAGTTCCTCCCCTTCGGTGGAGAGCGCGGATGCTCGGCCCAAGACGTACCTGTTACAACGATGCTTCTCGAAGCCGTCGTACGGCTGCACGAACCACTTTCCAAGGCGGACGAAGTCACGGGACAGCAGGCACCGCTCGATCAAGTTGTGCAGAGCCTTGAAGAGAAGTGACCGGCACTCGTACGACAGTCCGCTCTCCCAAGACCCCTGCTCGCTCTCTGCAAATACGCGCTTATGTCAAAAACTCGCTGTGTCGGGCGCACGCCCCAAACGCGAGTAAAACTACGTAAGCGGCCGGGAAGACCGGCTAGTCGCGACATTTTCTTCTTCTTTTTTTTCCCGGAACCCTACATACAGGAGGATAATCGTTGCAACGAGGGGAAACGAGCGCGAGCGGCACTCCGAGGTTGACCGAGAAAACGGAAAAGTTCTAGAATCCCGAGGTTGTTGCCGGTCTCGACGCTTTCCCTCGGTTTTGTTCTCGCGCCGCCGTGCTAGCTTCCTCCCGTCTAAAACTCGGCTCTCTTAAGCGCCGAGAAATCGGCCATTCTCAGGAATCCACGATGCGGCGACGTTCCCCCGGGCTTTTAAAAAAACGTAGAAAAGAAAAATTCGTTCGTAGCCCCCTAAAGTTGCACTCAGGCAATGAACTTGGTGATAGAAGATTCTTGGAAGCGTAAACCTTGGCAAACGTAAACACGAGGTCGCGTCCGCGCGGAGGCGCGCTCTCGCGGAAGTTATGCGACTCCGGGCGCGCGCCACTTAGGCGGATCGTAACCTATTTTGACGAGGACTTCGCCACCGTTCCTCGATCCATGGACCGGACTCGGAACTTCTCGTTCGACCACGTGGTTCGCCTCGTTGGGTAACGCTTTCGCCCTTTCCTCTCCAACGTGACGCGGGGGTGAACCCCCAAGAGACGCGCCGTTCGGGACGACGACGGAACGACGTTTTACGAAATCGTAATCCACCGTTACCTTTCGGACGCGGTTAACGAAAACGAATCGCTCTCTCCATTTTCCGTTGAACGTTAAATTATATTATAAAGTTTCGCGCATCGTCACCGGGCGTCGGGTTGAGCACCGCCGCTCGATCGATGAAAGCGGCGAGGGCGGGCCCCGTGTCTCCGCGGTCCGAGGAGGACTTACCGCAGGCGATGAGCTCCGGCGAGACCAGGCCGGAGAGGTCGGGCTCCTCGCCGTACCAGAAGATCCAGAGTTCCTTGGCCGCGGTGAGGGAGAGGGGCGGGGGCGCCGGGGAGGGCGCGATGCCCAGGTCGAAGATCCCGCCGGAGGCGCCACCCCCGGGCGGGCCGGAGCCGGGGGCGGGGGCGGCGGCCACCCGCCGCCACACGCAGAGGATGTCGCCGGCCAGGCACCGCGAGAAGCTCGACAGCACCGGGTCCTCGAGCGGGGTGCCCCCGAACCCGCCGCTCGCCTCGCCCCACACGAGCTTCCTCCATTTTATGCCGCAGAGGTCCGTCTGAAAAGAGCCAACGTTTGTCCGTTAGTCGAGCCGACACGAGCCGATACAAGCCTGGGGAAAACTAGACTCTTCGTCACTTGGGTAGATCCACTTAAACTCCGAACTCTCTGCGAAGCAGGAGAGCCACGCTTCCGACTATTTTTTTTCCGACGAGGTGGGGTTAGAAAGTCCGGGATCTCTCGCCGATTCGAGGAGGCAGAGTCGCGCAGTGGAGGCGCACGGCGACCCCGGCCCTCGGGCAGGATCGATCGGCCGACGCGAATGACGTCGGCGGTCACGTGGCGAAGACGCACGTGGTGGAGAAGGAGCACGTGGGTAGGCGGAGACGCGAGAGGTTAGGTCGCGGTCGGCGAGCACCCCGAGCTTTTAACGCCCCCGTAACCTCGTATGGCTGACGTTACCCCCGAATTACGGTTTACCCTTAAAGTGCGCGTTAAAGCTGCGAGTCGATGCGCGAGTTTCCGTTTCTCCCCTTCGAATAGGATCCCTTGTATTCCCGAACTCGGATAGCGGCTCTACCGACCTCGGAGGAAAACGTCGTTTCGGATAAAAGGTATATCGAATGCATTGATTACGAATTCACAAATCCTCGATAAGTTATCCTATCGGGGCAATACGGTAATTTCCATTATTACGTTCCCGGTACGTTGCCGAGTCCGTGAAAAAAATGGTTACAACAATTATCGAACGAACGATTACCTCGATTCGGTCTTGGACGGAATTCCTTCTCCTCGAAGGGGAGGAGTCGCGGTCGACCGACTGGAATCGGAGGGCCGCCGATGGCACCTGTCGCGACCGAGACGAGGGACGCTTCCGGTATGGAGAGCGGTACGTCCGTTTGTGCGCCCCAACGAGCGAATTTAAGGCGCCGATAAAAGTCCGTCCAACCGATTGCCATTTTGCGGCTATTTTGGGGGTAGCGACCATCCAGACCATCCAGACCATCCACTGGGACAGAGATCGGCGCCCTCGCCGCCAATGGACCCCCCTCGTGCCCCTTGCCTCCTGGGGCTCCCGGGGCTCCCGGCTCTCCCACGGGTGGCCGTCGACCTATCCTTCCTCCCCCTTCCCCGCCTCCCTCGCTCTCCCTCGCTCTCCCTCGCTCTCTCTCGCCCACGTCCGCTACCCTCTCCGGCAGTGGTTCTTAACCCGCGTTTCGCATATCTTTAACGCGCACCGAGAAGAATAGGATCCTCGAGCCAGAGAAATATCTTGTCGTTCAAAGAACAATTATAATGATAAAGGCGACGATACTCCCGTTCCGTTAGAGAGGCATCGCTGGCCGGCGGAAGGCCGGCGGAAGGAAGGCGACACGAGACGAGAGGAGAGAGCCGCGTCGGATTTTAAAGACGCGGATGCGGCACTTCGGTCGACGTCTTTCGTCGCGTCACGGCGAGCATCGCGAAAACGTTAACTCACGATCACCCGATGCGAGCGTTACCGGACATCGTCCCGGACGAGAATTTTCCTCGCGTACCGTGAAGAACGATTCCGAATCGGAAGAAATCGACAGCGACGAAGACCACGAGCCGAAGTAAGCGGGAAGTTCTCGCGGTCCGTTAAATAAAAACGTCGTCGTCTTCGGCGGAATCCGGGAGTTAACCGTTGACCGACCCATTTTAGGGACACCCCGTAGGCAGGACCGGGCGATAAATTTGGAAAGAGGCGCGAGCGGGCGGGCGGGCGGTTAAGCCGCTGATCGATACAGGCAAGGCGACGTGCAAGGCCGCCCGCGTGGCTCCCAACGCGGAATTCGCTCCTAACCTAACCCCGATAGCGCGCCTCTCTCTCTCTCCCAGGCGACCGGAAGCGACCGGAAGGCGACCGGAAGGCGGAAAGCGAATCCGCCCGAAGGGGAGGAGGGGGCAGACGAAATTTGAGATCCGCCGTCGCAGGGCGCACGCGCACCGGGAAATCAAGAGGGACCAATGGGAACCGACGGGAAGCAACGATCCGCGACGGGACGAGAGGACACGCGACCTCTTGCCTCGAGTTTTCGGAAGCCCGGGCTATCTCGTTGCGCGCTCGTGCCGATCTCCCGGGAACGTCCGTTTTGGGTCGCCCCGGTCCCCTTCTTCTCGAGGCGAGTCCGCCCTCCTTCGACCCTTCCCCTGGAGCTCCGACTCCGACGCCGACGCCGACGCCGGAAAGGAATTCGGCGCTCTCGATCCGTCTTCTTTTGCAAACGTTTGCAAACGTTTGCAAACGCAACGGATTCGAAACCGAAGTGAATTCTTAACTCGTACCTCGTCTTCCTCGCTTTTAAGGCTAACGTCCCGGAGATCCGAAACGTTAAAACGTGGGAATATTTAGGTCAGAAGAATCGTGCGCAAAAATGGACCGTTGCGGTCCATTCAAATGAATAACCGATACCGGCAAATGTGTACACGTTTGTAATACGTTTCCAAAGAAATGTTTACTTCTATGACATCGCGTAGTAAGTATTCCGTACCTCTTGCGCTGGCCCGCGAAAAGGGACTTTTCGAGGTTATGCTCGACGGTACCTCGTCACAGCGCCGAGAGTAAGATAAGAAAACCGGGATCGAGAAGCGATCGCCACCACGAGAACTTGGTCAAGTTTCCAGGCTCGTGGGTAAAACCGTGGTTTGCTACCAAAGCCAACTCGTCCGTTTCAGCGATGAAATAGAGCGGAAAAGATCATTTACCGTCAGCGGAACCGGACTCGTCACTCCGCGACCCGCCGGCCGTATGTGACGAAAGGGACGGAGATCGTCATTTATTCCTCGGGAGCTGGAAAACCAGCTCCGCGAGCATTTTCCCGGGAACTGGCCCCGGGGAGTTACCGTCCCTTTATTCTTTCCTTTAGACCTTCGAAACGCGGAGTAAACCGAAAACTCGGTCGTCTTCCATTCCGGTTCGAGGAGTTTCGTTTACGAAACCGTTCGATGGCGCAGGGCGACACGGTGCAGTCAATTAGGACACGAAAACCACGAATCCGGGAGATTTCTTTATAATTATTGTACGGAAACGACACACGGAGTCCGAGATTTAGGACAATACCCAATATAAATCGATCCGGCTGCCGATATAAATACGAACGTCGGCAACGTAGGTATTTAGAGGAATCTTTTTTCACCGAAGTTGATTACATTCTCGACGTGTTTCACTTCGCGTTAACCACGTGGATGAATCGTCGGCTCACGCGGTACATTCGTTTATCCCTTCCCCCGCAAGGTGGTCTACGCGTACAGGTTTTAAAATCTGATTGGGTCGCACCCCGCCGATTCGTGCCGTTGGCTCACGGAATTTACCCCTTCCATCGCAAAGCGAGGTCTACGTATCCGTGGTCCAAGGGAGGCGCGCGCATCGCCCGCGCGTAATCCGACAACTCGGCGATACGCGCGCATCTCGTGACGGCCAGTCGAAGACGCGACGGCGCGAGCAGAGGTTCTTGGCTCGTCTTGCGCTAGCTCGTAACGCGTTCCGCGCACATTTCGGCCCTTTCCTTGGATATTTACGATCCCTCGTCGGTTTCGCGACTCGAAGGAGGTTAAGAACCACTGGGTTAGGGCTTAGCTGGAAAAATTGTCCAACCGACCGGATTCCACGGCACGACGCAAGGCTCTTCCCTCCCGGTTACCCCCCGTCACTTTTCTCCGCGGAAACGAACGGCCTCGATATTTCCCCCGTTCTTTTCCATCGAGCGTGCACCCATGTTCGTTTGAGGCACCTCGACGAACGGAAAACAAGGCGGGGGTCGCCATTTTTCCACCTTTCGCCGTTCTTTCGACGGAGCGACCGTTTCCTCGGGCGTTCAATCGATTAGTTGGTAAATTGTCAACGAGAATGGAAGCTTTCGGTACGGTTCCGTATACGGGAACCGACCTCTATCGGGCATGTCATTTGCGCGGGTTAATGGCGGTTGACGGTTCGCGAACAAACGCGACGCTACCGGGAAAACGAAATATAATTACGGAACGACGTTGCAGCGTCCACGTTGTACTTATTTCGCTGTACTTTAGTCGACCAAGGGCGCCATGCGTGGAATTTAGCCGCCAGTCCAAGCTTTCAAAGGGCGTAAAATACCACAAATATGCGTTAACGTGGCCATCGAAAAGAAACGTTTTCTACATAATTTAACTCCTCGGAGATCGCTTTCTCGGCACCTTAAGGTGATGCGAAGGTGGCGTCAAAGAGGACGCGTTTATGAAACTTTTCTCCGGAAGTACCGAATCGTTTCAAACTTTACAACGGGAGTATGGAGGCTACAAAGAAGGTCCCGACCCCCCATATTATTTAAATTTTTATACAATTTGTTCATAGGCATTTTGAGGGGGAAGACTCAGGGAACGACAATTTCACCTTTTCCGACGTTTACAACCTAAAGGATGCCGGACATCGTCCATCCGTAGCATTCTTTACATTCGAAATGTAATTTATTGCTTTTCTACGATTTTCTCCGGTACGGAATAACAAGGAAAAACGCGAAATTACCGAACCCTGGTCGCGCACACGTATGCAACGTATATAAGCGGACATTCGGCGGGCATTCGGCGGGCATTCGGCGGGAAACTCTGCCGTTTCCTACTCGCGCGTCCCCTTGGAAAAAGCCGCGCCGAAACGATTATCGATTTCTCGAGGCCGCCCGTCGCGAGAGGGGCGGAGGTCGGGAGTCGGGGGCAAACGGACCGCGAACGATCGACTCGTTCCCCGGGTCCGGGGAGGAGAGGTTAGACCGTCGATAATTAATGCACGCGTCGCGCCGCCGCCGTTTAGGGTCGCGTGGATTTCAGGCATTTCCCTGAGCTCGGCGTCGCCCGCCCGACCGATCCGGAGGGTGTTTTCAATTCCCGGGGGTAGTTGAACGAACGCGACTTTAACCGGCCCTCGATTAACGATCGATAATCGAGACCTCACGGTTAGCATTTACGGATAAGGGATACGCTTACGCATCCGGGTCGATTCTTTTGTTCGGAGTTCGGACAAAATTTTCACCCATTTGAGAAAGTCTCCCCGGACCTGGCAACGCCGATGGGTGCACATCCCAGACGTCCCCCACTCAGCGGAGGAACGAGGAAGGCGCGACCGTGGCCGGGCGGAGCGAGCTGCGCGCGCACATAGGCGTAGCGTCCCGGCACATGGCCCTTCCGTTTCCTTCGCCACTTCCAAGATCCCTTCTCTTCCGTAAAGTGATACGAAAGACGTCGAGAAACCTCATCGACGTAGGTAAACGAAATCACCGATCCGTATACTACCTGGATAGCCGATATTCCGTAACATTTTCCGCCATTGCGGGACGTAGGCCTCTAGTTATGGGCACGTCAACTGGTATCGTTGTATTTGCGCATGCCTCAAAACGACGCGTCATTCAACCGTAGATTGGATAAGAGGGGTCAAATTAATTTACCGAAAGAAAATAATTTTGGTCGAACCTTTCTTTCGATATGCCCGGCGCCCCGTTTTCCCCGTAAATGATGTCTCTTCTGCCCTTTATACCTTAAACGTTTACCTTCGCAAATTGACTTATTTAGTATCGTTGCTCACGCGCAAGGGCGCCGGGGTACCTTGAATTCGTCCGAGTCCTCTTCGTATGGAAGAAATGAGTATCAACCCTATTATTTTCTTCCAGTAAATTAATTTGACACCTCTTATCGGGAAACTCGGGAGAGTTTCGCGCCAAATACGATATCAGTGGATGTGCCGACAACTAGAGGGCTTCGTATTGGTATACGGATCGATGCAAAGCCACCTCCATTCTCATTAGGCTGGTTGGCCGATATAGGGTGTCTCCTATGGAACGCCCCGATTTAATTTCGTAGCGGTCATCGTTTATATTTTAGTTCGGAGGATTCTCGCCGTGATTAAGGGTAGAACGCTGAAATTTTTGGCCAATTAGGCACATCGTGTCGCTAAGATGATATAAAATTTCACGAGACCTTTGAACCTCCGCCTCGACTCGCGGGCGTTTTTGCCACGAGAGGACGTCGTTCCAGGACGACGGCCGTTTGATTTCTAACGGAGCCCCGATGACGGGGCACGCCGGAGGAAGCGGCGTGCGCGAACGGAAAGCCCCACGCGAAATCGCGTCGTCGAGCAACGCTAAGATCTAGATACTCGTTTCGTCTCGTTCGTTGAATCGGACCGACGTCACCGGAATCGACGAGTCTCGATTACAAAAGAAACGCGTCAGCTGGTTCGCGCGCAAAAGGAGGTTAGGGGGTCTCCTCCGTGGCGCCATCTAGTGCCCGTTTTGGCCTACGGTCCCTCCCTTCGCATCTTGGCCAATTTTAGGAATCTTCTTTATGTCGTTGCAGTTCCTGGGAATTGCCAGGGAAGTATTTTGCGAATCTAGCGGCACATGAAATATTCACCTTTAATATTCGAGAAACGGAGCGGATACCCCAAACGAGCCATTCGTAAAAGATATCGACAAGAGGCGGCCGCTGATCCATATACTAACAAATGCGAGTTTCTCGATCACTAGAGTGTTTCAAATCGTTGTACGATTGTCCTGACATCTTCGTTTCTCGCATCGGAGCTTTCGATACTTGCATATCGATCGAAATATGAGAGCTCGACGCTATCTTGATTCTGGCCTAGGCTAAGTCAAAAAACTTTATATGAAAAATGGAAAATTTGAAAGTATCTGAACAACTTAGGTGATCGCGAGTCGTGTGTCAGAGTTTCGAACGTTTCGATCCAATACCTTTAAAAAGAAGAGTATCTTATTCGAGTCGACGGATCTTTCGGGGGTCGCTTCACCTTAACCGGAAACCTCCGTGTGGTCGCTTCAAAATGTCACGGCACATTTTGTAGGATATCGGCTATCCAGTTAGCATATAGGATCGATGGCTCCGAGGGGAGTCCCTCGCGGCTTGGAAAAAGGCGAGAAGTTTCGAGGGATCGGAGCGCGCTCCCGACTTGACACAGTTTCCTCGGGCCTCGGCCTCCCTCGTGGCGCGCCGGCGAAAGGAATGTTACGAGAGAGAGAGAGAGACGATCTCTCCTCCGACTGCCGTGACGGCCAAGGGAGGGAGGGAGAAGACGCGCGGCCGGCGTTGCCACGTCGGGGTTACGAAAACCCTCGGATCGGAACTCTAATCGGTCCTCTTCGGATTTCCTCAAATTTTCTCTATTAGCGCGAGTGGCGCTACCGGATAGCGCGCCGCGACGCCGCGTCGCCTCGCCGCTGGACGACGCCGCGAGGTGGCGCCACCGGCGACCGCTTCCATTCCCCGCGACATTTCAAACGCTCGACCGGGTTGGAGTATGATTTTCTGTTGCGAGCACGCGAAAACGATTCTAGCAGGTTATTCGATCCCGATCGAGTTTTCAAAACAAGAAAGGCAATCCGAGCTTGAATTCTGCTATTCATTTTCTCCGCTCTTGCTTCCCGCGGTCGACGTTTGCTCGATAAATAAAGGATTTCGATTCTTGGAATGTCTTGGTCTCTCGTTTTAAATTTAAAATATCCGCAAAACCGTACCAAAGTGTGTTGGAATATTTCACCGTAGGGACGTTCCCGTCGAAAAAAAAGAAACTGGGCAATATAAGGTGAAAAATTAAGTAGATTAGTATCACGCGTTTAAAAAAACTACTTATATTTCACTTGTTCCGACAAGAGGGTCGAACGTTTCCTCGGATTTGCTTATAAATTCCTCATTTCTTTGGCCTGTCTTCAAACGGTTCAAAATTTCCTCCAAAAAAGAAGGGGTAATCAAAGTAGCCACCTCTCATTTGATTCGTTTTGAAATACGTTATAGAGCATTGCACAGTAAGGGATATGCGTTTTTATAGCTATCCAAATTCATATTTAGGGAGTGAATCGTTTCTTAATTTTTTGAATTGTATACTTGAAAAATAGTATCGATGAAACTCAATAAAAACTCAGCATTTATTGAAATTACATTAATATACGTTACTTGAACATTGATTTATTATAAATCCACTTTTCCGTGGTGGGTGAACTACCCCTATATGGCTAAAAAAACACGTCACTTAGCTATTTTTTCCGAATGAATTTATTTTTCAATGATTACTTCCAAGAAATGGACTACAGAGACACAAAATACTTGCATCTTTATTAACAATTAAATTCAATATAGGGAGAGGATAAGTCACCCTTTTCAAATAATCACAACATAGATACTTGAATATACTTAACTTCGGATAGGAAAATGCCTCAGTGCTCGACTAAATATGTAATGTAAAAGAAGAAAAGGTTTTCGTTTAACAAAATCGCAATAATATCGACGCATATCTACGTGTGCGTATCCATTCGGTTGTTTGCATAGTCTAGACTACCTACATTTATTTATTTATTTATATTCTTAATATATTTTAACATTGCGAAATAAATATCCGATGTTCGATCGAGTACCAAAGCACTTTCCTATCCAAAGTTGGATATTTTCCAACATCTATCCGGAGATTTAACAGAGGTGATTTACCCTCTCTCTACAGTGAACTTAATTTTGACCGAGACTATACGTTTTCCGTACGCTTGTGGTCCATTTTTTTGTAAATAATCATAAAAAGTAAGTACGTCGTATGTTAAAAGAATTTTTAATTTTCAATCCAACAGGGGTACCTAGGTATCCGTGAATGTAATATCCAAGATACATAACTTTCTGGACGGAAGGTTCCATTTAACTCCAACTACTTAATACTGGATATAAAAGATTACTAATGGCGAATAAATATAGTTCCAAGTCGACGCAACGGTGAGTTCTCTGGCAAGCGGCAATGTTACGAGAAAACCGTTAAAATGATTGCAAATCCATGAAATTTTACATTGGGACAAGACGGGTATCAATTCTTCCAAAGTCATTCACTTTTCGAGACGAATTAACCTTCCATTTCAATACGTTCGTACACCGAATAATAATAGCTGGACGAAGCTAACCTCAAGAAAATGAAATATCGTCCGAAATTAGGGCGAATTTCGTTGGATCGGCTCACCTTATTTTCTTGGCAACGGCAAATAAAAATCCTGACACGAGCATCCCTTTTCCTTTTCCTTTTCATGCAGTAACATATTCCGAAAACCTTCAAGGACCATTTCACCCCTAAATATAAGTTTGGGCATATCCCTCATTTTTTGACGCTCCATCAAACATTCAAGACGAATCGAACCGAAGGCGGGCAGATTCGAGGAAAAGTCTTCGGACTTGCGGCAGGGGAGGGGGCGAGGCCGCTCGGGCGGAGGGGGGCAAGAGAGACGCGACGTCGGCGCCCACCGCCAGGGAGGACGACTTCCTCGGGAGTTCCCGCCGACCGTCCACGTCCTTGCGAGAGAGAGAAAGAGGGAGCGACGTGACGTCGAGCCGAGGCATGACATTGGGCGCACGCACGACAAACTTGAAATCTCCGGTGCACGCGCGGCTAGATATCTCCGTGCCACGCGTTTCCCCGAGGTTCTAGAAGTCGACTCCCCGACTCCCCGTCTCTCCCTCTCTTTCTCTCTTTCTCTCAACTCGCGTTTCTACGAGTTCCCGTTCGTCGTGCCTCTCGGAGAGGAGAACGCTCGCGGGAGAGAGAGGGGGAGAGGGAGGAGGGAGCGCTCTCGGCTTCCCACGGGGACGTTCCGGGCACGTCCCGGGCGCCGACGAGGGCGCCGACGAGGGCGCCGTCTCCGGATCGCGTCCGCGCCCGAGGAACGCTCTCGGATCCGCCGTGGCCGAGAGAGCCACGGGGTTTCTCTTCGCTGGGTACTCACCAGCGCGAAGAAGTTCGTGTGGCAGTCCTCCAAGCTGGCGCCGTTGGTCTGATGCGACGGGTGCGTCATGGTTGCTCCATGGTACGCCTTGATCACTATCGACACTTTAACGCGCACCGATCAGGCACGAAATCCTTGTCGCGAGCGTACCACTATTCGAGAACATTTAGGAGGGTTTTCACCTCTCAATGGCGACCGTAAAATGGCGGCCGCTGGGCAACAACAAGCGCAGCCGCCGAGGGCGCCGCCTGGCGGTCGCCGCTGGAGTCACGCCGCCGCCGCCGAGGCGGCTCGGCGGTCCGAGAGCCGTCCCACGGCAAGATGGCGGCGCTCACGAGGCATGGCCTCCTCGGGATTTCCCGGAGACTCGCCGGCAAACTGATCGACGCCCGGACCCCGGACCCGGACCCGACTACGCCGGCTCGGCGCCTCGCCGAGGCGAGCGCGCCGCGCCGCCTCCTCTCATCGTGGACCGACGCCAAGGCACCGACACGCGAGTCCGACCGCGACGACCAGCCGGACGACCTTCCTCTAGGGGAACTCGGCGGTACGCACCGCGCCACCGGGGCCTCGATCGCCGCCAAGGGGTAAGCCGGTCACGGACGAGCGGGCGCACTCGGTCACGACGCGCGAGGAACGACCTCCGGACTGCTCCGGACTGCGGAATTCGCGCTGCTCGCTACCTCACGGGGCACGCACGGCGGCCATCTTGTTCTCGGTCGCGCCCGACCCCCCACCTACCGGCTCCTCCGTCGCGCTGCCTCGGCCGCAGGGACGACTCGTCTCCGCGGCCCCCGGGCACCCCCCGGGCACCCCCCAGACTTCGGGATGACCGAATCTGCCGAATGATCGATCCGTCGATTCTTATTTTCACGTATCCACCCGATGCGAAGTTCGTGGAGTTCGAAAACTCTCGGTGAGAATGTCTCGGGAGAACGTAGCGATGAAAGTCACTCCAGTACGCCGATAGTGCGAGAACTTGTCAAAGAATATTTATTGGAAGTCCAATAATCAATATTTATTATAAAAGTTTCAATAATGCGTTTCATACACTTTCTACGGATGTGTCGTAATTATTACGAATTGCGGCTGATTTTTTCGTAGAATGACCCTGGGGTTTTCTATCATTTTTGCGAAACGTCGGATAATCAGGAAAATTTGAGGATAGAACCCACCGATTTACTTCAGCCTTGTTAACCGTATCAACTGTATATATGTAGGTATACATTGTTGCGAGTAAAGTTTTAAAACTTTCTAAACTTTAACATAAAGGGAGTAAGACCCTAGTCCAAAAATCGAAACAACGATACGTACCTTTATACCATTTGTGTCCCCTGCCTCTTTTGTACCGCTAACCAAGATGCATGATTTTTGTTTTGGAGATGCGTCGTTTCTGCAAAGTTATTCTTAATTATTTATGATTTACGCATTTAAAATCGAGGCGAAAATTATTACAAATTTAAATGGCTAGATGTTATACTGGGACCGTACCTACTGACCACTGCAACTAATAATGGCTTTTACATTCTAGTGTTTAACTTTTTGTGCCAATAACATACAGATTACGTAAAGATCACTTGCGCAAGTACTCCTTGCACCGATTCCACAATACTAAACTTCAACTACAAATGAAAAAATTCAGCTTAACTTCCGCTACACGACCTTGCACATAACGAGACTGGTACAAGATTTGAAAATACAGCATAAATATTGAAGGGCAATGTTTTAAATGCTATGGTACAAATTGTTTCTATCACATTCTGAAATATGTAGTCGACAAATGCTTCTTTATCGGTGTTATATTTTATATGTAAATATGTGCCACCGTTTGGCATGATTATTCAAATTTACTTTGACATAGTGTTTCTTCTTTTTAGGTTCTTAAGGCCTTATAAACCTTATACACCACCATGTGACGTTTTGACAAAAATCAACGAAATATGCAAAGCCTTGGGTGTTCCGATCAAAAATGATTTTGGCCTCAAAGATCCCATCTTGCGGTTCAAGTTTTTCGTGGCCTGCGAAAAGGAGTTCAACCACAGCATACCAAATTCTCTCTTATATACCATAGAGACAATTAGTAAGAGAAATATCTTTAAAATAATTAATTTATACGTACATTCACTTAATGGAATAATATCGAAGAGGGGAAAGTGTATGTATGGAAAAGAATTCTATTTAATATCAGAAGACAAGAAAAGTATCATACAATTAATGCATAAAGTACTTTAAAAATTATAAATTAAAAGGTTGCCAACATGCCGAAAGTTGTTCTTTTTAAAAATAGAACATAATTTTTTCAGGAGATGTTCGCGAGTACTATCTAACACCAGTGGACTCGGTTACACCACTAGAAACATTGAAACGAATTGACTTACCAAAGAACCTACACATTAATTACGAGTACCATCGTTTCCATCCTGGTCAGTGTTATCCGCTTTATAACAGGAGGACTTTATCAAAACAATGAAAGGGAGCTTTCCTTCCAGTTAACGTTTACATTTCATTTCAGAGACCGACACAAAATTTAATGGTAAAACAGCGTTCCCAGCCAGTTCGACTGTAATAACTGGATTGAAGTACAAGAAGAAGTATTCAGGACACGTCCAAAAGACATCCTGGCCTTAACATGGGCACATACCCTGCTAATGCTGTATAGTTAACTTTGAAATAAAACATCAAAGATACACGATGCTCGAATAACTTTCCAGTGACTCAATATAATTGTAAAAGTGATATATGGTAATAATATACTCTAGATATTCAGTTTTCAGAATTTCTTTTGATTCTTCAGATATGCAATAATTTCTAGATCGGTATAGAAGGAAATTCATAATAAATAATGCCACTAATGTTACAGTTTTATAGTAAGTGCAATCACTTAACATTTAAATATTCCATTAAAAAATCTAAAATGTATAGGCTGTGCAAACATCATCATACGAATTTGAATGATGTAGCTTGCAGAAGTCTTGGTATTTTGTTGTTACCATAAATTTACTAAGAATCCTGGAAGGACAGTAGTCTTGTTTTTGAGCACTTTTTCTTTTTTTTTTTTTTTTTAATATTTACGGGTAGATGGAATAATTGATGTGACAACAAACCATATTAGACTAGTGTTTTGAATACAATCGTATTAAAATTAATCAATTTACAAACAAAAAAAAATGTATTTTTGACCATTTAAAACCAATTGTGTGTCAACTCAATGAATAATCATTTTGTGTATCATTCTATACTTACAACACTCAACATTTAGAGCCACTCCCAGTGGAAAGTAAAGTTAGGTTAATTTTATTATAATGTAATACACTGATAAAACTGTTTTGCCACCGAATCGATATTTTAGATTTAGGCACTAGATCCTTTATATTTCGGATAATTCGGGGAACAGGATCAGGGATCTTAAAAATATATAACAATTTAAAACAAATTTTTATGCAAAACATATATATATATATATATTATGAATGGCTGCATTAAAAAATCTACAATCATCGTTAAATATCCTTGATGAGAATAAGTAGACGTCACTCATGCAGCTTAATTTAAATTATCAGGACCAATACCTAAGGATTTGTAGAGTAGATAGTACAATAGATAGATGAACACAATGGTAATAATGCTATCACAATACCCATGTCCTGTTTTATATGAAATAAAATAAAAAATAAAATTTGTTGTCATTTTGGAAGCTGCATTAGATCGACGACACTAACACAGGGCAATTGTGACTATTAATCTTCGAATCACAACAGACCAACATTTCATTAGATGAACATACTGGTATCCTGCTAACTCGATTAACACCTATTCTAAATAATTATAATCTACTCCACATATCTTTGCATTACTCACTATAAATGCATTTCCACGAGAAAGAGGATTTAATGAGAATCTTAAATGAAATTCAAGTATATTTCGTCCCCCTTTTCCATGCATCTTCTTTCAATGTAGCACCTAAAATCAAAAATCATCTTTTGTTAATATACATGATATAACGTATTTTAGTTAATAATTTTTTGGAACTAGTTGTTGCAACTTGTTCTGTAGGTAGTAATCAGCAGTTACCATTGTTACTTCACAAAGGTTACGAATAACAACTACCATATATTTTCTCTACCACACTGCTAGTAAGACCGATCATTCTCTAGAAAAGGTCTTTAAACTTGCGTGGATCATACAAACTGAACTTTTTTTTTTGTCACAATAATTCTTATAAGAAAGTTGTATTCAACAAAGGAGGTACATGTAGTGGAATATGTTGATACACGTATTCATAAACGCAATCTCTGGTGACCTCTAATTTCAATGCATCTGTTAATTTCAATGCGTTGTAAAAGAACGATGACTGTACGTTAATGTCCGTTCATTGATTTTTCTACATGCCTCTTTAATACATTCCGCCATATTTTTTACAATGAAACTTCCTGGTAAATTCAATGCTTCTTTTAGAAATTGTCAACATCATCTTTCTCCTACAGTTTATCTTCTGACAATATTTCAAAATACAGTATCTACGAGAAATATGGGACCCACATAACATGTGCACATGGTATATAGCATCGATTTACAAGATAAATTTCTTAAACTTGCACCGAATAAACTAATAAGGTCTGGTTCCACAGCTCGAATTAACCAAAATTTAACTAGTTCACCGCCAGTTTAAACCTACTGTAGGCTAATTTAACTTCGGTTAATTAGAGTCATGGAACCAGGCCTGAGTACGAGGCTTCAATGAAATTAACATTTATACCGGATGAACCATTGGAGGCCATTGGTCCCTTCAACTTATCAGCTGCTTTGGCACTTAGCATGTTTAATAATTAAATTTGAATAACCTAAGTAATCCATTATTATAACCTCCAATTATTGAATATACTTAAACATTCATTTATCAAACTAAGATATGCTATATTTTATACTTTTTTCAAAATATTTTTTCGTTTAAAGAAAAACGGAGGTTAGCATTATGAGAATAGTTCGGTAATGCCTCCTGAGCATGTTGCAGAGCGTACACCGTGTTGGCAAAATGGCTACTGTGTGAAATGAAATTTAAATTCTGAAATAACTATTATACGTTGTAATATACGTGTAGAAAACCACGTATATTACTCGACGTATTATACTTACCTAACCCTGCCTGGGCCTAAGACAGCAACCATTAGCCAAAGAGTATTGGATTACCCACTCCCGGATTTTTAGTAAGTAAAATGGCGGCTTTAACCCTTTGAGGTTGATGCCGCCACAGTGGCGGCATTCGCAAACACAGCAAATCAGTTTCAACACTTCTGTGTTTTTTAATATCCATATATTTGTTTTAAATCACTAATGCCCGATTTTTTCACCTACGTATAAAAACCCAACAAAGTTGTCCAGGAGATATCTAGGCGATATCTTTCAGTTTGGTTATTTTCTCTTCCAGTTAAAAGTTATCCGCTGGATAAAATTATCTGGTGGTTTGAGTAGCAGATATCTGGCAGATATCTCTTATAGTGCCCTCGATGTATGTATGTATTTAGATGTAGTAACAATTATTTTCTTTTATTATTATTATTGAATAAAACGTTATATAAAATTTTCAATTTTGTAGGATTTGAGTTCAGTGGCATATTTACAATTTAATAATTCAAAGATATGTGTAGAGTTGCTGCCTTTGTGCATGATACTTTGTTGACCATTAACACTATCAAATGAAACTAAAATTAATGTCGTTATTAACTACGAAATAGAAAACAAACAATCTGTAATCATAGACTTATAGGTCGCAAGGGACAAAAATGACATTTGATGTGTTAACGTGAACATGAAATTATATACTTATATAATATTATTTCCTCAAACGATTATTGTTGTAAAAAGGCAGTCAGAGGACCTTAAAAACTAATTTATCACTGTTCACATTTTATAAATATTAAATAGCAATTTTAACAAGAATAAGGCTAGTACTATACCGAGCATTACATACTATGGTACATTGTCAAATGCTCATTTAAAGTTACATCATTTTGTACACATTCCTTAACTATTGCATTTATCTTACTGTGAAAGTTATTACAAAAAGCACTTGTAATTAAAATATTTACATGTTGACGTTATAGTGACAACTTTAAATGTCTAAAATTGCATATAGAAAGGATCAAAATCGCAAATTGTATATTTCATAATCACTTTTTTATCAATAACTTCATATCTAAAATATTGAATAAATTTATGAACTCTATGAATGTAACACATTTACACAGCAACTACTTATTAATTTTGTAGTCCTTTTTTTTTACTAAACTATATTTTATCATTCGTATTTTGCGTTGTGTTATGTGAAAAATTGTTTACAACATATTGCATGTACTCGATTAAAAGATTCCAGAGTGATAAAAATATAAACCAATAAATTGAACATTTACTGAATACGTTGAAGTTGAAGATTGCATGATGACTTACTCGTCAAAAAAAATGGGCCTTCTTGTCCTGGTAAAAATGTTGAAGGAATAATGTCATATGTCCCTGCAGGTACATCCTCTAACTCCAGATATACAAATCCCGACCTGTAAAGAAGTCACTAAATGTTTAATATAACATATCGTAGCAAATTCATAGATACTAAATGATTAACATTCAACTTGTACAATTGTTACCGAGCTTACAGAAAGATAAACTTACCGAAAAGGGCCTGATGTTTTATTTTTAAATGCTGTGGGTGCATCACTGTCATTTAAGGTCATTGTAACAATTTCAAAGCCTATTTGATATTGCTTAGGACCTTTCAGTATAATCAATAGATAATTATTATTATGACAACTCTCTAATATTAACCGATATCGCGGATTGTTAGGGTATGTTTGAGGGTGATTGCCACAACCACCAGCTGAAATTCCTTTCCACTGACCATCAGTCATCTAATGAAATTAATGTGTTATTTACTTCAATTACCTCCTAGGCATGTTTGTGAAATATAACGACGATTCCAAGATACTTTAAAAATATTTCAAGCATCTTTTGTGGTAAGTATAAATTCAATATTCAACTAGTTCTTTGTTTATACCTCTTTTTCATATTTGTAAGGTTCCGCCATCTTACGAAGAGTAAATGGACAAGTTCCATAAGCACGAAGGGTGTAGTAAATAGTTGTCGTTTTTTCATACTGCGATATGACTAGAGTATAACGAGACTCATTGCTAGGACCCAATTTAATTTTACAGAGATAGTGCGGACTATTAATCCGGACGCCATCGATGTACGGCGGTGGATCATCTGTAAAACAAAAATAAAACGGGAATATAAAGGAAATTCAGGTTTGAATGGTCAGGACGAAATAGATCTTACGCCAAGTTTTATATCGGTATCGTCGTACTTACGCGGGTAATAAACCCTTTTACCGTCGTTTCGGTATACCAGTACCGTTATATATTCTTGATTTTGTCGGAAGTCCGCAATGTCTGTAATGTGTCTGGTTAGCAGGATCCAGATCGCTCCCGAAACGTCTGGCTGCACCTCCAAGGAGAACTGCGGATTGTCACCTATATTAAATGCATCTTTTGCAGGTCCCATTCCAGCCTTCCACATTCTGAAATGTTTGTTGCAAGAAATTTTGTTCAAGCTTCAAGGAAGAAAAAAGATGAAATGAATCCGAGATCGATGCTCACTGATGGATGCAATAGGTGTAATTGAAAAGTCCTGGATTCCAATTTAGGTAGAATACGTCGAAGAAACGGCATATGCTCTCATAGTCTATCCAGAAAATACCGTTATCAAATTGTGAAGCCGAATCTGGATCGTAATTAAGTGACTGCTTCAGTTCGGGGGTCCAATGTTCCGTATCGAGTTCCGAGTAATTCCCTCTCCATCTCAAATGGGACCAAGGATTTTTTAATTGAAGCAAACGTTCACCCTGATACCCAATTAAAATTAGATATAAAAAAATGGCGTACAAGGAGTTACAAAGTATAGAGCCACACCTATAATCATTGACTTACATCTATTTTTCTAACATCCAGCACAGCATAGGCATGGGTTGGAACAAGACCGGTCCTATCGGCTTCTGCGTCGGATAGTTCTTCCGTAGCCACGGTAACCAATACATCTCCTTTGTGCAATCTTAATAAAAGAGTTTCAAACAAGCTGTCTTTGTTAAAATCAGCATCGTTCGGTCGAATTGCCCATCTCTCTGGAATCCACCCGGTTAAAGCATGTAAGTCTATGTTCTGTAACGAATAGATAATATTTCATAAGATTTTCCTAAATGTGACTAGAATTTATCATAAATCGATAATAAAAGTGCAACGGATACTTACACTATTCGAACCAGGAAAATCATAACCTCCCATCACTTTCATATAAGCTTTTTCGAGCAACGAAATCCATAGCTCGCCACGATTGTTAGAATAAGAACAGAGCAGTTGGTTCTGCCGACTAACGGGTAGAAGATCATCTATAATTACTTTACGAGGTACACCATTGACGTGTAGTTTCACCATATATTTACCTAATGTTAAATAACATGTAGAAATTCTTAGAAAATATTATGTAAGAATAATATGCAGGACAACTATTGAATGAAATGAAATGTAAAGAGAATGAATTATACTTATATGGTTTCTTAACTTGCTTTATAACACAAATTTAAAATTAGTTTACGGGTCTCGCATAATAACTTTAACTTACCAAATGGATTGTATACTGGTTCCTTATTTCTATTTTTAGGATAAATAATTGAAGTAACTAATCGGCGCCCAAATTTTTTTTCGTACTGAGCACTTACTGCCAAGGATGCAACAAAAGAACAATCAGAGACCACCTGTGAAAAAGAATCTGTAATAACTTTTCAAGATGTAAGTACTTTACAGGAAAGAAAAAACTTACAGTTTGTTTTATACTATGGTAATCCACATGAGAACCTACGACCATTTTCGGTTCAGAAAACAACTCCTCCGGGCGACACCAGTGAGCAAAAAAAGGCTTTTGCTTGGGAGCTAGTTCCAGTAACCCATCTCGATCCGTAAATGGAATAGCATATTGAAATTTTTCAGCAAGATCGACACTCATAAAAGGCACAAATTCATTATCATTTATGTGAGAACTGTGCAGTAGAACCCTTTTTTCCTCTTCCGTGTAACCACTGTTACCTCCCACGACTTTAAGATGAGCGCTACTGCCACGATGTAACTGAGGTTTATTTGGCCTGCCTGCAAGATGAACGGCATAGAACATTGTCTCTTTTTATATCCTAGGTATAATGTGTGTACGGACTTTCTTACCTGGGCTAGGTGGTGTAGCTTTCACGGATAGCGTAGGGCTTGGCAAGGCTGTCTCTGGAACCGATGGCAAATTTGGTAATGGTTCGTTCGTTCGAACACATTTTGGTGTATCAATGCCTTTGAGAGACTCTGCCCTGTCCAGCGCCAGTCGCACGAGATGAGTTACTTTGGTTTTCATTTCGGTATCAATTATTTGCTGTGAATTCAATAGAATTGTTAAAGATACCACAATTCTATTACATTTTTAATGATATTGAAAAAAGTTCATTTTATCAAAATAAACATACAGCACCGAGTCCAATTTCTGCAACATTGGTGTACAATTTCACTGCAATGTCTTTAAGGCCTGCCTCATCGGCATCTAATGCTTGATTAAAAAGAAATTTACATTTCTGTAGTTCACTTTGATTCTGGGGATCATCATTTGACTTTTTTGCTTCTTCTTCAGTAACTGCATATTACGTAAAATATAAATAAATATAACTTTATATGGTTGTACATATATAAAGTTATATAAAAAAAATATGCATGTTCTCCTTGTATTATAAAGTAGAAACGTGATTATATTATTTATATATTATTAATTAGTAAATAAGACATATGAGACATGGTTCCTAATAAAAGACTTACGCAAATGTTGCAGTGCTTCTATTCTGTTCTTGTATTCGTCTGCTTTTAATGCAAAAGGAGACTCCACTGGCATTTTACTAAGAAATTTAGCAGCGATCTCATAGTAATATAGTGCCTGCTTATATTGTCGATTACTGTCAAATTGAACAGCCCTACGGGCTGCGTTTAAAGCATCTTCTAAATTTTGACTCATTTTGGTTATTAACTTTTACAAAGTATAACAAATTGTATTACAGCAGATTAAACATGAATGACTATGAAGTGTATAATAATCTGGATACAGCATATCTGAAATCATATTAAAATAAGATACAATCATTTTTTTATTTTAGGCTGTAAATTATATCATCGATAAACTTGCAATTCAGGTTATGTTGTTAATAATAAACGTGATGAATACCGCTACATTGATTTCACACAGAATTCATATGCAACATTTTATGTATCGATCTTCTATATAAAAAAAAATAATCGAATTAAAATAACCAGAGGTTAATAATATAATGTAAATTGACTAGCATCACATACAAATATTTAATATTAACAAAGATGAGTTGGGAGATTGCTCACGGGCAGGGTGGCGCGATCGCATCCTGTGCTGCCCTCTGGTTTCGTACGTTAGCTTTCACCGTTTTTGCCCCCAAGCGGCGCAACGATTTTTCTCGATTTCCCTTTTTAGGATCGACCAATTTTTTCGAATGATTAAATAAAAAATTTAAAAAAGATGTGGGAGAAATATCTCGCGAGGAGCCACACCCGAGTCGAGGGGGCACTTCGATGTGCCTGCGTCCTAGAGTCGCCGCCTCGACGAGGGGGTCGGTTTCAGGGTTTGCAGGTTTTTTCGGCCAAGCCTTCCACTACCCTGGGGCCGTAGTGCGAGCTGGGTTTGGCCTTTCGATCTTATCAAAATGATGAATTCTCAATGTCGAATAGAATCCGTAGCTCGATTTAGCGCTATAAAAATTAATCTAGTTAGGATTCTTTCAGCCTCTACGACGGTAGGTGCCTTTTCTTGTGACCGCGTTCTTTGCTGGCCCCCACCCTTCGTCTCCTCCAGGAGCGAGTCGATCGGGTCGAGGCCAGGAGACGCGGTAAACCGAAACTTCGCGAATCCCTCCGATTGCCATCCGCGTTTCGATTCCGTGAACGAGTTTAATTTTTCCTTCATTCAACCGGCGATGGCAATCGGAACGTATGAGTGTGAGAACTGAGCTCGGGGGTCGGAGGCATCCCGGGATGCTGTCCCTAGGATTAGGCTTTTTGTCCCCGAGCGGAATGAGAGAGAACCGTGGAGTGAGTGTGTTGGAACGAATGTGTTTTTTCTTTTAGATATAGCTAGGGAGGTAGGTCAGTTGTCTTGACTGAATGTCTAGTTGTAAGCAGGCAGGGCCAGGGCGGGATCTCTTCCTGAGGGTTTGGGAGGAGATCCTGGATCTGGGGTAATTTTCCATCGTTCGCGCTTCCGGAAGCGCGGAGGATGTCCACCCTGTGATATATCCGCGATTGTAAAAATTTTCTTTCGGGACTGAAATTAATTAGACCGCGCTTGGGAATCGAATAAATGTGCAATACGCTCGGACTGCGCATCCTCGGATCGCAGGTCGTCGTTTTGCTAGATTTTAGATCTGCTCGCGGAGTGATTTTTTTTTTTTTTTATTAATCCGACAAATCAGGAGATTGCCAAGCGTTCGAGACGTAGGGGGCTCTGCTCGAAGAGACTTCAAAAGTCGAAGAGGCTATATGCCGAAGCGGCCCCTTAAGAAGAGGGCAACTACGATGGTCTTCCGTTCTTTCGAACGGACAATCATCATTTATTTGGCCACGTTGTCCCTCCTATACTTTTATACGTATTTTATCAGGATTGACGGGGAGAGACGGTGAACTATCGTTTTCACGAAATTTTCTCGAGTCCGCATTTAAGTGAGATAAATATATTAGATTTTTGTCACGCCAAGTAATGTATAATTGAATACATTTTTACTGGGTCAATTATACGAGATCGATGCACTGCGAAATATTCTTGATTTTAATGGTAACTTTCGTAACTTATTAGCTCTTGTATCACCGTCCCTTTCTCGCTTTCCCAATGGATTCGTTTGTGCCTTCGTGTTCCCTTTCAGCTTTAGGTGGGCCACTTCGGAGAATCTGGCGACTTCCTGGTGTTTCTTCAATGTTCCGTTTTACCTGTTTTGTGCCCCTTTGCAGGTTTAGGTGGATCACCTGGAAGCAGCCATTTTTGGTAAAATCATAATGGCAGTTAATCGAAATCGAGCTTTCTGCACTTGTCGGTAGAAGATGTTAAAATATGTTATAGGATGTTTGTGAATTTTTTTCGCGATGCGAACTGCGTCCACGGTAGCTTGATGGCGAAGGTGGTTCCATTTAAATTGATTTCTCGAGCTAGTGGCCGCGATTTTTTTCGGAGGAGATACAGGGTTTTGGAGCTTTTGTGAGGAGTTCATCGCTTTTTCAGCCGGTTCTCGGGCTGCCCAAAATTGTAACAGGTGGCAAGTGCATGTCTGCCGTCTGCATGACGAAGTCGCATAAAAGGTCCTGATGCAGAGAAACACCGAAGTGGGAGAATTTCCATCGTAAATATGTACATACGTAACAATCCCGCTCTGATGTTGAACGTGGTATAAACGCCGTTTTTCGCCGGTGTCAACGGTAAAGCCAAAGTAATGGAGAGTTTACACAGCATTTAACGTCAGTAGTTATAACACCCGTGTAAAGTGGTCGGTATAAATGATTCAGTCATTCATGAGAACGTGTCCTCGTGTCGCCATCTATCGGCGGAGACTGAAATTAAAACGAAATTGCGGGTTAGTCACGTGATCCGCCCTATCCAATCAGGAACATCAAAAGGCCCCATACGTGGCACGAGGTACAAATCCTTTCCAAGTCCGCCATCTTGACGTACGGTACTTTTCGGGAGTGTTGGTTTTATGTTTTATCGTTTCTCGTGAAAATAATCTTTTTTACTGAAACGTAAGTAAACGGTGAACCGTGGATTTGCGCGAAGCGAGGCATGCTCGTTTGGCGGAGACTAAGAGGCTAGATTTGAGGGAGATTTTCGACTAACTCGCGAGAACTCGTAAGGGAGTAGGTCGTGGCTGACAGACAACCGGGTGCATCGAGTACAGCATTTGCCGAGTTGCGCGAACATTTCGAGCTTTGTTCTCCCGATCTTTTGGAGCTCGGCTCCGAGCACTTCGATTTCGAGGGACCTCTCTTAGCTTCGAGTCGGCGGTACGCCGTTCCGTACGGTCACGCTCGCTCGGTAATTCGCCGAGTTCCGTTAAAATAAGAATCGATAGTGGACACTCGCGGCGTGTTCACCCCGAGCGTTAGTCATTTTTTGCCGGATTTAGCTGCCAAGTACGTAGTATTTCATCGCAGATTCCTTTTCTTACTGTTAATGGTGAGTCAGGTTATTTTGTACCACGACTCACCTGCCGATAGGCTTATTATCTGTGTGTATATGTGTGTGTATAAGGCCGTCGAGTTTCTTAAAAAATTCTTCCATGAGATTGTGTTTCGGAAACTCAGATTCTGCAGAATTCTGCACAAATCTTCAAACTACATCATTAAAGTTCAACTTGAGATATCTCGTTATTTATCTAACGTGTCGACTAAAGCTTCGTAGATGTAGGAGGATTTTTTATAGATTTGTGGTATTTAAATGGTATTTACAAATTCTATCTGTTCGGTGTTTCGATGTTACAGGCAATTCTGTAATACTTCAGGGTAAATTATGTATAGAAGTTACAATCATATAACAAATAATGGTGGTATCTTTCGAGAGTAATATCTATAAAGTTGGTATGTTAAATGTTATGTCTCGTACATAATGTTCGGTACAAAATTAATAGTGCCATAGTTAAAAACTCGAGTTATTTACTGCAAGAATGCATTAAATTGCAATTTGGAGCACGTTTAATTCCTTTAATAATATAAATTTAATATTCTTACTTAAAACGTCATTTATGGTTTTATCTGAAACATATGGGAACGATACACTATGTTTCATGGAAATCTAAACTGTTTCTTGGAAATTTTGGTTGACATATTGATGCTACATTGTTCCATGATCACGTATATATATAACATGTTTACTTGATAGCTCTGCAATTTTTAGAAAAAGAAATAGTTTGCTTTTTGAATCAATTGAATTGTAGTAGCCTTAATAAGGTATAATATTCTTGGGTAATGTTTTAATATTTTATGTAATTTTGAAACCTATAATATTTTTCTTTACCTTATTTAAATAACTTTGTATATGTATTATTCCTATTATTTATTTCGCGAGGATCCATAGCAATTAATTTTTTTTATTGACCTCTTTGTATACTTTATCATTAAATATGCATGATTTAATGTTATGTTATAAATAAAGTCACGGATGAATCAGATTATCCTGGACCGTAATATGTGATAAATTAATTTAAATTAGAGTATGAAAGGTCATTTTAAATCTTTTCTACAATTTTGTTTGCGAAGATTAACGTAATTCTTCTTTATTGCATATCGTTGCCTGTAATTATTTAAAAAGTTGGTTTGAAAAGAGATTAAAACATTTATGAGAACATGGTTACTATTTTGTTCATTAAGTTTTTCCTAGAACAATAAACGTTGAAAGTAAAACTTGATTAAGAAATATTTTGATATATTCATCACACAAACAAATATAAATTATCATTGATTGTAATATGAGTATGTGAAGTATTTTTAATACATCTTTTGATATGGATCCTTTGATTGAACAATCAGTCGAGAGTACTCAAATTATGTTAGAAGCTTAAAATGTCTAGTAGATATATATAATCTGTTCCTTCTAGGCATGCTTTGATAGATTTTACATACTAGTGCAAAGAACGTTAAAACCAGTAAATTGCATAAGCCTTAACAATAAACTCAGACACGCGATGTAATGTGTTTACCACCCAAGCAACGAATAGTGTACAAGTTTCCAAAGCATTCAGATTTATGAGATTTTATTGTGAAAAACATTTAATGTTTATCTGTTGATTTACCAAAGGATAACAATGAAATAGTGAATAAATAAACTTTAACACATGCAAAGTTAAGTCATTCTAAATATTACTGCGGTACTGTACAGATTTTAAGTTTTAATTCCAAGTTTTGATCACTTTAAATATATATGTATTTCATTATGTAATTATTAGATTATTAACCAAAGTTTAGTAAGCATATGTATGAGTCATTATGTTGTTTCAAACTAACTAGTGGAAATTATTTGTCATGGACTTGTACATTTGTATAAGTTGAAGGTATATTTCAATTCATCAGACAGTGCATTAAGTCTCCCATTAAATTGAATTAAAAGCATACATGGATATAAAATATTCTTATAAAATATCCTAGTAAAAATTTATAAAATATAATTAAATGTAATTTACCAGCAGAACTCCCATACAATATTGAAAATGATTAATTCCAAAAGTATGATTTAAAATATTCAAAGTAATAGATTTTTTATTTAGATGGTCACAATTGTTATTTTCCTTCATGTTACTAATACTAAAAACATTTACAATTATTGATTGATTTAAAATCTTGTTATAATTACAAGAGCTATGACTTTAAAACATATATTCATTCTATTTATTGGAGTATAAAGTGATACATTTGGGATCCATAGATTACAAAGATATTTTTATTGGCCATCAGCAGGTAAACCTTTAAACTTTTAGTGACGTCGAGGATGTTATACTAGATTATATGCATGATCAGGGATGTAAATATGACTAACAATCATTCTTTGCAATTAAGATAATGTTTAGCTCTTTAAACTAATTGAAACTAAAGCCTTCTCGTATAATAATCCCTAGTAACCTAGATCTTTGTTACACTCTTTTCTAAGTTGCTGTTTTTGAGTAGATGTGACATGAAGCAAACGGGGCATTATTGGTTTCGAATGAGCTAAGCAATGACGTATCGGTTCCATGTGCATTTAATTTTCAGGTACCTACGTAACCAACTCCAGCCATGGGGAATATGTTTGCAACATTATTCAAAGGCCTCTTTGGCAAAAAGGAAATGAGGATTTTGATGGTAGGACTCGATGCAGCTGGTAAAACGACAATTCTGTACAAATTAAAATTAGGCGAAATTGTAACGACGATTCCCACTATAGGTAAGTTATTATTCATTTCCCTTTACATAATTTACAATTTTATCGAATGCTCTCAATACGTACTGTATTTGTGGTTATTCTTGTTAAGGGGTAATCTGATGAAGACAAAAGAAATGACTGAAAAAGTTAAATATCTTTTATTAGGATATCATCGGTACTGGTGAAAACAGTATAGTTTAAACAGTAGCGATATATATTAAAGATTTATCAATAAATATGCTTGGATTTATTTCTAGGATTGTTTTCTTTCAGAATCTCTTGCATGACTAGACAGTTTAATTATGTCTTATACGTTGGATTTGCCATTGTATTATATTGTTAAATGTTTCTATTGCAGGCTTCAATGTAGAGACAGTCGAATATAAGAACATTAGCTTTACGGTCTGGGATGTCGGTGGCCAGGACAAAATCAGACCACTATGGCGGCATTACTTCCAGAACACACAAGTATTTAACATTCCATGCCAATATATTAATAACGGAATAACGATACTACAATTTCTTTTATATGTAACAGATAATGTACCTTATTATAAATGTACAAACAATTTCAAGAAAGTAATTAATAAGATACTTGCTTTTGTTTTTAGGGACTGATATTCGTCGTTGACAGTAACGACAGGGAACGCATAGGAGAGGCTCGAGAAGAACTTATGCGAATGTTGGCAGAGGATGAGCTCAGAGATGCAGTACTTCTCATATTTGCTAATAAACAGGTATGTATTTGTTAAACTTATTCTGTACTTTGCAAACGATATATCTAGTTAAAGGCATCCATCATTAAATAACTAAATCGTTATAAATATCACATTCCAATTTTTAATTAATTTAATCACGTACTTTTACGCTGCAAGAATTTGGGTTTTCAATTATCTGCGATCCAATTTTGTAGTTTATGGCACTCGGAAAATGTACAAAATATGATTCCTAATATGTAAAAATTGAGGGGTAGGAATATGAAAGTATTCAGAGGACATTTTTTGTATCGTTGTATGACTTCTTGCATTGCTCATCCATTACAATTTTGTTTTAGCAGAAAGAAAGGAAGCAACCAAATAGGCCCATTTATTTATTAATAAAAAGTATTTCTCATCCATATTCTGTAATCTGAAAGAAGTATTTTTAGTATATCATAGAAATTCCATCGACAATCTGATGGCCATTGTGACGGATTGACTTTGTTTTCAGACTGTCATTAAACGTAATCAATTATGTCGATCGGTGCATTTTAGGTACGATGACCCGGTGATAAAGTGCGTTTGAGTTTCGCGACCTAAGAATTATCAACTATAGGTGCATCTTAATACCTTAACGACGAGGTGACGCAAAATTAGATGAACATAGCCCCGTTATTAATTTTTTAAAGGTGATGTGAAAGGCGTCAGGAAATTGATCAATGTCGGTAAAAAAAGAATCGTTCTAACGGATGTACCATCTGAAACGCGCACCACCTTACCGACATTTATATGGATATTGTCAATTGTGTCGTGTTACCCCGATAATTGGATGGAACGGCATATTCTATATGTTGTTTCGATAAGTTCATTGTAAAGAGATGAAAGTATACATCGAGAAATCCCCTGGATTCATGATGTTTGATAACGTAAACGACTACGGGGCCATCCGTTGCATTTAGTGGCAACTAATTTTTTGCTCAGAGTACTTACAGTGCATGGGTTACCTGCATCGTCCTTCTTAAATTTGCGAATACACCTTTCTTTCGTTTTTTCGTGTTCAAATGTATGACGGTCCGTGACCATCGTGTTTCAAATAATTGTGTACCATTCCTGGCATTCCCAATTGTTATTTCAAAATCTCCCGCCAGGGAATAATATTAAATATATGTGACACTACGTCACGATGGTTCGGATCTACGGTAAATAAAAGAAATGAAAGGAAAATGCATTTAGTTGAGTGTCAAGAATGGTCTCGGCACCTTCGTAGTCGTGCATTAATATGTCAGACCATCCACCAGGCAAAGGAGACAAGGTCATTTTTGACTGGTTCCGCGCCGCCCAAAACGCCCTCTTATCGCGGTATATATTGAATATTGGTTAGAAACATTTTTTTTTTTAAACATCAAAGGGTTGGGCCGGGTCTCCTCTGTGCCATGGGTTCGTCCATCCTTGAAAGAAGCGTATCCGTTCGAGGCCGCTTTAAACGATAACGTAAAAACCTACCGATCGAATATATTCTTCCAGGACCTTCCCAATGCCATGAACGCTGCGGAGATCACGGACAAACTCGGCCTGCACTCGCTACGCAACCGCAATTGGTACATCCAAGCAACGTGTGCCACGAGTGGAGACGGACTTTACGAGGGCCTCGACTGGCTTTCCAATCAACTCAAGAATGCCAATCGCTAATTGAGAACGTCATTGCTGTCAACTCTCAGTTGCTATATTAACATCATAAAAAACAGAACTACACTACCTGTCCCCCCAAACAATCGAGTTAACCAACTGCGACGAGGAGCGGTGACCGTTTACCGCCGGACGGCCCTTTAACTTTCTCATGGAGGGCGGTCGGAAGTTAGATGAAACGGTTTGGTCGTACCGGGAGAATTTGGGGGAACAGGGCTGGAGGGAACGAGTGGTCGGCGAGACGATCGGCCCAAAACAGGACTATTGCCGAGGGCAACTTTATTATTATTATTATTATTATTAATATTATTATTATTATATTATATTATTACATTAGCATTATAGTTACACTTTTTACACGGAGATACCACGAAGAAACGAAAAAAGTGGAAAAAACCTGAGAGTAATTGTATTAAAGTACCTAAATCGGAACCGTAAAACACAATGATCGATACACCCGCGCCGGACACATCCTACTTTGAGTAAAACCGGGGACAGAGAGGAGGGCAGGTCGAAAGTGAAAAGTGGAATGCAGTCTCGCATCCGTGGAGCGGTCCGTCGATACGCGCTGGATAATATTTCATGCATCGTAATGTAGACACATATTGTACATTACATTATATAAATACGATGACGAAAAAATGTGATCTAGGGAAGGTGTTGGAGGGGATGAGAGGGTGCTTACTTTATTCACCGCATCGCGAGCGTCGCATCGGCCCATCAGCTTTCATCAGGGTACATACTATAACCGTATAGTATGTACGCTGTGCCCTATGTATACGGTCGGTTCATGAAACGTGCAACCGCGGGTATACGTACCCACGTATGTATGTACACATATGTGTATATATGTATATGAGTATATACATACATATAAATATATATAATAATGCATACATACATACATCCGCTCGCATACATTCACATACAGCAGAGACGATAAGGATGACACGAGAGTTCCTCGAATTATCTTCAACTTTGCCGTTTAGAATTTTAAAGAGAATCCTTGGTTTCTACACTTTTTTTATGTTTCCAGAGGCGAAAGTCGAGTAGCGGCGTGGAATGTATAGACGGTTTCTTCGCTGACGATTGTCACGATTTCATATTCCCGATACTTCCCGATACCTTTCGACAAGGGGGCCGTCTATATGGGAAATCATTTATTTATTGCACCTCGATACGATCACGCTAGAGTTACGTCGACATTCCAAAATGAAACGGTTAAAACGGAACAGAGGCTCTAGCAGTCACCGGTTGGGAAGATGAAAGGAAGGGACTCGATGAAACGGTAGCGAAAATTGTAAGAGTCGGAACGAGCACAGGTGTTAAAGGGAAGTTAAGTACCGGCTTGGCGATCGGCCAAAAACTTTCGAGTTCGTCGTAGCCGGTTGGGTGTTCAAGACTTTTCGTTGACACGACAACGTTTTTAAAAAATAATCCACTCCCTCTACTAAAGAAATTCTGTAATGTTGATTGAAAACACCTTTCCGCCATATGCGAGAATTCGATATAATTATGTATGAATGTTTAACGATTTGTGAAATATATTGTAATTGTGCTTTACGTGTTCTACGTGGTATTTATCATTGGCGGATCGATCGAAACGCTAAGCGACGAAAGCGAAACGGATTTGTAAGGGGATGTGGAGAGGACGTAAGCTTCTGAAGGACCCACCGAAGGCCGGTCGATCATTTTTAATCACGGACTCCAAGGCCGGAAAACTAATCGAATTCTCGATGGATATTTAAAAAGAATAACGTTTCCAATGAAAAAGAAGTTATAATAATTAGGAATTTTTTAAGGATATGTCGTTTTATCGGTTTGCAAAGGATCGAACGGCAGAAAATGGAATGGCGCTCCAAAAATTGTCCGGTAACGGATTTATAATTCTACGGCAATAATGGAACGATAAACAATGCCGTTGCGATGTCGCACATTTAGTAGTTGATGCATCTACATTTTAACGATAAGACGACAGAATTTTTTAATACTTTAGATTATCATTTTCACGCTTTAAGCTTAAAGCACTAATCATCATTAATTGAAATATCATAGAAATTAATGTCAAGTGAAGGAATGTAAAACTGCAATTCCTGAAAATAGTAAGTTTGTTTTCATTCTGCATTTAGATAATTCTAAACTTGTAGTGTACCGATTGTAATTCAAATTTTACGCATAGAATTCATAAGCAGCGGTCGGCGATGCGATAACTACTGTAATGCCATCTGTTGATGTTACGTTAAACTGAACTTTATATATTTTATGCAAGCGGTCCGAAGATAATTGAGACTTAAGGTGAAATGAAACCCTCTCAAATCAGTTGATTCGAATAAGACATTATTGATTAAGGGTATTGGATAGAATCTTCTGAAACTTTGACTCGTGAGCACCTAGGAATTATCCTGACATTTTCAAAATTTGAATTCTTTGAACTTCGCCCAGATCAGAACCAAAATGGCATCGAGCTCTCATATTTCGTTCGATACCCAATTATTGAATGATTGAAACCGGCTGAAAAAGTCATGGATCCCTCACAAAAGTTTCAGACCCTGTATCTGCCATCGCGATTGCGCGAGCCCTCACCAGAAACGTGTTGTGGTGCCGCCACTCAGAGGTTAATGGTGGCACGTGCATTAGTCGTCCGCATCCTCCACCGGGGGGGGGCAGCACGGGAGCAATCTCCCAATTCGTCTCTGTCAAGCAATTCTGCAGGAAAACAGGACCGCGTTTCCATCGTGCTTCTAAATCCGGGATATACCGGGTCCGGGCCCAGTAAATCGGACGTCTCTGGGCGTCTTCGTCGCAGATTAGATTCTAAGATTCTCGATCTACTCTTACATTCGGATTTACTGGGTTTGAACCCAATGAATCCCGGATTTTGAGGGCGATGGAGACGTAGTCAAGGACCGTTCGAGCGGGCTATACTTGATCGCGAGAGGTATTCATTTTAGCATTTTCCCTAGATTCGAGTTAGACGACCGACTCCCAGTAGCCATAAAACCGGTATAAGATAACACGTGTAAACGTACTCCATGGTGCACGTCTCAATCGCGACCCGAGCGAGACGGCGCTACTTTCGCCGCGGCTGGCCGCGGCCGAACGAGCGAGATGGTCTGGGCGGGCGAAGCGCTGCACTCGCTCGAGGGAGCTTCCGGAGGGCGCCACACCTTTTCAGGGGCGCCTCGGTTTCCGGGATCCGCTCTTGGAGAGAGAGGGCGATTCAAAATCGTCCCTTTGTGCGCTTGTGTACTGTTTTTCGTCGCGGTGCGGTCGGCGGTGACCCTGCCTCTCGTGTGGTAAATTTTCCCGGCCATCGTAGGTAAAGTACCCGGAGATTGCCATCGGCGCGTCGTCGCGACGGACCGGCCGCACGCCCGCCACGCTCCCGTAATACCCCGGGACGCCGAGGAGTCCGCGGCTAACCACGACGAGCGACCATCGCCGACCGCCTTCTCTTCGGCACACACGTACGTACGCGATCGAGCGGCGACCCCGAGGAGCCCGCCGTCACCCCCGCCGTCACCCTCGCCATCACCCCCGACGTCACCCCCGACGTCACCCCCGACGGTCTCCTCTCCAAGAACTCGCCGAGCGAGGCGAGCTTGGAGAGGAGACCGTCTCCTCGATGGCGACGACGACGGCCACGCTCCGGAGTCATGCTCCTCTGACCCTCGGGGCCCTCGTCCTTTCGTCCACGACCCACTTGTCCCGGGCTCGTTCAGGATCTTCGCAATGATATCGGTCCCGAGTCGAGCACTAGGAGGTCTTCTGTCTTTGACTCCGCTCGTACTCTGCTTCTGTCCCACCTCTCGGTGGCTTGGACTTTTCTTTGACTTTTACCCTCTTGTACCTCCTGCAGGGTATGGTAAACTTTCTATCGACCTGGTGCTTATTATTTGGTTTCCATATTAACCGTACATCTTACCAGTCGATGTATTTGGGTGACTTTTCGTCAGGGTGTAGCGAATAAATTTGAACGAGGGTGAATGCACCGCGATGGTGTTCGCATTCGTAATTCTCTATTAGCTGAGAACCAATTCTCAACCGTTATCTTGGATACTCGAAAGTTCTCTGTATTCGATGTCCTTGTTAACATTGAGAATTCTTTATGATATTCGCCGTAAGAGTTATCCGTAGCTATAAACTCGAGGAATGAAATTATGGAGCATCGTGGTTTGATCAAGGAAGATCGTGGAGAAAGAAACATTCGATTGAAATGTCTGGATGAAATTATAAATGATCTTTTTCAGACGTTTGTTTCCTCGGTTGTAAGATCGTTGAGTATTGTGGTTGAGTATGGAAGAGTGGAAGAAAGTTTTTGGTAATGAAATTTAATAATGGAATGCGTTTGAGAATCGTGAAGGTTGATTTAAAATTTTTAAATAACTTTCAACAAACCGTTTAGAATTTAAGTCTTTGTTGTGAGAGTTTGAGATATCGTATAGATTATGGAGTTAATAGTTTTTATCGTCTATGGACTTAATAATTACTTGAAACGCATGTATTAACGTGTTTAAGATGTGTAACATTTCTTTGATCAAGCTGTTCGATTTCACGGTACATATTTTCTATGAATATTTCAAACCAGGTTATTTAACAAAGCTGTGCATTTTGGTTACTTTTTTTGGTAATGATATTACAATTTTAATCGAGATCGATGTTCTCGTTGAGTTAATTCATTTAAATTTTCAATACCAGTAGGATCATTCTTTTAAATTCTTAATGATTTCATTACAAGTTTATACTCGAGCTTGCCTAAACTCGACTCAAAATAAGAACATTCATATTTAATTGTGTACATAAATGTTTATTATATAATTTATGGACGTACTAATTCTACTCTCGTTTAGTTGCATAACATCTTTTAGATAGGGCATTATTACTTTCGGTAGTGCATTTTATTTTTTTATGCAATATAATATAATAATGTATTCCTACTTGCACTCTATGATTTTGTAATGTATTTGATTAATTTAAAATAATATAGCTATTTCTTAAATTGATTTTAGAGATATGTCATCTGGAGCAGGGTCTAGTGGGACTGGGCGAGGACGCGGTTCGTCACTAGCGGATAACAAACCCGAAAATAAGGAAGCAAAACCAAATCCAAAGATGTCTAAGGCTTTAGGAACTTCTGCCAAAAGGTAATCTAAGTTGACACGATACGAACACCTAGTACTCAATGATTCTTAAATGTTACTTAAATTGTATGTTTTGGAGCTGTAAAAATGAATCGTTTATACTTTACAGGATACAAAAAGAATTGGCAGAAATCACCTTAGACCCTCCACCGAATTGCAGGTTTGTTGCATTTCAATAACGTCTTTTGTATTTAGCAGAGATATGCTCTTTACCTGTTGGTTTCTAATATTTTATTTTAACAGTGCTGGTCCGAAGGGTGATAATTTATATGAGTGGGTTTCCACTATTCTTGGACCTCCGGGTTCCGTTTACGAAGGAGGAGTTTTCTTCTTGGATATACATTTTTCACCAGAGTACCCTTTCAAACCACCGAAGGTAAGTTAAGCATCTTTATGAGCCATTGAAGATTCGGCAAGAACGTTTTGAAGCTAATGGGTAATTACGGTTTCAGGTTACATTCCGAACACGCATCTATCACTGCAACATAAACAGCCAGGGCGTAATATGCTTAGACATATTGAAAGATAATTGGTCGCCTGCCCTCACCATTTCGAAAGTCTTGTTGTCCATATGTTCCCTCCTCACGGATTGCAATCCAGGTTTGTTTCTACAAAAATACTTTCATTAATACATCTTTCTGTTAAACTCTGTCAATGAAAAGGGCAAGATGAAATACAGGGGTGTTTTTAAGATTTCTTTTTTACCCTCGAATAAATTTTCTATTTTATCTTCAACCAATTTTGATAAAATGTTAAATCTAGCATACTGAAGTCACAAGCTTTTTTCCCTGAAAAATTACATTATTTTTACCTCATTTTTGAGTGATACTCGAGTCATGCTCGAAATTTCATAAAGAATCAAATAAATCTAATATTGTCGCCCTAAAACCACTTTGAACAAAGTTATCAAGTCAGACGTCTTCCGGCACGAAAATGCAAGTTAAAATCTAATGGTTATTGGGTAGAAAAAAAATAACAATAAGTTTAATCCGTATATTCAGGACGGTATCGGGATGAGTATTCCATTAAAGAATGAAGAAATTATTCGAGTTTAAAAAACAGAAATCTTTAAAGGGACACCCCGTGCAATAAAAAATCGTGCGGACTATTAATATTATTCGATCATATTTGTACAATGAAATCATAAGTTAAATCGTTTAATCGATCTGTACTATAATATTAACGAAATGAATAAGTATGGAATTAGAATATATCCTTAAAATAATGGCTGAATATTTAAATTTAACATAATTTAAGAAATTAACATCTAATAAGTATCGTGTATCGCTGTTGCGGATTTTGATAAAGCTCGCAACGCCCGTGCTTTAACCTCGACCTAATTTTATTACCGCGGCTGCGACTTCGATACAAGGACAAGAAATGCTTTAACGTTTACACGGTACAACTTTTGATCCTTCGTGTCGGCGACGGAAGTTAACGTAACTTTTGTGTCTTTCAGCCGACCCGCTGGTAGGGAGCATAGCGACGCAATATCTGCAAAACAGAGAGGAACACGATCGCATAGCGCGACTGTGGACCAAACGCTATGCCACATGAGCTCATAGCGGAATCAAGCGAAACTCCTGTTAGTCTCATGCCAGCCAATCGTCCGTCGCTTCTCTCGTCAAACCTTGGCTCGAACGAGTTTGTCGATCATCCTCTCTTCCGACGAGTTCCTCTCGGAGCCGGGCCAGGAACTCGGCTCGAAGGGATCGGAGGATGGCCAGCAACCCTGAAGGACCAAGTCTCGCTCGAGATCCGCGCGACGTGCTTCTACGTGGAGTGTATGAAATGTGCCTAAGAAGAATGAACGGGTGTGCGAATGTCGTATCTCGCTAGTATGCATGGGGCATGGGCTTGGAGTTTTCATTTCTACGGTGAACGCCCGCGGAGGCACGCCAGAGAAAATGGATATATAGGAGGCGTAAACCGCGACGAACCTAGTATTTAAATGGATGATCCGTATTGTACATCAAAACAATACCACCCAACCCTACTGAAATACTTCTAGGATAGGAGAGATCACCCGAACTATAATTAATAACGGTAAACGCTAAACTGTAAGTAATTAGATACTTAGGTACGTAAGGAGCGAAGCATTCGAGGTCCGACGACGCATGCGCGCACACGGCCGCCTCGTTACCTATACGAACCATATATATCCAGACCTCGCGTTGGACCTCCGACTCGAGAATTTTCGGGAATGGCTTTAACCGAGTGGATGGGTTGACCTCTTCCACTGCAAGGTGAACTCTACGCATACATGGGGTTCGATCTTTTTACGCGTGCCCAATGAGCGCTAGTTGAGCCCCGGCGAGACGTTACCGAGTACTTAACGCCAAGGATCCAAGTTTAAGGAATGGGAGAAGTGCGAATCTGCTCTCTCCATTACTATAGAAAAAAGTCAAGTCAAAAATGAGGAATTTCTTTAAGTTTACCCGCCTCCGATCGCTAGGATGTACGCGAAGATATGGCAGTTTCAATTTTTCGAGTTTACCCCTTCTACTGCAATGCGAGGTCTAGATATCCGTGGTCCAAGATGCGAACGCGTACACGCGTAACACCCTTTTGCCTCTCCCCCCTCCCCCCCCATATTTTTCTATGTGCTCGAACCTTTTAAATTATTCATTTTATTTGATGTATTTACTCCCCTCTCCCGAATGATTCGCTCGATCGTTTCGTCCCGTACCGAAGAATCGGTGCGGGTCGATCTAGCGAGGTCTCCGTTCTCGATCGCCGATCGTCGTTGACGAGTGACGAGTGACGAGTGACGAGTTACTCGATACGCGCTCGGTCAATGACTCGAACGTCGTTTGGGGCCACCAGCTGATTCCTTGTATCTGTAAATAAATCTTATTTCTTGTATATTCAAGCTAGCGTACTCGAGGAACACGTCATTCTAATCTGAATTTATATATTCTCTCTATTTGTATACATATATAATTATTTATATATGTATATTACGAACGCGTTAACTTGTACGTCGGGTGTCAGCCGTTTGTCTTACAGAAATCGCGGGTAACGTTTAGCTCGCCGTTCGAGACGAGATCCTAGGAAAAGTATCCGAGGAGGACTGCTTTAAGGGGTTACACCGCGGCGAGTGTCCGAAAATCATTGAGATCATCGATGAGTCGGACGCTGTTACGTACGCGTGATTTCTTTTTACGTAAGCGCGATATGCCCCGACGGCAATCGAAAGCGATGCGAGAAATGTGCGGCCGTCAAAGTGTTACCGAAACTTTTATCGGTGGGGCCTCGCTATGGAAATAGAAAAGAACGTAAGATATACTTTTGTTGTATACAAAATGGGGGCTATAGGACAGTTTTGCAGCAATCCTCGTTGAGGTGGCGTCGATAGGAATGCTGTTGCGAGAGGAACGCGTTTAAACGTTTTTTTTATTTCCGATGTGGTTAACGAAACGTGCGAAAGATTGACATTTATTTTAGATTTTAATCTCAACTCGTTAAACGAGGATTTTCCATCGATTGATCTTGTAAAAGAAAATTCGATTTTTCTAAACTTCTACCGTGGTGTAACCTCTTTCCTCGTATGTCGCGTATCAGTCGTTTGTCTTACAGAAACCGCATTTGCGAACTGCACTAAACCTTGCGAATAACAGTAATCAAACGGGAGGTTGAGGCGGTGATCGATCCTAAGCATCCCAACGCTTTTTTATGGATAGTAGATAATTTGACTGTGTTCATGTAATCGAAACCGACGGCTTCGAGAACGATCGAATCCGCTCGCCGATTCGCGAACGGAACGAGAGAAGGAGAGAAGGGCAGAAGGACAGATTTAGGACAGATTTAGGACAGATTTACGACAGATTTACGACGGATTTAGGACGGATTTAGGACATGGCGGGTGAACGTTGATTTCCTCCTTTCGAAGTCATTTTCTCTACCTTTGAGCATCTCTGCAATGAGCGCGAGCGGTTTCCCGATTTTCATAGCCAACCATTATATAAAGTATGAGAGAGTGAGAGTATTTGATAAGCGAATTAATAAGAAAGAAACGGACACACCTACTTTGTAAATAATTCACTCTGTGCGCATGTAGAAATTTCCTGGTTATTGAAGAAAAGGGGCGAATACGAGGGGTGGCTGAAATTCATAGCATTTCGTAGGCGAATTTATTCTATTCCGATCTGACGGTAGCTAACGTTTGCTAAAGGAATCATTATGACGAAATTAGCGGGGAAGAGATATATTTTTTAAAAGTATGTTTTAATCTCAAATGTATAAGTGTCGTAGGGTTAGATATATTTTGAAAAGTCTTACATAATTAAATGCAGGAATTGATCGCAGGTACCGGAAAGGCCTTCGAAGTATCTCTTCGAAATGTCGGTAAAGTAAGTTTTGCATTCCAGCATGTGTGATTTTTCAAACCATTCTCGGCATTATACGGTACGCATTATTTCGGGAGGCTTGAGATTAAAACATTTCTCGCCGCGGAGGGTAAAATGAAGCTTTTGTCATTTCAGTAATGCGTCTTCTTCATTAAATATTCCTACACGATACAAACTAAAAGAACATTGGTTGGGAACATTTCGATCCGGAGATAAATGTGTAACGTGTACATAGACGCGTTAGAAAATTCGTTGATGAAATACTCTAGATTTCAGTCATGTGGAACGAGAGAAAGGAAACTTGGATGAGATTTATTTTGATTAGAAATTCAAGGAACGTCCACTCGCTGATCCGAGACTGGACTGGCGACTGGAAGGAATTAAAATAAAATAATCGACTCGTTCTCTAAGCACTTGTATGTACAGTTTTATCCTACATGCCAAGTAATTGGCATGATCACTTCGATTTAAGGCGAAGGTGTCCGATTTCCTGTAAATATCTCTTTGTACGTGGAGTTACTTTTGCAAAGTGGTCGGAGTTCTCCCGAAATTCCGGAAACGGGTTTTGAGGACCGTGCGAACGCATTCTGCTCATATTTCACCCTTATACTCTACCATGGACAAGGTTTCTTCGGTCTTCCGATGTCGAGTAGATCCACGATGGGTTAGAAAGGCAAGTTGGGCCGTAACTTTAAAGTGTGCAAGAATTTCGTACGTACTGAAATGCAAAAGCTGTTGCGCGCGGAGCTCCGTAAACGTGGCGTGCAAAATATGTGCTGGAATGCTTCTAACGCGTGTACAAGCTTTTTTTCTATGTACATATTTTTCTTTTCGGTATATATCTTTTCATATTTTTACTCATTTTTACTGCCGAAGAAAAATGGACCGAGGGAGTTAAAAACTGGAGCATTTCCTGAGAAATCTTTCGTTGAATCGATGAAACTTTTGTTCGCTCGTAGAATATGGTTATCATACGGACAATCAAACATTCGGTTGATATGACAAAATTCTTTGGTTAATAACCTTTGACCTGTTGCATCAAATATTGCGATAGATCGCGTCAAATGTCAAAGTAATTCGGTACATTATACAAAAATATTTAGTTTATTGACCAAAATGTCTTCATCCCGGTTGATCGAAGCAAACTAGTTCGGTCTAGTGAACTAAAATTCGGTTTACTCAACCGAAAGGTCTTTTTAAATTAGACAAATGCAGTCGATCGAACGATTTTCTCCAATGAATCGAATCTTTGTTTCTGCGCGCGTGATTGATCACTTTCCCTCGTGAATGCCGTGAATTTATCATAAATCAGCGGTCATTGCGTCAATTAAATGCATTACCCGCGAAAGATCGCAACAATTGTAAATAAAACTCGCGCAAGTCGGAGACCAACGTGTATCGTTTAGGAAAATGTAAAGAGACGGTAATTCGATTTTGGTTGAAAAAATACTTGTAATTACCGAAATGTGGTCATAGACTCCTTTCATTTCGTTAAATCTCACGCGTGGTTATCGGATATGCCTAACTTTGATTTTCAGGTGGTGCAGATTGGCGAGTGGGGTACGATAAGAGACTTCAAGTTAGAGAAAATCGTTCCGTGTTCAGTATTAAGGGTTGAATTAGCTCAAGAAAATGTACATTAAAATTCCCACGTTCTGGCGTCGAGGATCTGGATCGAGTCAGTGAGATAATTCCCTTTTCGTTAATACTCCAACGATGATGTACTCTGTAATGACTTGTGCCATTTATGTAAACCGGAATTTAAGCCAAATATTAGTAAACGAGTGTCGATTAGCCACGTCAACCTGTTCTAATTGTCAGTCCGAGTTTTCTGCGTACGTTTGAAGGACTTCCTGCAGAAAGCATACTATGTCTGGGTCATGTGCATTCGTATTGACGCATTTTCTATATCACGACGTACCGATAGAAAACAACCATTGACGCCGACGCTGAGCTCAAAAAATGGTAGTTTTATATTTTAACTCGGGTCCACGTGCAAGTAGCTTGTGACATTTCTCGCTGGAACGGCTCGAATTTGCGCAAGTTCACGTCCAAAACCATGTACACCGCTCTCGCAAGGTTTACTTGCACGTGGACACGAGCCACTAGAACCAAAAGAACGTAATTCCCCCTTACCCTACTTGCCAGGAAAGTGACTCGAGCGTACCCCATCGATTTTCTTGCTTCCGACATATGACGTGCTACACAGTACGTAAATACGGAATGACACCTTTGGACTCTCTTAACTTTTAAACTATCCATTTTTCGAGGTTGGTTACATTTTATCATGATTTACGGTACACGCCAGGTCCAGCCAAATTCACCGGGACTCACCGGGACTCACCGGTAACCATGTGATTACCCCGGAAGAAGAGTGGAACAGATGGGACTAAGACTTTTCATTCCAGCGAATACCTGATTTTTCCTCAGTCGCTAATACTGCCGGTGATAGAAGAGAAAAGCGAAGTCCAATCCCTGTCGATTTTTCTGACACACGAAGTGGAGAGTCCATGAATTGCTTTAACGTCCCTTTAACGTCCCTTTAACGTCCCGGGCGAACATTCAGTTTTATGGTCGTCTTACGCATACGTATTCGCCATGCAATTGACTCTAAAATAGAAAAGCTTAAATTCGCACGGCTCCGAAGTGATCGATAATTGATAATAAATTAGAGATTAGAGAGACTCTACTTTATTCCGACGCGCCTTGCGACCGAAGCGTGTCCCCGAAATCAACGTTGGGTGGATGCTTCTTTTTTGGAGATTATACCCACACGTGAATCCTCTAGTGGAAGTTGCAGAGGAGCTGCCGTTTAGTTTTACGCCAAATACTTTTTCGCATCTCTTGCGCGTGGCTCACGGAAAGGAACGAGAGCTTGCCAACGGGGCTTCTCATTTATTTCGGATTTTTATATCAACGTAATGTAAAACGCGAAGCAATAACTATATCGATTAAGCGTCACGACTTTGAGACCTAAAAAGCAGCTGTTTTTTAGACTTCCTTTTTAGAATATAACAAATACAAGTGACAAACATTCCAAAAAAAATGACTAACTTTTGGGCATCAAAATGGTGTAAATCCTTACCTGCTAACTTATTTATACGTTTCACTCCAGTTTCTGATTTAGGCGTATACTCCCTTCTGTTTGATGAAAACGGGACGCAAATGAAACGTCTCGAGTGTTGCTCAAAATAACAGACTTACATGGTTTTATTTTAAACGGTTTACCGCAATATAACTGATAGAAAGGGAAAACGACATATCCGTTGACAAGGAATTGTAGAAACGAACGATATTTTTGTCATCGTGTCGATCGTTCGGTTAATTTCAATCAACTTAATAGTCCGTTGGTATAGCCGTTTAGTTATTTTCTTTGTTACCGTTGTTACATTTAACGAAATCAAGAAATCGCAAACGGATTGCACTTTCTCTACTCTGCTAAAAGAATTCTGTGAATACACTTTAACGTTGATACCTAAAAACTCATTTTACATTTTTATAGCGACGAGAAGCATTTCACGACCTTTTGCAAAGGTTTACGAAATTCTCGTTTCGGAAATTTGGTGAACCCGTTCACAAGTACGTGCAGCGAAAAATAAATTGGGCGAGAAAATCTGTAGCGGCATGCCCTCGGTGCAATGTGCAACTTCCAAAGTTTCTTTCTCTCGTAAGAGAGATCGGCTGGAGTATAAAAATCCTATAAGAGAGGTTCAATATCCAATGTAATGGTAAATGTTAGTCTGCTAGTTAGTGGCATCGATATGAAGATGAAATAAACTACAATATGCATTGGTTCGGCGTTGAAAGTTTCCCAATCCTCGAAAGAAATGGCTCTCTGAGAAAAATTTACAGCGGAAGTTCTGGAAAACCGGATTACGTTTTAATGGACGTCTTAAAAGGTCTCGAGAGAATGCGCGTCGATTTTTGCATTACACGAAGAACCGTTACGACAACCTTTGCCCGCGCAACTGCAATTTTTGCTTCTATAAATGCTTCCTCGTATTCCGAACGAAAATACTTTCTATAAAAAAAAGAAAAAAAAGGGAAGTTTGCTCGCTATTATCAACGAAGTAAGTAATAAAAAAATTGTTGCATAATCCTAATCAGAAGTTTTACGTTATTTTATTACTTCATGTTACGTGACATTTCAAGAAACCCAACTCTAATCAAATACGCTATACGTTTACGTTAGGGAGATCTAAAAAAAAGAAACGATGCATCAGGAAGAAAGGAAGGGGAAGTTTGGTAAAATGAAACGTCACGATCTTTGGTGTTATTAATTTATTATACGTAATAACAGACAGACAAATATGTGCTAAAGACAGGTTGTTGGCTCCTGGGACGTCAATTAAAATGTACGCCATACGCATTGAATCAACGGCGCGAATTACGTTTACGTCAACAGCGTAAACGCGTCGACCTCGTGAATTAGATTTTTCGCAAATCGTGCGGCCAGCCAAAACGGACAATTTGATATAAATTTAAAGGTAAAATCTGACACTCGAAAACACCATTAGATGTTAATACTGATTGCAACAGAGTAGGTCAGTCTTTTGTAGATTTTCTTCTCGGTATCCCGGCGAGGAGTGCCTACACCTTAAAAGTTAAAGCTTAAGGTGAGGTGAAAGGCGCCGGGAAATTTAGTCGACGTCGGTAACAATGATTTCCTCTAATCGATACACCATCCGAAACACTCCTCCATGTTACCGACGTTTATATTTATATCGATAGTAATGTCCTACATTGAGAATCGTATGGAATGATATACCTCATATGTCTTTTCGGTAGAATGATTATAACGAGATCGAAGTAGAACTCAAGTAATACCGGGATTCATGAATTTTGATAATGTAATCGACTATGGGGTTATTTCTTGTATTCGGTGGGAACTAAATCTTTGTTCCGAGAGTACTCACGGTGCCCGTGTTGTCCACATTATTCACCTTAAATTCGCGGATACCCTGTTTTCCCTTTCTTTCGGGCCAAAACGTATCATTTCCAATGACATGCTATCATGTTTTAAGTCCTGAAGAACGATTCTTGACCCTCTCCCTCGTTACTATCGGGACTTCTACAGATAAATCGTGGTAAAATACGTGATCATTGGTTCTGGGGTGAACTGAATAAAATTAAGTTTTTTTTTTAAATTCAATCTTTGAACGAGGAATGATCTCAACGCCTATGGAATCACGCAAAACAGACAAATAGACTCATGCATCTTTAACAAAAATTGTATTTGTGAAATGTGGTTGTCACCGATCTTTAAAAACCACCTTTCACCACGCTTTAAGGTGTTATAAAAGGGTCATTCTAAATATAACGATGGCGCCTTTAATATGAACTGGGTGTACCGAGTCACTTAAAACTTCAGCATGTGCTTATGGAGATTCTAAGGAAGAACGTGGTGCTCATAAAATTTCATTTTTCAACAAAAAATGTATTCTTAGTCCTAGTCTCGGCTAAATAAATTAGAAATGAAATTTCATAAGCACCACGTTCTTCCTTGGAGCCTCCATGATAACGTGCTGAAATCTCCATCGATTCTGTGCATCCAGTTTGGAGAAAAGTTGATATATATAGAATGACCCTTTCGTATCACCTTAATCCGAAGAGAGAGAGAGAGAGAGAGAGAGAGAGAGAATTAGGGCACCCTGGGGATTCCTCGGGCCGATTCGAAGTCGTCGATCGCGATCGGGCCAACCAGGAGGAACGAACTTCGTGTTAAAGTGCTACAAGTAAGTTCAGAGTAAGCGTTACTTAACGTTAACACAACTTGAATCGTTACCACCTAGTCGATAATGACATAGTTAAATTGATATATGTATATGTACGAGTATATACTTAAATCATGCGTTAGGCACACTCGAAATTTGTGCTACGTTAATCGTTACACGTATCGCGAGTTCGCATCTCGCGTTGTCTTTTAGCGTTTTCAGAATCGACCCTAACGGTTGGTCGAGCCGAGGCCTTTATTACGCAAAGACGGGACTATACTAGATGGTACCATTACTCGACGTTATGCCGTGATGCAGTTATATCAGGAATTGTGCAGAATTGTATTTCTAACTTTGAAAAGTAAATGAAAAATCGGCGGGTCGTTTTAACTTAGCGTTTCAAGAGTTCTTTTTGCACAAACCGAATGCATCGTCCTCGGTACTACGAAGTAGAAGGGATCGATATGAACTAAACACGGAGGTTCAGCGACACCGCCGGCTCAATTATTAACAACGTGACGTTAGCAAGGTCCATACTCCACGTATGTCGCTCAATTATTTCATAGGTACACGTTGAATGAAGTGCCCTTAAGGGCTCGGTAAAGGCAAGTCGGCGATATTGGATTTTGACGACGGGGTGAGAGGAAACTGCACGAAACTTCCGGCAGGTATTCCGTAAACCGAATGACATTTCTCAAGAATTACCACGACAGGAAGAGGCGAATGGAGATAATGACGGGCTCACAATTCCTATGAAATCATTCAAACCATGACGAAAATGTGGACAATGTTGTTTTTCACGCCTTAAGCTTGAAGCGACGACCATCAAATAGTAGCATAATGTTATACAGTGTCACATCTGTCAATTATTCATTTGTCATTTACTTCTTTAGTTTTGTCCAATTAATATTACTCAGGATTTTGGATCTAGTTCTACTCGACCTTTAATCACCTTTATGGCAAGGAGCTGGTTTTCTTAGGTTGCATAGAAGCTCAATCTACTTGGCCATAATAAAACGAGGGTGTTCATTGACTTTCATTGAGGAAGTAAAGAAATTCAACGTTTATCGAATCAATTCGGAGGAATTGACCCTGAATTCGGCTTACCAGTAAAGCTTTGAGCTTCCAACTTTAGCAGTCCAACTGTTGTTCAACGGATAAAGCGGTTAATCGATTAAATGTTTAATTAACGAACCCCGTACTTATTATCTTGATTGCATTGCTCTTTATCCGCGGAAAACGTATAGTCTTCTGGCTGGTTTCGTTAAATAGCCAACAAGAATACGTATTTCCCTCGTAATATCTTCTGATATTGACTTGCTCCAAAGCGAACGTTTAGCGAGTTCATTTTGAGCCCGAAGTACTTCTTAGAGAGTACCTTCTTAGTGGGTTCGAAAGTAATACGTATTACGATGCAACGTCTCCTCTGCGGAAACATCGCAACGCGAGCAAAAAAATTAACATTCTAGGTGACACGTTTAACAATTCTTTGAAAGTTTGTTGTCTAAAAGCGCCGCGCATGGAATTATTCAATACATTCGGTTTAAGAGGTTAAATAATTTCGATCTTTTGCACTGGTTTTGGAAAATAGAACAAATTTAATGGAACATAAATCGATGGAGCTCTGCTATATAAGTAGAAAAGAACCAGTTAATATATTTCTTTTCTTATATACAAAATGACGGCTATGGAACAGTTTTGCCGCAACAAGGTGAGGTTTTTTGAAAACTTGAAGAAATATTTCCTTAGTTATTTTACGAGCATTCTGTGCCCCATAAAGATATACCGTGTATGTTAAACATTTGCAGTATGTTCTGGAAACAAGATATTCGTCGTGAAGATTTGTCGTCATAGAGAATTTACAAGACACAGAAGTATTACCTGGGTAAACGACAATGAAAGTGCATCGGACTAACAGTTTTCCATCTTTCCTCTTCTGGTATGTTTTTCTTTTTGGCAAACTCCGGCAGCAAATGTACGTTTCGAGGATCCAGAATACAATTAATGCTGGAGTTTGTGACACTTTTCGGCTATCGAATAGACCGAGATCCTTCATCTTTGCTCCATCGTGTCATGGATCTTAAAAATTCTTTTTTTTTTGTAAATAATTTTTGGCGTAATGTGGCAGTAATTCCGTTTTTTTTTTTCAATAGACCTATAATACATCTTGTCAACCGTTCTAGACGTGCTTTTGACGAGAGTCCTAATTTCATCGTATGTTATTTTAAAGGACACAAACGAGAGTTTTATACAGAAGTAACGGGTACTGTACAATCATAAAGTAATTCATGTAAGTTAATAAGTTAATATATATTAACTCGGGTACAAAGATTCAATGAGTTACAGCTAAGAATCGTGTCTTATCAACGTAATTTAATTTTGTTTCAGAGATGAGCTTTTCTTCGGCGCATAACCTAGCATATGACACAAAGTTTCTGTGACATAACTAAAATATAACAGGGACATTGTTCTCGTTGAATCGTTTCGTTAAAAGTAGAAAAAGTTTAACAAAAATCCTTAACTAAATTCAATAGTTGGACCTTTTTTTATCGAAAGAGATCAAAAGGTACGGTTGCGTTTCGACGCCAAGTACGAAGAGCGATATGCCTTATCTACTAACGGCGAGATGACACCGCAAGCATTAATTTCTCGCTGGTTCAANTTAATCCTTGGGATATAATGTAAATCCTCTACAATAACTTTACATATCGATAAATTAATTCGATTTTGTTTCAGAATTGAGCTTGTTTGGAGAGCCAAAATATGTTGGTTTGAAATATGCTGAACCCCTTATTGGTTTTAAACGGATATCCGGACAAATCTTTTTTCTTCCTTGAGTGATCATTCTCATTGGACGCAGTTCGGCAATCTGCTACATCCAAATAACATTTGTTTAGACCGGGAAATCCTGGGAAATTCCGATTGTAAATAAATGTTATCTTTCTGTACAAAGTCACAAGATTGGTTTCCAAATTTGTTTCAAGTTTGTTTACAGCAATCAAGTCCAAGTCATGTGGTGAATTGAATCCAACCTTTTGGATTTGGTTTTCGCAATCCGTACCGTTTCTTGGAGTTGCAGAGTGTCGTCGTATTGATCCTCTTCGCGTTAATATTCTCTCTCCTATCATCTTTCTCTCGTTAATCTCATTTTTTCCTTACTAGACATCCATATAAGCACATTAAAGATGGCTACGCTCGTTAATGAAACCTACAAATATCTCTCTACTAATGCATGATGGACAATACACATTATGAAACGTGCCCCCTAACCGGCATCCGATCAATGCGCCGTTGTTTCGCTGTAAGGAAAAATGTTCATATCACTTATCGCGTCGACGTGAGCTCGACACATGAATCTTGACTTAACGCAAAGACGACAGAGTACAGATAGTGCAGAGGCAGTACGAAAAAATCAAGCCAAAATACGTATAAAACAACGAAGAAGCCGGCGAAGAGCAAAAATGACGCTCCAAAAACTTTGTGACATTAATTCCGTTAAATTTCCTCGTTTCATTGCTTTCAACTATTGTTCAAATCAATGTAAACATACATTACACCAATTAACCAATTCTAGTACCTAACAATATAGTCCTTACCGTAACACACCGTTACTCGTTACCTCGACGCGTATATGAAATCATATACGAATATATATATATATATTCTGTTATGACATTGAGGCTAATCAAATATTCTGCGTAACGCTACGTAAATTTTACAATATACAAAACAACGGAATACTTTCCTAATATTATATAAATAGTGAAAATCTTAAATTAAACGTATACTCTGCGCAAGTCGTTCTTATAGATTAAGGGCTCTGGTTTTGGATAGAAAGTCGAAAAAATCAATTTTATTTTAAATCTCCATAATACCGTGAGATGCTCACTTTTCGCGCCTTCCCTCGATTTCCCTTATGCAATAGAGATCCAGTATCTTCAACGTGGGTTAAGCATTTGGAAGCAAAGTGTGAGGTTACGTACGATAGAACCTTATCCTACCGTAGCACCGAGCGGTGGCAGCTTTAGGAAATAAAAATGGTATCAAAAAGGGACCGCCCGTCACCACGGAAATCGACCAAGTTTCCAGCCCCGCGTGTACGGCCGCGATCGGGAGTAATCGATCATTGATCGTGCCTGCCCGAAAAATTACGCAGAGTTACGACGGAGCCTCGAGAAAAACCATTCTTAATTAAAGATAGTGCGAGTTCGGCGCATGCGATGTACTCAGTCGGTACGGATACGAAGCAAAGCTTTCCTCTCCCTTTCGCATCCACGATTACCGTAATCACCGTTTGCCTATGCGTGTACACGTAAAGTCGCATTTTCCATTGAGCGCGTAACATCGGCGAATCACTTGCACATTTTTTTTCACTTTAATAAGCGTCGCGAGCCAGTCGAATGAATTGGAAAGCGCTTTTACTATCTTTCAAAGTAGACGAAAAAGTATCAAATATAAGCCTGAAAGAAATGATGTCTGAATTCTGTTATCTTTTAATTTTGACTTAAAGACGCCAAAATCCGGTGCATAAGACATCTTTTCGTCGATTGTATGCTATAACCATATGATAACTTTTCGGAAAATTCGCCATCATTCAGATATCGTTTAGTCATCGTTGTGCTGTCTGGGTATATGATATACTTAACATCAACATGTTCACCTAAGATTAAGCAATGTCAATCCAAAGTATTTTGACATCTAGTCTCGCGGTTGATAAATACTAAAATTATGTTAAGTGGAGCTCATAAACGATTCAAACCAGTCGATCAAACGTGTCGAAAAAGCGCTTTACTGTACAGATCGGGACGTAGTTGGTAAAATAATTTTCAGCTAAACAGATTTGCCTGTTCGAAAAAACGAATAATAATCGATCTTCAATGTTGCGATCTGCACGTACAAATCATCATGGCTCGACAATTACATCCGCACGAACAGCCGAACAGAAGATTCCGTAAAAAGATGCGCGTCTTCGGCACGGGTCAGATAGACACGTTAAAAACGTTAGATATAGAAGAGAAATGATCAAATCTATTCTCTATCGGTGGCTATTACTGCCCTATAACTGTTCGCCATTATTCCCTTTCCGAAGTGATCTATAATCAATGACGTAATCTACGCGCCATCAAAACGCGCACTCCTTTACGGCTTTTACGAAATACGCGCATACGTCAAATACGAAAAGCAAAGTGACATTTAGCGGGCAGACGATGATGCCGTGAGTCTGTTGTTTGCACGCAAATCCGCCTTTCGTCTTTTGCAAGTGTAACACGTAATTGCGCTTAAATCGACAGAGCGCAGTTGACGCGGATTACTAAATGCTCTCGAATTTGCGGATACCAAAAGAAAGGTAAACTTGTCAACATTCGTTAAGTCGTTCCCGCCACGCGCATTGTCGGATTAACAGGTCTGTGTAATTTATACAAGCTGTGAGATAGGACGAGCAACGAAAGGAGTAGACACTTTATGTGCAATTGTGCATAGACCACAGGTTCAACGGTTATATGGAACAATGTACGAAGAAAGTGTACGGCTTGCGTGACAGAAGAGTGTCGGCGGAGAAACAAAAATACCAACAAAGGTAGACAGAAGTGCATGTTATATGCATAGTTGCAATGAAAATTCTTATTCGTCAGCTTACACAGTCTCGTACTCGCGGCGAATCGAACGTGCCAAACAGCACGCAAAGATGACACCAATCAGCTGAAATTAAATTAAATCCCGATCAGAATCTCTCCGAAGATAGAACAAAGGTATAAAATACATTCCCATGGTGTACGTCCAATTTTTTTTCTATATTCACATCTACGAATGGTTATCTTGCAGACATGGTCTCGGAAATGTATGAAAAGGAAATCTTTCGCGTCCGTTAATGTAGAAATATCTTACACCGAAACGGAACAAGATATTTCATACATGAATGTTAATCGATCAACGTTGAACCATGAAAGTAGCAATTTCCGGATCCTCCATATTACCTTCCGGGGTTGAAATTTCAACGAGGCGCCATTCGAACTTATCATTTGCGCGTTCAGATTGCAGAGGACTATTTACCTGGATCAGAGCAATTCCTATAACAACGCCTCCAATGATAACGCCGTTGTGCTCTATGGCAAATTTCATCTTATCGATGCAGCCCTCGTGATAAAAGCCGACCGAGTTGGTGGTGCAGGAGTTGGGGCTCGTAATCTCGGGACAGCAGGTATCGGGTAAACTGTTACTGGAGAATCCATTATCTGCCCAATCTTCGGGACCCCTCATGCCGCAGCAGATAAGCTGAAACGGAAAGTATTCATTACGAGAAGGACACAATGAATTCGTTGGTTTTCGCGGTTAATACCAATTTACAAATACATAGTTCCACTTGTTATTCCCATTGTTGTTCGTTTCATTCTAGTATACCGCTTAAAAATGTAGAACCTGCCGTGTCTTAAATTAAACGTGGAATATAAAATATCCATTGGGGGGAGTTAGTAGGTTGTGAGATGCATTTTAATCTAAATGAGTTTAATAGAGAATCCAAGGGTAAAGTAAATATTTGTTTATGTGGGCAGTCTTATTAGATATTTTATTTGACTTGCAAAGGCTGGAAAGTTTTTATTTTATTGTTTTTTTATCCCCCTTTGTCAGGGTGTACACATGATTCCAGGAGAACGGTAAGACCGAAACGAAGTTAAAGTGGATTAAAAAATTAGGAAGGTTATTTAGGAATCGTTGACGCGGATTTATGACTAACAATTTTGTTTAAAGATATTAACGATTAAAGCGCAAACAACAAAGAAAAATCGATTTCTATTACTTATGTTGTTTACTAGAATAGAAATTTCCTTTTCATCGAAGAGCCGTACCGTCGGATCCTGACATCCATGTAAATGCATGCTTATTATAAAAATAAAAATAATAAAATAAAATGTTATGAATCCCGGGGGCATTCATATTCGCGCGGTAAAATATCAAACGATTCGGTACTTTCAGGTTGGAGAACGGTTTCACGAAGAAGACTCCTCGGATGTTGCTTTCATATCACTTCAAGTGCCTTAAATTTCGTTATATTCGTACAAAGGAACGAACGAATGGATAACGGCGTAACAGGAAAGCGTGATAACTTAGCAGTGTATACGTTAGGGGCAACGTGCTAAATTGCGAATTGTGCACAATGCCCGCCCCAATATTAGGTAATATGTATAAAATAGATGAAATTGCTCGGGCCTTGTACGGAATGCCCGTACTCGTCACATTATCCAGAATCGTGGAAGTCGTCGTTTCTTGGTCGTATCTGCAGTAGCAATGGCACGAGTAACGCCTGTAAGATCTTTCGGACCTTGATAAGATACTTGTTGAGCGCAAGATTTGAACATCGATAAAGCGGGCTGTCGAGGACTTATGCAACTTCCCTTTCACCTCGGTAAGTTGCGCAACGGAAACGCGCCAAGAAACGGAGATAGACGACAAACCGCAGACCGAGCCGTAGAATGCGAGACCGGTCAACGGTGGATCGACTTGGATAGACTTTAACGCACCGGAAGAGTCGGTGGCCCTTCTTCAGGGTCAACGTGCACACTCTTCCTCGGCCGTCGTTCAAAGTCATCCCGCGTGTTCGAAAACGGTAAAAGCGTTCTTCGCTGCGAGTCGTTTACCAAACACGCTTCTACGAATCGGTCATTATTTAGACGAAGATGTGATTATTAAGGTATCATCGAAGAAGTGCACGGCGCTATTACCGATCGATTCGTAGAATCGATCAGGTGCAAGCTTGACACGCTCGTAAGAAAACCGTTCGTGTTGTTCGCAACATGCGATTCGTGCTTATCGACCCGATCGCAACGCGTACGCCTCGAAGAATTTACCGATATAGACGACTTATTACAGTTAACGCTGATTACGTTAGTTTTACATAACCTGTAAATTGCCAATAGAATCTACAACGAGGCTGCCGTGTTTGGAGAACAAGCTAGAAAGCCCATCGATAGCTCTTCTAAGATCCGGCAAAGAAGCCTGGCCATTTTTCGCATTTATTTCAAGATTTGCCAAGGTGGGGTGAAAGTGGCCTCCGAGGGGTCCAATTATTTCGAACTTTGCCACATAAATATGAAAGCCTTGAGGAGGGTTCCGATGGGACAGGAGTCAAGATAGACGGTGTCGTTGACACATTTTTAATATTTTGTATTTCTTGAGAGCTTAGAATCGAAAGTAAAAACTTTTAGGACCTAACTGTAACAATCTAGACTACTATTATGGCCGAGTTTTACTTGGATCTCTATATAATCACTCTTTACCGACGTCGATCAAATTTCTCGACGCGTTTCACTTCACCTTAATCGGTCGCGATGAATCGACTTGCAGCAAGATGCAGGAAATGATTGGATTCGGGGGGAGTGGAAGGTGTTGGGAAGCATTTCCTCGTAAGCGCGTCGAGGTGTAAATCTTTAAGCTTTTCTCCTGGCATCGTCCATATTTGTCCGCCTTGAATGCCATTGACCATATTACTTGCACGATGGATACTCGTGGACGCCTACAGGAAGTTACAAGTCGTGACTGTACTTTTGCGTACGGGTAATGCGAACGGAGATATCGATTTACAATAAAACCAAGGCTCACCTGCAACCCACACTCTTTTAATGCGTTACTATCTTCAAAGATACTCCCTGTTAGTTGGACCCGTACGACCATTTTATCGTGACACCGATGTTCCCGCGTTGCGTTCGTTACGGGCGCACGGAATGACCTAATGCTTACAAGGAAACATTCCGAAGCGTCCGGCCCCTTATATTCGCGCCTTTCGGTACGTATAAAAGAGCATAAGAAACTAAGAGACGCAAATTACATCCTTGAATTTATTTTCCGTTTCGAATTGAATTTCACTTGGCATTAATTCAAATGAAGATTTCTAAGTAAAGACTACTCACGTCATGTTGCACAATGTTCCAGGAATGGCGAACTTCCATATTGGTGGAGTATTCTGGCATGGTAGCGTTCATGCGTCGCTGTAGCATCGTTCCAACTTCACCTCGCATCATGTATCCAGAAATTCCAGCTCCCAATTCCAGAGCGAATATCAACAGCAGTAACACGGAGAACTGTTCACCGACAAATAGAGGAACGTGTTAGAGACACAAACATGTATCAACGATAATACAATAATAGTCCGCGAATTCTACCGTTATTTTGGTAGAAAATGAAACCGTGTATTACCGATGGATATTTTTCTTTATATTCTTGGTTTTGTTTGTAAGACATTTATGCTTTGTCGAAATAAGGAATTAAATTAAACTCTCCGATATTAACTTTCGGTTCAATATTATTAATTGTTTAATGCGTCGAATCGCATTCCCTATCTTTTTTAAAAACAAGCAAAATTTAAATTATTTCAAATTTTTAATCTGTACTATTATTTTGTTGATTGTACCGGATTGTACTGGAGTAAACGGAGTTGTAGGTGGCAATACCGATTATTCCAATAAGGTGACCATTTCCCCGTACCGATAGTATATAAACGCGTACGAGATTATATGTCTATTCGCGGTAATCCCAAAATCTATCGGCTCGATTTCGATCGGGCTTTTCTAGGTACAATTTAGAATGTAAGCCTGACCGTTTCTCGAAAACGTAGAGGAAGCGTTCCACCGCGAGAGGTGGAAGTTGTTCTTGCATGCGACGCTTCGATTGCTTCGCCGTAAAAGCTGGATCAACGACCGCAGGGTGTACGTACCGTTATTATCATGCAGTGGTTTTCCTTCACTGCCCCGCAGCATCCGAAGAATGACACAAGGAAGACAATAATGCCCACGACGATCATTAACACAGGCGCAGCGAAGAACCAATTGTCGACGAAATTGCTGTAGCCTTGATACATCACAAGAATGATCGCTCCCACCGACATGAACACGATCCCGGTGATCTGAAAGTAAAGGTTACATACGATACAATTATTCCTTGCAAATTTAATTTCAACGGTCATATATTTACAAATTATCTTTTATTACATAAGAACCGATTATGATACGAGGTCTGACGATTTCACGGCTTTCTTTTAAAAATTAATGGATAAAAATGGATCGTTTTATCGGAAACAAATTACTTTGCTCGATGAGCCATTTAAGTGTTTGAATCCATGGTACTTGGCTGATTGCGTTTTCAACCATCGGGGAGAATTTATCAAGTAGGTCAGGAATTTCTGAATTTCCGAAAGATTTTTCTATCGAGAAGAGACTTTCCGAGCTGCCTAACGGAAATCTACTATCCTTTAAAAATTCATTCCGCAAAAGGTGATAGCTAAGCTTTTATAGGCGAGCACGCAAAATGGATACAGAAATATTATTCTCCACATATGGGTGTACAGTTAACATTGTTAATAGTGGTAAATAAAAATCTATGTAACACGAGTCCTCAATGTTTCTTTTATAAAATTACTTGGTCGAAATCAAGGTAATCATCCTGCATGCGCTGCTGGTCAAATAATGGACCCGCTGCCTTCTAAAGGCGGCTAAACGCGACAAACTGTTGAGATAAATCCGAGCAAACGGATCTGTAGAGGTTTAACTGACGCATGGATGCTACAGTCCTCGATTCAAGTGCACGGATTACAGGTAGTTGCAATTTATTGTTGCGGGTGTAGCCACCTTAAGGGTATCAATTGTAATCCGCGCAGTTAAATCGAGTCTTTCTATAGCGCCGGTTAAATCTGCACAGGTGAATTAGCATGGACCTATCGCAACCCTTTGTAATCTATGCAATTAAAGTGAGTTTCTCTATACCGTCGGTTTGCATAGATTTATCGAGACCGTTTGCAATCTGTGCAATTAAATCGAGTCTTCCCGTAGCGTCGGTTAAATGCGTACAAAATGGTTTCTTCACGCTTATCACAAAGATTTATCGTTACGCGTGCAGCCACCATTACGGAATGCTCATTCCTCCGACATAAATGATCGCGGTCTTTGTTTCCCCCAAGGGGTGTACTTTAGCGTCGCTTTTTGGACGTTAGGACAAAGGAAAAGGTAAAAAAAGCTTCACAGAGCTGCATCGTCAGGCTTGCAAAGTTCTTTCGCTTCGACGTGCACGTCAGCGCTTTCCCTTTGGAAGGAAGTGCCTTCTAGCCTCTTCTTCTTTAGGGCTGGAACTTTCCAAATAGGTTCTTTGAAGATCAATCTTTCGATCTCTTTTCTTCCCGATTTTCTACGGAACCAAGTAAACATTTCGAAACTTCATTGGGGTCAGAACGTTCCTTAGGGACTTGGCATTGACAACGTAAGTCTTCAAACGATCCGGAACACCAGCCTGGAGAAGTTTCACGAAAGATCGACCCCTTAACTGCGCCGATTACGAGTCGCTGCGACTTATCGTAACGCGTAGTCGGCTAAAGCGCCCGATGCGTAGTAAGAGCGATCGAAATAATTGGCGCGTTTCACCCGCGGGGAAGAAAAAGGATCCTCACCCCGGCAGGCGAGGAGGGCAGGAGGACGTCTCGACCAATCGGGGGGCGCGGTTCGCCAGGCGTCGGGGCGCAAACGGAAACGCCTTGGATAGGTAAGTGACAGGTTTCGCGCCATTATTTCGCCCACGACGGACGCCGCGAGGAGACGCCCAGGAAGGAGAAGCCGGCGTCGCCGGTCTCCTTCGAGCGCATCGCGGCACGAAAACAAAAGACAATGGCGGCCGCCCGGGCGACTCCGGCCACTTGGCGTTTCCTTCTCTCCGTGTCCGCGTTATCGAGCGTCGGCGCGTTTTCGTGCTCCTTTCTTTCCCGGCGAGCCCTCCCCCCCTCTTCCGCGGAAAAACACGCGCTTTTATTTGGATACGAGCTGGGCTTCGGGTACTCACCGCGAATATCAGGTTGAAGAGGAACAGCAGATACTTGACGCACGCCATGCCGCCGGACACCATTTTCGACCCTCCTTTACTCGATATCACTCACTCGATATCCCGAAAATACGATTCACCGGCCTGGACTCGCCGGACGACTTTTGCGTTCGTTGCGTATGCGCCGATACTACGCACGATGTTCACCAGTTGCTCCCGGCTCGAACGCCCGTTCGGTTGTGATGACTACGTGCGCGATCCGCCGGTAGTTCGGCCAGCGGATGACCGAGGCGCCACGAGCGCCACGAGCGCCACGAGCGCGACGCGCGCGACGCGCGCGCAAGACACGATGGACGCGCCCGATGGCGGCGGCGCAGCAGCCGAGAGACCGTGTCTTCTCGCTCGGTCGCTACCCGGGCCGGGGGAGGGACAAGGACGCTCGACCCGGACATCGGCCGGCCCTTCTCCGGTTTGGTTCCTCTCCGATCTTCCCGATCTGCAGGTATCGTTATGCGGCTGTCAAAGAGTTGGACCGCGGTGGAAATTTTTCAAATCACTTTTTCGATGTAGAATAAATGAAACGTTTAAATACAGTTTAGGCGTATTATTAATCATTATTTATCATTTTACCCGAAGAAATCTTTAAGCTATGATGCATCGTAAAGAACTGTATTTTGGGGTATGTCCTCGTTTGTCGTAAGTTTTCAGGTAGACCGATCGTTCGCAATTTCACGAAATTATAATATGATGTTATCAAATTATAAGTTTATGTAGAAATTTGAGATAAATGCACACTAATTCACTTTTAGGACATAACATTTATAATCTTACTACAATCTTAGGTACTAAAAGTGCACGAATATTATGAATATTTCTAATAAGGTGCACTTATCTTCGAAAAGAGTACGTTCCGTTTATGTCCAGGCTTTTGATACCACAAAAAGTGCGATAAAAACATTGTCCTTTGAAAAAGAGAGGGGTTTCAACGAGCCCTTTTTCGTTTTAACCTTTTAAGGTGATATGAAAGGGTGATTAAAAATATTTATAAAACTTTTCTCCAAACTGGGTGACCCAGAATGACCCTTTCATATCACCTGAAGGGTCACAAGGTCTCGGATAAACTTACGTGAATTATTTTCATCGTTTCATCTCCACAGTGTTAATTCGTGTAAGAAATGAAAAGTAAAGAAGGTTCAGACGGATAAACTGTTCAAGTTGTCATTATAAATGGGGAGGTAGACTGCTTAGAAAGTGAACGTTCGTTTCTTTTAGGAAACGAATCGCAAGGGTATAACATATGATATAACTTTTTTTTCTATTCTCTTTGCCCAGTCCGAAGCAACAATTGCATGTAGGTACATTGTGATTTCATAGAAATTGAAGTTGCAAGTATTGAACTCAGGGCTGGGGCGACGCGTATATAAAAAATGACGTGCGTACAGTGGCCGTTATAACTTCCATTATAGAAGTATACAGGGTGTTTCATTTTAAATGCCTAGTGCTTGAGATATTTCGATGGGTCAACTTGGGTGAGACACCTTATATCATGACCTATTGTGGCTCGCTCACGAGCGTCACCTTCGACGCGCGTCGCTTCCGACGCGCGTCGATTTATTCGCTTCCGCTACGCGCTGCTACTACGACCAGTGGCGTGTCCAGAAAATTTTCTTGGAGGGAGTTAATCAGGATGCACTTCGTTTTCGATACCTAGACAAAACGCGAAACGTAAAAACGTTGAGAAACGTGGCGTCCGCCCGAGTGGAGGGGATTCCGACCTCCAAAACCCCTCTAAACGCACGTCGCCGACTACGACGCGCGTCATGACGCATCAACGGACGCTCTATCGTCGCATCGTGCCGAGCGCAGTCGGCGTCGCAAGCGTCGAAAATACGTCCATTCGACGAGAAGTCCTACAAAATGTCAGGCAACGTTGACTGCGAATTATTAATAAGCGAAGTGCAAAAGCGGCCCTCTTTATGGGATACATCCCACGAGGACTACAAAGACAAACATAAAAAGAATTCGGCATGGGTTGAAGTTTGCGCGTGCTTAATAGAGAACTTCGCCACGAAAAGTACAGCACTTCAGAAAGTGATCGGTAAGTTCTATCAAAGTAATATACTACAATGAATCTCTCCTATTAACGTTGTTTGTAAACACCCTGTACTTTCGGGGCGACTATTTTATCTAAAGAAATCTAGATATATCCTAGTGACATAAGAAGTTTTATTTAAATAATAATGTTTCAGTACAAGATGTGATGTCAAAATGGCGTACCAAACGAGATAATTATATACGAGCATTAAGAAAACAAGCCCAACATTACAAATTCGGTTCGGGCGGCAAAAAGACCAAACTATATGTGTACGGAGAGCAACTGTCTTTCCTGTGTAAGAATAAAGAATTACGGAATACCGAAGGTGGTTTCGATGAACCTCAATACGAAGAAAGCCAAGACGATGAGAAAAACGAAGTCGAGAGTGAAGCAGGTGATGCAGAAAGAAGCGAAGAAATAGCCAGCCCCTCGCCAATAAATATCGCACGGCCAGGAAAACGCAGAAGGACGGACGTTGAATGCGCATTGTTAGATTTTATGGAACGTCACAAGAGAACCAAGACTATAGAGGAAGACGAGGACTTGGCGTTCTTTTATTCTCTGCTTCCTACCGTTAAAACCCTGGACATGGATCAGAAATTGACATTTAGATTACAGACGATACAACTTTTGCATACCGTAAGGAATCCACTCGTCCAGTTTCACCCAAACGTGCACATCGAGCCACCGCATTCAAATCCAACCATACCGATTGACCCGTCGTCTTCGAATCCTTCTATGACCTTTCACCCATTCTCAAATCCGCCCATATACAGTCGTGCTTCTGATTCCGATTCGAGACCAATGTCTACATTATCATCTGCTTCGTATGAATCGAAATTTTCACCGCAAGAAGGAACGTCAAACGACTGTACAGCATCTCTGGGCAATCGACGCCGAAGGCGATAAGTTTTACCGTATTCATTCCTTCGCCTTGTGTACCGTTTCTTTTTTCTAATATAAACACACTTATTTAGTTCTGATTGGTACACTGAGCGAAAAAATTACTATCGAGGTGAAATTAATTACTGGCGGCGTATGTAAATATTTATCGCTGAACAAATATCTTGGTTTCAGCGAAATTGATTTTGCGGGAACCGCCAGCATTGAAATTTTACTATAAATCTATCAAATTCTACATTTGTAGAAAACAATATGTGGCCGGACTTATCTTGCCATCACCCACCACCATTTCCTCAGGTTTTACGCTTGTTCTCATATTTGAATCTTGACGTTCCGCGTCATTATCCGAAGATGAAGTATCAAAGATTTACCGAAGTTCTTTGACCGCGAACACAAGTTATTGGAACATCGATTCCTTGCAAGTGGATGGAAGAAAGAGTCGAAAATAATCGACGGTGTCGCAAGACGCCACTTCGTAGGGTCGGGTGATTCCCCTTGCCGTCTTGGGGGGGGGGGGTAATTGGATCATAGGTGGCAGTCGGGTGGGCTTAGACTTAGATTCAGTGACCCCCGGTTGTTCTTTCATACGTTGTTAATGCTGTTACCGGAACACGATGCGAAGCACTACGGCCTACTTGTATCCCGCTTAGGGTGGAGTACACTTGTATATACGGGTCTGGAAACTCCGCCAAATTTTCGGCGGCGGGGCCGACAAAAAGGGATGCGTAAGACAATTTTCATGCAAGATAACTCGATGATTGTCATGGTATAGTCATCGTTACCGTCGAAGAGCACTCTCAGAAAACGAAACGATTTCATTCGGCAGAGAGTAGCTCTTTAAGATCGAGTCCGTGTTAATTCCCTTTAATACAATCCAAGTGACATAACGGAAAATCCGTTGCGGCGTTGAATGCGTTAAATCGAGACGCAGAGTGGGCACGCAGTTGGTCACGCTTTTTGGGCTGTCGATGCGCGACAAGATCCGAGGGGCCAGTAGCCCATTCCTATACCGTCAATGGGACGAATCACCTTGCAAATATATTCCAGAAGAACGGAAAGTTCCCGCAACTTCGCGCGAGATGAGGTCGTTCGAATCGCCCGGGCAATCGCGCGCCTCGGCCGCGCCTGCGCGCCGCGGCGCGGTCACGTGACCGGCGCGGCGAAGTCGGACACGGGTCGGACCGCGGACGCGGTAGGGAGATAATTCCCGTGCAACGTGTAGCGCAGCCTGCCAACTTCTGGACAAGTGTCGGGAGTGACGCATATTTGGCCTCCGTTAGTCCCGCCATCACGGCCAAAGAGCGTGCGCGGACTCGAACCGCGTCGTCGCATTTAGGGCCCGAAACTCGCTCGAATTGCGCGTCGCGCGACGTCTTGGTGGTGCACCCGCGGCATCGCACATCGCGTTAATCGTCTCTTTTGTGGCTCCCGGGTGACCTGGCAGCCATGGTCATCGGAATGAAGCTGCCGGCGAGCTCGCGATGCGTCAAGTACCTCATGTTCATCTTCAACCTGTTCTTTGTGGTGAGTCGCGAGGGTCGAGATGCCCGAAAGGTATTCCGGGCGATCGACATCGATCCGAGTCAAGTTCGGGTCCGAGGGCGCGATAACGCGTGCGTCATTCACCCGAGAACGGTGGCACGTCATTTCCGTAGGCCAACTAAATCTTCCTCGAACGCTCCTTTTCCCTCCTCGCGATTTCATATTTTGCGAATCCAGCGAAACGAGCATCGTTGAGAACAGCTATTAACCTTGAAACGTTCGCTTCGACGTCGTCGCCGTTTTTTTCCCCGCGGTCTTCGCACGGGGTACCCCGAGACAAAGATATCATTGAACCAAAGAAATATTTTCTTCAATCAAAGAATAAGAATATTCGACTCAAGTAAATTGTCACGATTTCGAAGAAACATTGCATCCGATTTATTCGAGTTCATTTGAGTGAAATATTTACTCATTGAAGTAACAAAGAAGTTTCCTTGATACTATTCAAACAAATATTTCTTTCGTTCGATGAATTTTTTTTCCTCAGCGTAGTATTTTGCAAATTTAGCGGGACACGAGTCATACGATCGACGATTAAAATATCCACGTCCAACCATTTCGAAACGAAGCTGGTAATCCGAACAAGCTATTCGTCAAATATATTGGCAACAGAGGACTCGCCTCCATTGTTAATCACCCGACAAACGCTGATCACTTTGTCAAAAGCGTTTGTCATTCTTTCCCTAGTCCTTCAATTGCGATGGCCATGTTGATAAGGCATTCACGTGCGAAAACTCGTTTACCATCGTTATTTTACTTCAAGGCTTGCGATTGATTTTTTAGTACGTTAAAAGGCTTCCTGATCCATCAATATTTGATAAAATTGTATCGAAGTGTATTGGTAAAATGGTATCTTAGGGTCCTGTAGATTCTATACGGTAAGATTTTGAGTGCAGTAAACTGCTTATTTGAAAAATACGTATATTTTTTACAGATACCTTTCCAAATGTCCCAGGAACGGTATTTTGATTATTGTAAACCAATAGTGGCGTTAATAAAGCTACAGAAAAGAAATAAAGTAACAGCTATTCCTTCCGATGGTATGAAATTGATACAGCCTTCAAACATACAAATAGTATTCGAAGCATAGACACAGAGAATTAAGAGTGATCCGAATAGGAAAGCTAGCGATTCCGTTGATACCGGTTAGTTGCGATAATATTTAAATTCGTACAAACGGTACGGTCCAGCTTATACTCTAAGGCTTATTTCATAGGTAGAGTTAAGCTTTGGTTATAATTAAATCGTTTTATTCTTATATATAATTTTGATCCGCTAGATTCGCAAACATTCCATTACTCTGTACCGAGAACACTCACGGGGAGCGCTCTTTTTGTCCGCATCTTACGGTCCGTTCTCGTTCAGGTCTTTATTTTCTTTCTTAACGCACTTTGGTTTAATTGCGCGTCTAGCGAAAATGCTTTATAGCGATCACTAGTGTTCAAAGCTTTTGACAAGTTGTAGGCTCACCCCGTTGAAAACATTCATATAATTTAGACGCGTTTAAAACATTGAATTGCCAATTAAGAATTTGTGTAGTTTATTCAACTGGAACGTTACACTTTAACGGAATAAGTAAATTTATAACATATTTTCAAATAATATGTTACACACATTATAAATTCAGTACACAACAGTATTACTTTTCCCACACAATTTTACAAAATTATAATACGATGTTATTAAATTAAAAATTCATATTGAAATTTACAATAAATGTACGCTAATGCACTTTCAAGGTAGCAAATTTATAATTTTACTGCTACCTTATGTCCTAAAAGTGGAAGAATGTATGAATTTTATGAATATTCTTAACGGTGTAACCTTGCGCAAAAGATGTATTTCTGTGAGTGAAATATCTTGTAAGTTACTTATGTAAATAGACATTGTTAAATCCATGCAGTTACTTATGTAACTCTGATACGTGTCGTATAAACGTATGATCAATAAATGGATATCGTGTCACATGGACGAGTAATGTAGAAATACAAGGTATTCGAGTATTTTATGGACAGGGGGAGATACCATATGTTGCACTTAAAGGGTTAAAATGTGTCGATTAAACCAAACGTATCCGTGTCCGAAAATGCTTTGAGCGAGCCGGAGGGCGTTTCTATAGAAATTCCGATAGTATTTTCGGGTGAACGTAATGGCCGGTCACGTATTTTTAAGTTCCACATTCGAGATTACATAGTCATTAACGTTTGCAGGATGCCGTCGTTATCCTCGTATTTAGCCCGATGTGGGTCGTCGAATCACTTTCTATTTAATGTTCCCTCCATCGTTGAAAATGTTTCGATATTTCGAATACGAAAGCATGCCAAAAGTAAAAATAGTGGCCGAAGAGTATAAAAAAAAAAAAGATTCGCTGCGGACAGGATTCGAACCTGCGCGGGTGGAACCCAATGGATTTCAAGTCCATCTCCTTAACCGCTCGGACACCGCAGCACTCGGGTCCAGGGTTAATTTCCTGATATTTGTACTAATCGTACTTAGATCGAGTCTGAATTCCATTCTAGTGCACAATATTCACCGCATGTTATATATTACGCATTGGTCAAAGCTTATAGGAATTCAGGGACCTTTGCTATAGTGTCTGCACGGATTCGGGTGTCCGAAAAGGTTTAGTCAGAGAGGGAGTATAATTTGTCTGCCAAGGTTTTGAAAGTACACAAGGTACAAAGAATGTTCGTCGGGTGAAATGTATAACAATGCGAATATTACAAAGCGTACACAACGATTTCAATTTCCAATACAAAGTTGCAGGTGCTGCCGATTTAAAAAAAAATTATATATTTCTGTACCGAAATATCGAATGCAGTTAAATAACGGTGATATGAATGGACTCCCATTGACGTAGTGATACTTTCGAAATCACGCGCACCCGTCCATCATTTTGTTAACACTATTTTTTTCGCTATTTTTCAACGTTTATCTTTTAAAAACGAGAATTTTCGTTTCCTGACGCGAATGTGTTAACATATCCTTTTGTAAATCTGATTAACCCTGTACATTCAATTTCTACGATTATACGTTTATTTGACGAAACTATGCGACTAAAACTTCTTTTCAATATAACTCAACATTCGTATAAACTTGACACATTTATATTACATTACATTTCATTAATTTAGTATTCATGCTTATGAGTAAAAGAATGCACTATAGATTTTAATTATAATAACACTCATATACACCGTAATTCCGAAGCATTTTTTGGTATTTCTACGTCAAAGACCGTTACAATCTATGTTGCACGTGCGCAAGAAAAACCTCCGAACCAACACGGGACAGGAGATACTTTTTTGTCTAACCTTTTTGCTCACGAAAATTAATCCAAATCTTTGACTTGCGAATGACGTTAACGTTAATTCCAGATCACCGGGGTGATACTGCTGTCCATAGGGTCTGTCATTCTGGGAATGTATCACAATTATCAGCACTTCCTGGACAATAAGTTCTTTTCCGTTCCGTCGCTTCTCGTCGCAATTGGTGCCATCATCTTCTTCATCGCCTTCTTCGGATGTTGCGGAGCCGTTCGTGAAAATTATTGCATGATCGTTACGGTAAGTTTATTTAAACGCATAAGAGAGCCCATAACGTGCGTTCCTCTTAAAGGCAACGTAAACGTATAAAAGTACGTCAACTGAATTTGACCGAGTGTAATTACACTCTTTTACGGTCGTACCGTACGCGTAGGTAGACGGGAGGGTACGAGCCCCGCCATTGATTCGACTATGAGAATAGCGGAACCGAAAGCGAGTCGACAAATCTTTTATTTTCTCGTTCTTTTTTCTTGCTTTTTACGTTAAATGGTTGCCCAGCGCTATATGACGGCAGTCTATTTAGCGGCAAGAGAGGGAGAGAGAAAGGATAGCAGCCTCTCTGTTCTCCCGTTTTCCGCCCCCATGCAGTTTCTCTTCCTCGCGTTACACAATCTTTACTTTACATACTTCTGTAAACCTAGACCCAGGTAGCACAATGTCGTAGCAATGACGTTATTTTTCTATCATTATTGACCTGCGACGTCATATGTCCAAAACTACGACGCCGCGATGACATGACACTTTATGAGATTAATCAATGTCCTGAACCTGACGTCAGTTTTAAGTTTTCAAGTCCATTTTTTTAGTAGCATATGTGCGATTGTAGATTTGATGTTTATTTACTCCAACTTGAGCTCTTTTTATACGTTCTCTTCTTTCGTCCTTATTTGGTAGCCCCGTAATCCCCTTTTTGTTCTGCATGGACGGGCATAATATCAGTTCTCGGAATTCTCGGATGGATCATCGTAAAATGTTGCTCTATCATAAAGCATAAAATTGGTTTTCACATTTAAAACATCTTGTATTTGTTTTGGCAGTTCTCATGTCTGATGGTTCTTGTGTTCATAATGGAGTTCGCCGGTGGAATTTCTGGCTACGTGATGAGGAATCAAGCATCGGAAATAATCGAGCAGAAGATGCACCAGAGCTTACAGAAATACCTTACGAGTGATGAGATTCATGCTGTTTGGGACGAAATGCAGTCGGAGGTAATGTACAAATTCGTATTATGATTTTACATTGTCTTCAATTTCCGTAGCTCTTTTTTGTCCACTGGAATTGAAACTGTATTATACGATAGTAGGTGTCTTTTTTGTCCACTGGAATTGAAACTGTATTATACGATAGTAGGTGTCATTTCTCAATCAAATTCTGTTTATTTGATCATCATTACGATTTCGTCATGCAACTTTGAATTAAATAGTCTATTTAATTGTCCGTTGTTCACCGGTTAGTAATGCTGACACGATATTTAATTTATCAAGCATGTTCTGCTAAAGCGTCCCGTATTTCAAAGTAACGTAACTACAGACGTTTTCTGTACACATGAGAACTAACGAGAGCGAAGCCTGAAAATGTCGACTTCTTGGGCAGATTTTGATTTCGACCTGCGAGTAACCGTAATTATATGAATTGTTATTTGTTACAGTTCCATTGCTGCGGAGTCTCCAATAGCAGCGATTGGAGATCAGTGTTCAATAACGATACTCTGCCGAAAACCTGCTGCGAAACTGACACTCAGGAAGGTATCAACTGCACCACGGCGAATCTTATATATAAAGATGGATGCCGTCAAGTATTCGTCACATTTGCAAAAGCTCACGCAGTGCAGCTTGGCGGCGTTGGAATCGGCATCGCATGCATTCAGGTAAATTGCATAGATTTACAGGTCACACGTATCAGTGCCGTAGACATAAAGTCTTAAATCTAGCTTTTGCTAATATGGAGTTATTATCTTTCAAGTGAAACTTATACCATGGTAGCGTAAGTTCGCATGTCAACTGACTGCGAAAAGCGTATTGTAGACGTCCGACATTTGGGTCCACTATTGCCTGTACGCATCCATGCATTTCGTTTACATGTCGAACGGGCTTGGCAGTCAAAGAGTGAAGGAAGAGAAGCGCATCGAAAAATGAAATATTTACATACTATTTTTACAGTTAATTACTACTAATTGCAATCCTCTTTGCTTCGTGGTGTCAATATTGTTATACCTAAAACCAGGACAGTTTTGTGCCTGACTTTTGTTTTGCCTTGTGGTACAAGTTTTTCTGAATGTTTCTAAAAATGGACTTACTGCTTACTTTACATCTACGGTACAGATATGCAGATTGGATAGCGCTGCCTTTTATCCAATTTCTTTTATGGTAAATTCGATTTGACAATTCTAAGAAGTTCCGCGTACCGCTAAGTTCGTCTGTAATTGGATACAGAACTGAAATAGGTCATGCTCATCCTGGTCTGTGACGATATCGAGATGCACTAATGCCGGTTCCGAAGTATGTTTGTAAAAGAAGAAAAGTTAGTCGTATCAAGTAGACGAGTGTGTTTTTCTTCTACATTCGTGTAAATACAGATTTTTTGTCCTTTAGTTGAACATTTAACCATGAAGCATGTAGGGATAAAAAGAACTTTAACGTCCACCTATCGATACTTGTCACGTATCAACTTTTCTTAAATAATTGAAAATATAGTTTGCGTGCGAGTATGTATGAGACATTGTTAGGTATAAGTGATCACAATTGATTCTTGTAGAATAGGTACGTTATCCGGTGTTCACTAATCCAATATATATATATATATATTTTTTTTTCTAGCTGATCGGCATTTGGTTCTCCATCTTCTTGGCCAGATCGATTAGAAACAGCTACGAGACAGTCTAGGCGACTCAGTAGTAACTTCTGATCCTATTTAGAGTAGGATATTTTACTAATGTGGTCTCTCTTCTCTCCTATTGCCGATAAGTCCCCAAATTAGGCTGGACCGGGATTCTCGTTGACATTGTAAAATAAATTATAAACCGGCTAGGAGTTACACAAGAGCGTAATGAAGATAATTCCCTATAACGATATGAATTTTTAATAAATCGTTCACAATTTCACAATGGTATATTTTTCTAGATCCTCGAAAACGGAGAAAAACAGTGTATATATTACATGCCCTTACATATTAAAGTAATGTTGCAATTGTAACAACCATACGCGCTACTACATTTGCAGTAAACATTCTATTTTCACCTTGCAATGTTACATTTACAGCACTGGTAAGTAAAAATTACATGTAAAATGAACGCGTAAGAATGATTAGCGCTTACGAACAAAAACAGGGAAATGTAGAATCGCTCGTGTATCCTTTACTAGTGGAAGCACGTTAAATCTATGCATGTCTATGCGTTAAACATTTGTATTACAATTTTTAACCCTTTGTGGTCTTATGTCCAGTATGACTAGATATCGATAAGACGATTGTAGAAATTCGGGCCGCAATGAGTTAACCACCGAATGCTAGTATCGCGCGGTGATTATTTATTAATTTTAACCATCTTATTTTACCTTTGTTCGAAAGCGTTTCTAATTCAATGTTGTCATGTTTTATTTCTTGGTTCAAATCTACATAACTTGTAAATTTTGTCCAAAATTCTTGGAATCATTGATTTTGGAAGGAGCATTGAAAAGCTGTAGGTAAGAAACAAGAAAAGTTGATTATTTCAAGGAAGACAACCGAAGCGATCGCGCCTCACTTCGGAGATTTGACAAAATCTTCAGACCTTTGTGTACGATAATGGCGTGAACTGATACGTCTTATCTCTGCTGTGATTATTAAACATACCAAAGCTAATGTTTGCAAATCAAGTTGGTCTAATCGCAGGAAAGAGATTTCGCAGAGTAATGACCTGATCTGTGCGGAGAAATGGAATGTAAAAAAATATCGCTGTTAAACAAGAAAAATCTTGTCAACGGATTTGCCGATGCCTTGGGAGGCTTTAAATACTTAATCCCATTTACAGGCAGAAGCTCGTTTTAGCTCTCGAAACGAGAACATCGCGTAATTCGTGCAACCGAGAAATACTGTCTCCCTTTTTTTCATCACTGGCCCCTTTAAATCTATTAGATATTGCACTTATAAATTGTCGTTATCCGTGCAAAATTTCGGAACTGTTGCGAATCTTCGATGTTTAATTTTCTGCTGAGTGCATTTTTATCCTTCTTTGCAATTTTTCCCTGGTACACTCGAGGCATCGCACAGTATAATATTTTATGAATCCAGGGGAACAAAATTGTATATAAGAGTAAAACAATTGAAATAAATGTAAACTAAATACCTAATTCTTTAAATATTATCATAACAACCAGTATCGTTAGAATCACTAGCTTCACTATGGAGAGGATTATTTTTATTTCTCAGTATTTCTTGGAATCTTTGGAAGAGCATCTGTAAAAATGTACATATCGTTCGAATACGCAAATTATTGCACCCAAAATCCTATTGAATAAATTCTAAACAACTCTATTGTAAAGGAAAGAAAACTAGGTAGTGTAATGACGTTCAAAAGACTTGACAGTTTAAAAATACCAATATTTCAAATTAATTGCGGGCTATCCCCAACGGAGCACATACGTAAAAACGACGTCAAATTGACGCGCAATTTTTGGAATTCTGACGTCAGACAAACGTAATATCGGACCCTAACGTTTCTTTTCTAGATCTTCAAGTTTACGTCAAGTAAGGGTGGTGTCCGTGGCGATTTCGGATAAGGACCGTCGCAATTACGAAGTTTACGTTAACTTGACGTCTATCGGATGTCAAGGTTGACGTCTATTCGACGTTTCTTCGATGTTCATCCCGCGGACATTCGGACGTCCACTTTACGTCAATTTAACGTTGACAAGGTCTGATATTACGTCTATTTGACGTCGTTTTTACATATGTGCTCCGTTGGAGATTTTAATACCAATACATCGGTGCAATGTTACTTCATCTAAAGTCGGAATACTCCGGAGTGATCGGCCTAAGGAAAACGTATGACAAACAAGGATGTACAACAAAATACGATTCTTTACATTGTATTTTAATTCAAACTTTTCTCATGTCTTATGACCTTCAAACCTTTTTTCACGTAACATGACAAATAATTATACCAATAGGAACCCAAAAGTGTCATTAATAATACTTTTAAACTGTATTTAAATGTTGTGTTTCTATTTTTCTCTGAACCTCTTTGAAAAATGGATATTTTTATTGTCAAAAGGTATGAGCCCCTTTAAATACGGTTCAATGTGATTAAATTATCTGCTCATTCCCTAGGATAGATATAACTCTTCCGACTGAAGCTTAATCAGTCCGTTTATAATCGCTCCGATAACGGATACTCGCGGAAAAACTGGTCGCGTATACCGGGTGTTCCGGAGAGGTCGAAAACCGAAATCCTTTATTCCTACGTTAAACTGAGCGATGAATTGTCGATTCGTTATTCAATATTAAAAAGCAGCAAAAACTTTACTTTCTAAGGTAGTGTTAATCAGTGTTACGCATATATTTGCATATAAGTTTGACCTGGAGCTACATGTTTCTCCGACTTGGGAATGAGCTACAAATTTGGGAACTGATTGTTACGACAAAGTGCAAAATGCCACGAAGAAGTCCCAAATATAAGAAGTACGGAATGTGTTAAGTTAACTTATTAAAAGCAAATGTAGTTTTCTATATTTCTGTATTCCGCCGTGCGCGTGGACGGGGACTCTTCCTAGCTCCGTCCGAGACACCTTGTACAGGCGGTCTCTCTCTCTCTCTCTCTTGCGTTTTCGTCGGCTCGCTATCAGCAGATAGCGGTGCACCTGATGGGCCGACGGTGCCCGACGCAGGTCGACGGAGGCCGTCGTTGGCAGTCCGCACCTCGCCAGACCCGCGAACGGCCGGCACCGCACCCGCGAGCAAGATGGCGGCGACGCACCTCGACATGGGCCTCCGGTGCATCAAGTACCTCCTCTGCGCCGTCAACTCCCTCTTCGTGGTCTGTACTCTCTTTCCACCCGGTGATACCGCGTTACCGTCGCCGAAACTTACTTCCTTCGCTTTGCGACCCAGACGGAGACTCGAACTCGATCGTCGTCGCCGACGTGTGCCAACTTTTTCTCGCAAGATGGCGTCGTAGCTCTCAAGCTCGGTCACCGTTGGCGTCGGTTCCCTTCGTTTGCTTATCGACTATTCCCTCGTCATCGCGATTACCTGCCGTTGAGCCGAGTTCTTTATCCTACGGTTATGCCTTTTCGCTACGATACTAGCCGGTAATGTCGTAACGAACGATCGGGGAACCTCATTTTGCACATGCAATTTGCAATTTTATAAAACTATGGCGTGTAATAGATTTTGTAACGAAACAAAGGTGCCATTTGGAAAGGATCTCGCGGGCCAAATCGTGTAGCCAAAAGGGGACCAAATAATTGCGTATTAGTAAGCTCGCTCGAGATTGCAGTTTGCTGGGGGGTAATTAACAAGTGCACCATAATCTTTACACATTTTTTGCAGTTGACCGGGGTTATGATCATTTCCGTCGGAACGGCAATTTATGCCGTTTACGAGGATTTTTCACACTTTCTGGATCCCAGCTACTTTTCCCCCGCGACTCTGCTGATCGTCGTTGGTGCATTTGTCTTCGTTATAGCAATTTTAGGGTGCTGTGGAGCTCTCCGGGAGAGTACATGTATGGTTTTAGTGGTGAGTTAACTACTTTTATTCGTAATCTTAGAGTTTGAATCATTCAATCAACTTTTTAGATTAACTTTTGATTACTCGTTACACTGAGAAGATGATATCGATAAATCCGTGAGCTATGCTACCGCGTCTCTTGATATAATCATCATTGTAACAACAGAGTACAAGTACAAGTACAGCAGTTCTTAAAAATCATGATCGCTCTCAAGCGCACAATCTACAGTTTGCAGTTTCTTTGAGTCTGGTCTTGATTTTGGAAGTTGCGGCCGCAATTGCAGCGTACGCCCTCCAAGATGGCATCAAGAGTCTCTTAGCGGAGAAAATAAATGCAACGATGCACATATACGACACGAATCACGAGGCTGCCGCTGCTGTAGACTTTATGCAGTCACGGGTAAGTAACGTTCTTCAACTATACCAGAAGATGTAAAAATATATACATATATTAGATGTGCGATGAGATTATACCGCAATAACATTGCCACGGTATCTATTTACAATACTACAATGTTAGTTACCACACGTATTGTTCTAAGGAAGGTGAAAGAACAATAAATATTATTTAACCACCTTTTTATGAGCCCATTTTCTTGGCAGTAGGTAGTATAGAAAATTTAAAAAAATGTCTATAAACACATTTTCAAAAAATTAAAATTTCATGGCTACCGGGATCACACTTAGGGTCTCCACATTTACGTAGTAAAGTTTCATAAACGAGGTCCCCTTAACGTCACTTTTACCCCGCCTAACCACATTTGAGCGCTGTGGACCCATAAGTGCGTCCGACGATTGGTCCAATATTGCTTGCACGCCCTGATGAAATTCGCCACTACGCCAAAAGGGCTTAGCGCTCAAAGGGTTAAGATAAGGATTAACTCTTTTTAACGTATAGCATGCGCCGATAATACCACTAAGAGATCACGATTGGGAATGTATGTACGCGAACGTTTCCAGTTACATTGCTGCGGTTACTACAGCCATCGAGATTGGGATGCGGTGACGTGGGGCACCGACGACGGCGTAGCAGTTCCTGACTCGTGTTGTGCATGGAGCACTAGACCCGATATATCGGTCAATACCACGGTTTGCGGTGGTTTCTACGAAGAGGGCTGCCTCGGACGTCTTTCCATAATCGTGCATCGCAGCACCGTTTACTTGGGCACAGGAGCATTCGCCATTGCTCTTATTCAGGTGTGTACAAAAACCGGTACGGATTGAGGGAACCTCGATCCCATGGCAACACAGTTCCCGTTGGTGAACTCGTGAGAGAAAGCGCGCGTACACCATGGACATAGGATGTATGGAGGCTACAAATCCAACCATTCCCCCGATATAGTTGTGTACAATTATGACAGTTTCCGTCTTGTGGAGGCGCACAACGGAATCTGACCGCCGTTCCCATTCGTTTCATCGGCAGGGAGTTCATCCTACGTCCACGAGGAAAATCCGTACATTGTGACAGGAAACTCGGACCGTGTTGGTACGGAGTGTGTTAAATAATACAGTGCTTTGGTTGCCAGTTGACAGGAATAATGTTTGCGTGCATGCTGGGACGCGCGATCAGGAGACAGAAGACCGAACGGGAGAGACGCCGCTGGGAGCTTCGCGAGAGTCTGGTCAACGGATACCACCCGGTTGGCAAATCGGACCCCGTGTCTTCGTTTCCCGTAGTGTACACGCAATCCCCGGATTACCCCCTGAAGGAACCCACTATTTAATATCTCCGATTTATAAATGTTTCCCCTCGAAATATCCAGTCATCGGTGGGTTCACTCCGAGCTGATTCTACATCGACCAAAACTGGATATCGTAAAAGTTTGACAACGATCGGTTTTTATTAAAAGCAAAAATACGCAAGTGTTAATTCATTCTATCGATTTCCACGAATTTATCATGTAATCGCCCATTTTCATGGGCAAACGTACAAAAGAATTCTGCTCCATTCAAAAGTGTAATAATATCCTAAGTAGATTATGTCAATTTTTCTTTCTTCTCGATTTCAATAAGATTTGAATAACCATTTCATTAATATCCATTGGTTAGCTATCATTTTGGAGAAGCATTTGTCATTTTGCAGAGGAAAAATGACCTTTCTTGTAAACTCGCGAACGGAATGAATATAAATCGAATTACACTAAACTTTTTTTTTATTACTGAAATATGTATCACTAAAGGAGATTTAAAGCTTTTTAGCTTGTTTGATCTATAACAACTGCTTATTTTTCGAGAATTTTGACTAAAAAACGCCCCAAAGTATTGATGGCAATTTTATGAGAACATCATCGAGTTTCCTGACCGAGTGTCAAAACGCGTCAGTAGAAATGGCGACGTCACTGCCAAATAACCACTGAATTTGGCGACCTGGTAGACTTGGTAGACTGGCCCCTTAAGTGTACACTTTATTCTTTGTACAGTGATGCATTATGTGTACATCAAAGACGGTATACAAACCATTGTAATGTATAATCACTACTTTCTCGCAGCTATTCTACACGTTACATCGACGAGAAACGCAAACTAGTACAACTGGCTTACCAGTACACCGTTATAACTCTCTTACTTGTCATTGGTATGATATGTATACTATCCGATATGAAAATGCTGAGAAATACATTATCGATACGATCTATCGTGTTACTTCAATTTGTTAAAGTCGATATGAATTCGTGTAACAGGGTAACAACTTCCTTTATGGTCAAAGCTCGTGAGAATGACTCTCTCAGCTGATAATTGTACCTTATGATAACTTGTTGCTTATTCTATGATAATTCATTTTGGCGCTAATTGTATGGAAAAATTCAAATAGACTCGAGACATACAATACCGACCGATCAGCGAATTAATTGACCATTCAATTTCTACGAATTAATCCATTAATAATGGCAGACGTTGCAACGAAATAGCCTCCACAGCTTTTCAGAGATCGGCGTCTTACAACCAGTATCAAACAGATCAAGTATGATATGATACGTAAGTATTTGGAAACTTTGTCCGCTTATGGTATAGCTAGTTAAGGGGTTTTTTTTTTAACCATTTCTCTTAAAATTAAAATCCTACGTAGAATACTACTGAAGTGTTCTATAATATTCAAGTCCATTAAGACGGATTTTTCATATTTCTCCTTATTCGGAGTACATACTGTAACGTGAAATTATTTTAAATTGAAGTAATATCGGGCAGATTAGAAAGTTCTAAAACGCTCTATTCACTTTTTCGACACAAAAGTGATGGAAAACTTTCTCATCTACCCAATAGTACTGTGTCTTCCTTAAATGTCGAACCTCCCAAAAATATTTTGATCCAGCAAAGACATGATCCGAAATACGATATACCACTTTCCGTTTTTTACAAAGGAAAAGTTTTCATATGATATCGTGAAAAGTCAAAATGCAAGAGCTAAACGAACAAACTCAGTTTATCGACAATTTTTTATAATTCCTCCGAATGTTTATAGAGCACTGCTAACTTTTTGCTTCAACGCAGTAGTACATGTATTTAAATACGTCATTTGTTCGAAAAATTATTCACTCATAAAAAATGACAAAAAATATTCATCTACACGGATCATAAAAAACATTGTATACGGAGTAATAAAAACTGGATTGATTTGTATGTCACGAGTTAAAAAAGAAAAGCGGCACGTCTGTATCACTTTTATCACGCCCCTTGATTGATCCGTTTTTCAAAAAAGAACTGAGTCAAAAATATGTATTTGACGTCGTTGGCTCTTTAATTACATTCGCGTTCGTTATTACACTTTTAACCACAGTATTCCGAATCGTTAAAGACTTGGTTCCTTTTTAGAAAGGAAAGTAGTATCGACGCATCTCTGATGATTTAATCTGAGAAGAAACGACTACATAAACAAACCCGTAGCGTCGAGTGATTATAACTATAGTACCTTTTTATGCTAAGTAAAATCCAAATTAAATTTAGGACAAAGAGACTCGACCGATCGGTAGATCAAGTGAAAACTTTTGATAAATCTTCCGAACATATTTATCGGAAGGGACAGACAGTAATAATGTATAGTGATCCCATGTGCCGTATTATTAACAATTGAAATTCGTAATTAGGGTTCCTTAATATCTTCTTTCATCCATTATGCATATTCCGACACGCACATACTTGCGCGGAGTGTTACCGAACGTACGTTGTTTGCGTTAAAGCTCGATCAAGACGACTTAAAACATGTTCGATTATTAACAACAATCGATAACTGACAACTTCGATATTAGTCTATAACAACGCTACGATCTCTAATGGAATACAAGTGGTAATCGTCTGTTAGAATTCAAGCAAAAACTGCTTCGGAAGATTGCATGCCGGGTTAATACTATTAACAAATGAGGAGGAATGGTTTATCGTTTCGGGAAATATTTAGTACAGAAAACAAAGAGGTAAACTAGTTTATATACAGATTGGGCTTCTCGGTAGTATTGCTGTAGAAAATTGGATGTTTCGTTTCTACGGTATTGCTAATAAGCGCAAACGAGTTACCAGCTGTGTGACCCAATAAAGATGACACTTTTTTTTTGTCAATGCCAACGGGCGTTTAGAGTTTTTACAGCGGTTAAGGGAGACAGACATGGGGAGAGGCATGGGGAGGATGTAGTGCAACTAATAATCCTAAGAAAAGGTGCCAATTTGGGTTCAATGAGCACCAGCCAAAACGATCATTTGTCTATCGCTCGGTCAGTTATCCGTTTCTGTTGACTCATCACATATAATATCAATGACCCCATTAAACGTTCAGACAGGATGGGACAAATTAAACCACAATATATCCGCCGTTCCACCTTACTCCGCATACACCATTCCTCGAATAATTACAATAAATTACAGCTATACAAAGTCAATCCTCTTCGCATAAGATTGCAATAAAATGTTTTGTACTCATTCGATTCGTATCTTCTTAGAAATGACATATTGACTTCAATTTTATAATCCATTCACAGCATTCATTCACCCAGACGCAGTCTCGGTTTGCTTTGCCCCATCTCAAACAAAGATGCCTTAAGGGCCCTGCTTGATTTAGAAAATCGGAAAAATCGAATTTTATCTCATTAATGGATCAGTACGACAATGAATCTTTATACTGCCCAGGAATCGCCGAAGAAAGGAATAGAATTTCTCTCATATAGTATGTCAAAACGTATCTTCGAACTTTCAACGCGTTTTCCATGGGGTGATTTCATTCAAATCACTGCGCTGATGTGCATAATTTTGCTCCTAATTATGCGAATGACTTAAAATTTGGAATATACCATCTAATTGTCTCCACCGCACGAAGTGCTATGGCACATGCACCTTTTCTTATTGATTTTTATCATATAGAGACCGTAAAACTTCATTAACAAATTCTTTTTTTTTTCGTCTAGGTGTTGCCACTTTGTTAGTAATGATTTTTTGTCCAAGCTCAATTTCTCTTAGAGATTTCCACGCCAGCGTGCAGAAACGTGGATTTAATCAGCCCATATTACTCTGCGAATATCATCGGAAATATTAACCGTAAAAAAAAGAAATAAATCTAAAATTTTCTTTTTTAAATAGTTAGATAAATACTAAAAACCTCATGCGGTTACATTTTATCCTTTGCAGAACAACAGTTATTGAAAAGAGCTCAATTTTCCACTCGCTAGATCGAGCAGGGCTCTAAAGGTGACTTCGTAACCCTAAAGCCAGTAGATTTAATAAGACATTGTTTTTAAGAGTACTTGCCGCACATTCTGAAACTTTAACACATTACTCGTCAACAACCGAGGAACATTCTGACATTTTAAAAAAGATTTAGGATAAACCATACAAGTGTCAGGACGTTCCTCAGTTGCTCACGAGACACGTGTTGAAATTTTGGCCAGTTTGGTGGAACGCCCCTAGAAAAAAGTGTCTTAATTAGAATCGACTGGTTTATCAGAGTTTCACGTCACCTTAATGATAACGCTTCAATGTATGATAATACAATTTTCTGCCATGAAGTGTTCCTTCGCAAATACGCAGAGCGAAGGGGGTAGAGAGTATTCAACTCGTTAATCCATTAATTGTGCATCCGGCCATATCGAACGTCCGGCGTGTACAGGGTTAGTGGCACTAACAAAGTTTCAGTTAAATAATAACACTACTAAGTGTAATCATTATTTCATAGTACCGATGCCTTAAGTCGTTTTATTTCGGAGCGGCTGTACTCGCTTCTCGGGTCAACGCCTAGTGAACCCTAGTGAAGCACAATCGATTCGCTAAATCTCGTATTAGTGCGGTCGCGATAATTGGTAATCAGCGTGATCGTCTCCTGGCAGTATCGCCTTATTGCAAGCATTTATAAAACGCCCTACTATTTATGTACACATCGACACACGCGCGCGCGCGCGCATGCAATATCGATATAACGTAATGGATCAGTAATGTATATCTGTAATATACCTGCCCGAGCTGCCTCTAGCTATACCGTCACACACTCAAACACTCTACGTTCTGCTTAACCGAAAAGTTGTCATTTTCTGTTTCACGTAGAAGGCCGAACGAAGGTCTTGGTCGATGGGTGTCGTTTTGATCGAAATTATGAGAAGTATGAAACCCTGCTCGAATCACATTAAGCGTTACTGCTAGACTTCGTCGATGACCCGAAAATGTCGATGCAATCGTTAGATTGCCCAGACAGCTGTCGCGGTTTCTGCTGTGTGAGATTTGGCCGCTTTGGTTTTGCATGTTTTCTCGTCATGTTCATATTGTGTCATTTTAACAAACGTATCGCTAACACAAATCCTAGGACACAAATAATTATCATTATTCGACATTGAATTGCGCTGTACTGAAACAGCACAGCTCGTTATAAATACTTATAAACTGAATAATGAACATAGCCCACGCTTTCAACATTGAATGCGGTAAATCTCGCAGACAAAGCGAAAAACGTAACCAAAACTTATCTCGCTCGCAATTGTTTTTCAATGTGTTTCGAACTGGGAACTCTCTTCTGGAATCGTACTCAAAGGAAGACATTACTTTTAACTCAAATCGAATTAATTAAATGGCTAAACAGTATATATTTAACTTAATTATGTACGTTAATGTGCTTCATGTGTTTCCTTGTCGAATCGATCATTTGACATCATACATTTGTTAAAATATCATTAAAAAAATATTAGTTTCATAAATAAACTCATTGACTTTGCATTAAATACAATTAAAATTCGCATTGAATTCATACCGATTCACTGCTATTTTACTTAGCGTTGTACTTTAAACATCTTTCATCGTGCTGAAGTGTCAACCTAAAAGGCATCTATTAAGGTTTTATGTTAGTAACCGCAAGTCGACCATCTTGAATTATGACATCAGAGGCGAGGAAGTCGCATAAAATCCCCCTGCGGTATTCTTCCAGAGTATTTTTTCGTCAAATTACCGGTGCTAAAATAATCAGTGGATGTGTAAAATGTACCGGACGGTCCGTGTTTGTAACGATATTGTGTCTATTTTGTGAATTACTGTCCGGAATCGTCAGTGGTCTTAGCAGGTCGATTTTCAGAAAGTGATATCTCGTCTTTTAGTGCATGATCCGTCAAAAACTAACCCACTGACACACGTTGTAGATATTTAGTTTCTTTCAATGCTCGTTTTTGCTGCAAAATGTCATTCGTTTACAAAAATGCCAGCAGGGATTCACGCAATTTCCTCCCTTTCGACGTCATAATTCAAGACGGCCGACTCATGTGGTTACTAGGGCCTGTGAATTGTCAAAATTCATATTACTGTGATGTAGAGAGTGATGTAATCCATTATAAATATTGCAATCAAGCACACTTCCTAATGTCATACGATTTTAGAAGTGGTCTATGTCGTACCCACTTTATACTCGTAAAAGGACTTGTAAAATGTGTGTCTTGTCGAGTTACAACTTGGGAAATACTGTCGTGTGCGCATAAAAAAATATGACATTTGATTCTACATAATAAATATCGATATCCAAAAGAAGGATTCGAAGGATCTAGTATGATCGCTCGATCACTTTAAAATTCGTACAGCTAGAAAAGTGTTATACCACAGTAACGGTCGTCTAATAAATAACTAGATGTACCCCGAGCGCCGACGCGTCCGGCTTCGGTGGCATGGCTCTTCGCGGGGGCTCGACTGCGCCGAATTTGATCAACCAATCGCCGAATCTCGATCACGCGATCGGAATTTTTTTCATCCGATGATACTTTTGACATCCTCGACCCCGATTTAGAGGGGACGTGTATTGGCGATTTTCAAAACACGAACCGGAAAATCCGCCGAAAAAGCATTACCTTCGTTCACGTGACATACATACATACATACATACATACATACATTCATACATACATTCATACATACATACATACGCACGAAAACAGCGCTTTAGTAAATGGAGACAAACACTTTTAAACCCACAGTCGTAAAGAATATAATAAGAAATTACGTAGCTATTACTGTCTTGCAAGTTCTCATGCGAAGACTTTGATAAATGCACGATTTTTTAATTTTGTACTCGTAAAAGTAAATTGTGTACTTTAGATCTACAATTGTATCGTCATATGATGTTAAATCAAGTAGTTAACCTTGCGATTCGCCTTCATTAAGTTTTACATTTTTGCATATAAAATCACTAAGATGTTTAATTTATCATGTTCGAAAATAAAATTTCCAACAAAAAACCTGCACAATGATTATAACTTTTACTGGGATAATAAATGACTTTTTGTTGAGTACTGTAGGTACCGTTTGATGGGAAAAAGTGAGCGATACTTTCACACTAGATCCTTAAATAATAAATTAACAATTATTCCCTAATTGTATATGTACAGATTCATACATAACGTAATGAATGGATCAACGATAATTGGCAGTGGGATGTCAAGGAGCTCCTCCACTTTGTAGAATCGTCACATTCTGTGCACGACGTGGCTCTCAAATAGTGGGAAATGAACACATACACCTGCTGTGCAGGTGTAAAGCAAAATTCAAATTATGCCAATATCGAATAACTTTCATGGTTGCAGGATTCAACTAGGCTTTGATTGGTCACAAAGAGAAAAGAGAATAGAAAACATCCAGAAGTTAAAGTCAACCCGCGACAAAGACCGAGGACGTATTTAAACAAGGCGAATCATTGATTGAATGCCATACCTTACATGCATTAATCAAATTTTAAGTATTCCGAATGACCATATCTACGTTCTTACGATCGAACAAGGAAAACCTAAGCTTCGTTATTAATAATACAGAGGATTCATCGTTTTCTTTTCCCCGTTAAAGAATGACACGGGCACAAATTAAAGAAGAACACGGCTGAAAGATTCGATGCCATCAAAAAGAGCTAAAAACCGCGTGGGAGATAGAAGTTCCTTGTAGTGGGATTATTTGAACGTAATTAAACCGCAAACGAAAATGTTGAAAGAAAAACTTTTTATCGGTTGTTTCAAAGGTTAGCTACATGTAAAAATTCTGGAATAGTGCATAAACCTTAATGATAAAAAATGCACACATTAAGACTAGTACGTGCGGAAAAAGTTGCATCGAAGTTGAAGAATTGGCCGATAATCGCCACAAGTCCCGAATAACCACATCCAGAAATAGATTTCTCACCATGTTCCATATAGGACAGTATTGCTAAATTTCGAGTCGCTAAACCATTTACTTTACGCTCTTTGTCATCGGCAATGCCATTACCGAGGTCGATTGACACTGTCGAATTAACGGACCGAGTCCCGGGGGAGAACTCGGGACGAAGGAAGTGCCAGAAGAGAAGCAACCGTGGAAGAATCTCAAGAACCGAAAAGGCGGGTCAGTGGTCCCAGAAACGATGAAGAGCGGACGAGATGCTGCAAGCGGTTTGATCGATGACGAACTCAAGACACAGATCGGTAGCGAAGAGTCGAGATTTAACCACCCTTCCTCTATTGTGACTCAGCAAATGCGATCGACGGGGGCAATATACACGTTGAATCGAAGAGTCGAACGAGACTCGGGGACGCGTTAATCTCAACAAACGGATTGCTCCTAGAAGATGACCCATTCGCACGCTCAGATACGCAGATACGGTAGAACAGACATCCCGCAAACGTTGTCCAGACTCCGGTCCCAAGTATAAGTGTCCTTCTTCGATGTAAATGGAAGAAGCCGATCAACCTTTAGAGAACAACGTCGGGCAGGGAGCAATGCCACTAGGCCAGCTGCGTACCACCTCTTCCACTGTGGTGCCCCACACCGATCATCGATCCACCACCGCCGATGTCGTCGCGGACGATTTTCCTCTCCTTGTAGTAGATCTCCTCGCTCTCCTTATCACAGAGCAGAAGTACCGCGCCGCCGAACAGAAAGATGGCTGCACCCCATCCGACCCCGTAAGCCCAACCAAATTCCCACATTGGCCGATTACCTGCGAGACAAATGAATCAATCATCATTTCGAACACGCATCTTACGCGTATCTTACGCGCCGACGGTTGTACTACACACTATGTACTCGCTCCAGTGAAATCATTGTACCATCATCATTGTGAATACTACATTTTCCTTAATATTTTTACAATTCCCCCACACGATATTCAAATGAATCATTTGAAATGGAATTTATCGCAATACTGACTTATAACGTTCTCAACATCTCAAATACCTCACGGGTCACGAATAGTTTCAATATCGTATCAGTTTTCCGCTTTAACGTGGCAAGCGTTGAAAGTCTAAATAAAACCATCATTTCTACGATTTTTCAGGCCGATTAACTTGAAATTAAATCAACATTATTTCTAACGTTACAATTAAAAATGTATATTCCCAGAAAGTTTCGTTCTTTCGACAGAAAGAAATACTTATGCGAGCACATCATCAGATACACGTTTTAAATATCATGTCCAATAATTTGTTAATTTTATAACGTTAATGGCCATCTTGTTTTAAAGACAAATGATCAAAATCACGAGAAGACTCGAGGGCTCGCCAAATTCGGCTCCTCAAAAACTTGTTATAAACTTTTAGGTGTCATGACATACTTTATATTTCATTTGAACAACGTGCCAAAGATTAAGCGAAATAGGATAACTTCATTTTCATGAAACTGAATTCAAAGTTGTAATAAATTGTCATGTTTAGTTAATAACATTACGCTATACAAATGTACAATTCATATATTCTCATTTGTGTCGGGAAAATATATTTTTGTAATTACTTTGTTTCGTTTAATTCATTGCTCAAAGCAATGAGTATGTATAAAGGGTGTTAACCCTTTCGTTACGGCAGTCCGCTCCGCCGGAATAATGCCACTGAACGGGGCACCTCGCCGAAAAGTGTGTATATTGCACGTCGGTAAACTAGTGGCGCTGACGTCGGCTATAAACGGCACTCGTACACACAGGTCATCGAATGGATGCTGTCTATATCCGGCGCTCGTAACGAAAGGGTTAATAATATTATTAGAACGTGGTATCATACCAAGATTGAGTTCTGCGGTGAAACAAACTGGATAAATTACCAATGCTATCAATAGGGAGACCACTGTAAGAAATTAAAAATGCAAGTTGAATGTTAAAACATGAATACACGAATTTAAGGTAATGTAAAAACAGAGTAATGATACTTACATGCCAGCCCCATGCAGAACACAGCTAATCTGTAAAACTTGTGCTTGTCCCGATGGTCCTGGGAACGTAACCCAAGACCAGTCAAAATGGTTGCTGCGATATCAGCTATAAGGCAAACCACGCAAAGTGCTGCAGCTGCTCTTATGTAGCCTGTAAAAAAAGGGGATTAAGTATATTTTCGCTTAAAATCATACAAGAAAAAAAGTTTCAGTACACGTAAGAACACAGCTATGTCCGATCATATTTCAGTTGTGTTCTCTTAAATAAAAGTATTAGCAAAGTCTCGTACACATATACAGTGCTAGGTTACACATTACTGATGGATCAATTTTAACACATGGATTTTTTACAAAGGGCATTGGTTGCTACTTAGGTACAAATAGTAAAAATCATATAAAGAGTATCATACGTTACTGCTATGGTAATAATGTTTAGTAAGTTATCTTGTAAACTATCTACATTGATGTACAATTAAATTTAGGTGCTGTATATAAGTTCAGCTTACAGTATTCTTTGAAGATATAAGGCGGAATGAACAATTGGATAATCATCTTACCAACGTCTCTGGCTTGGTAGCATCCCTGTGATTCCATAACATTAAATGGAAGCGGTGTTGATGCACCTTCTTCGATACAGTGAGCGAAGAGTCCTTGCCGCCATCCTGATGCCATTAACCAGTCGGTGGAAGCAAGGCCCATTATCAGTAGCAATATTACTATTACTCCACATATAAATGCGATCACCTGAAATCATCGTAACCAAATGTTACAGAATGATAAAAAGATGTATACCTTTTTAGTGTCTACACAAATAATGCAGCAAGTTCAAATAAATGGCAGTTAGCTGTAATATGAATGCCTTTTTGAAATGTTCAGGATTACATTGTTCTCTTCACTTTTTTTGATATCTATATGCTCACTATTAATGTGCTTAAAAGTTAATCCTTCAAGTAATCCTACAACTCCTTATATATATATATCTGGACAACCTCTTGGTCTTGGTCATAAATTTCTTAGTTGTATTTTTATAATCCAAAAAAAAAGAGCCCAAAAAGTCTCAAAGAATAACTAATTTTTAAAATCACCTAAGAACGGTTGGCCATCCCATAGAACAATAAATAAATTAGTAAATAAATGAAAAAACTAATCAACGGTGTCATCTCCATCTTAAGATGATTACACGTGTGACAATAAATCATAGCGATTCGTAATCTATGCAGTTAAGTTGAGTTCTTCTATATCATCGAGGTACCGTACACACGATAGTTAAATTTCTACAGATCAAACTGCACAGATTTATCATTACACGTGGAGACATTGAAACAGTCAAGAGGCACTGTCCAAAAATATACAAGCAGTAGCGACTCGGAGGAAAATAAAATAAAGAAAAAATAAATAAATAAATAAAAAAATGCAACGACTGTCCGCATGTGACCTGACTTCCCTCAAGAGTTAAAGGGGAATCTTTGCACCTGGGCAATCTCGTTGTCCCCGATGTGATCGTCGGCCACGGTGTACATAATCATCCCGAGAGTCGCGGATTCCTCCTGGAGATTGAGTCGCGCGTAACGATCGCGTATCCCTGTCAGCTTCGCTTCGGGTCACTCAGTCGCTTCGCGTTCTCACCGACCGTTACGGAACGTCGTAGACCTGGCCATGTATTATCCGCGAGGGGTGAGCCGCGAACATGAGGGTTCGTTCTGGACGATACGAAGGACCTGTCAGCCTCGAGCCAACTTCGCCTCTTAACGCCGTTCGGATACTGGTTGCGCGGCCGGACGAGACGATGGGTCGCGAGAAAACGAGGCAACCTGGGCGCGGAGCGCTCAGAGACCCTTGAACCTCCCACTGACACTTGACACGGCCATCTTTAATCGCAGAGAGCTTTCGAGGGGGCTTCACGGGGCATCTCGCGAGGGTGACGGGCGAATCGCCCCGTTTCACTCCCCACCCCGCTCGTCGGGAGACCTATCGCGAGCAGGGTTGGGTAATTTCGCGTTTTTCGAGCATTTTCACGTATATTACGCAAACCATGTAGTGTACCCGAGAAAATCGGAGAAAACCAGTAAATTACATTTTCAATACGAAGGATTTAGCGCATATGTGAACACGTCAACATTTTTAAGGACTAATTAATTTGATGCTTGCGTTTAAAATTCTTTCTACTTAACCCGTTTAATGTCAAATTTGTAATTGGATTTATTATTTTCTATTTAGAAATATAAGAACGTAATATACTTTGTGCTCGCGTAAAATACCACGTATTTTACCTATCCAACCCTGGTTATAAGTGGGAGGATCACGCGCCTATGTAGAGGGACATGCAGTTTCTCTCTTACACCCTCTATTCAGCTCTCACGCCAGTCCGAGGAAAGTTTTCTCGTAGCTCTTCTTCGATTCGGTGGCAATCGAGCTTTTAAAGTGGTATGAAAGGGTCAGCCTACATATATCAAGAAGTCAAATCGATCGTTCAAGTATTTCCCGAAGTGGATGCACCGATTGGTTTCAAATGTTGCCGCGAAAATACAGAGACCCTAATGCAGGTTCTGAAACTCATGAAGTTCCATTTTTTTTTATAAAAAATTTATTGATTTATCATGGGCTAGAACCAACATGGCATGGTCTGTGTATGTTTTCGATGTTTTATGCTTTTTGAACACTTAGAATAAAAAATGAAGAGTTTCAAGTATACCGTACAATGTGAACAAAAATAAGAAATTTCCAGCCTCCACAACCCTGACATTTTTAATCATCTTAGAACTCTTTCTCTGGAATTGTCCGCGAAATATTAAATAAAAAGATTTTGTAAGCAAATATTTCCTACATGCTTTTCATTCTCTTTTAAATTCGATATAATTAAAATACATTTCATAATGTACCAGCCCTCTCAATGTAAATGTATTAAAATCGTAGTGCAGCATACCTTTAATGGCCTAGTGATAGTAACGGTTTCGATAGTAGTTGGTTGAGCCATGGTAACTTTATCGAAGAGTCGGGCTGTAAGAGAAAAAAATAAAAAGATACTAAATTTAGGTGTAAACATAAAATAATTTTACAATATTACCACAAAAACAAGCCCTTAATATGAATCATATATTTAATATTCAAATGATTACAGGTGTTAATACTTAAAAATGAGTACACACAATAGTATGTGAGTATAAACTTTGCAATACTATGGGTCAAATGAAACCGTTAACCTATAACATTATTTTTCAAGATATACTACAATTAATGTCATTCTTATTACTTTACGAATAAATATCATAATTTTAATGCGGTACAATGCATAAGTATAATTAATTCAAACTTCATTCCATAGCATTCTAAGAAAAGAAGGTTGCAAGCTGCAATGAAAGAGATAGCGAATGAGTTGTTAGAGATCTAAATAGAACCACTGGCATATTCTGTACGATTTCTCCCTTAAGATAAAGTTTCAGTGATATTAAATGTTTCATTTTGCTTTTAATTATGCAACAGTCTTTTCTTTTAAGCACAACCCGATTTCCTTTTATAGTAAATAATACTTTCCCACTTACTCAGCGGTTATCGAGTTACTAGGTCAGTACAAACGTGGGTGACATCATTTTCTAACCTCAATAAATAACGTAAAATTGGAATCACTGAAAAGCTTGTAGATAATAATAAAATTAAATGTGTACTGCACGCGGATCAAGAAGCAAACGACGTTAAGAAGAAAAGATTCACAATAAACGTCAGTCCAAACATTTTAAGGTTGGTAATTGTACCTACAAGATTAATGAATGACGTCACAAAGGAATGCGTAATGCGTCAGTTGCTTATGGACTACGTCTCCATCGTACTCCTTAACTTGGGATTTATCAGGTCCTAAGAATATACAGACGGAATCCAAACCAGAGAGAGAGTAAATAAGGGGGAAACACGTAAGAACAATGGTAAGGTAGCGTAGTGTGTTCCAAAATCTTAGCTTCCTGATTGGCTGTCTTGTCTGTTGGCTGGATGCCTTGTTGGCTGCTGATTGGATGATTAGTTATCATTTTAAAAGTTGTGAGGAAAAAAACGGTGCTGACTGTGAAGAAATAAACAGTGAATGATGTACAATATGCCATTATTAGTATAAAGAAGGTTAAAAAATATGGTTTACGTACAAGAGTGGCAAAAAGAAATAAATTAGAGCAAATAGGAAATATGAACCACGTGACCTACCAAAATCAAGAGATTGATAAATTTATCAACGATACACCCTTCCTTTCCGATAATCAGGCTTCCCCCCTTGAACTAAGATGGGACTTTAGGTTTCAACCATATATTCTTACGTTCGTGCGCATACCTAATTATCGATGTAAACTAAACTTAAAGCTCGGTTTCACAACTTGCCTAAGGCCCGATTCCACAACTCGAGTTAACCGAAGTTGAAATTGTTTACACCTGGTTTAAATTTGTTGTAAACCAGTTAAACTCCGATCAACTTGAGTTGCGGAACTGGGCTTTATTCAGTTTTATCTTAACCTATTCGAAAAACCTTCAGTCTTGTATGTACATGATCATTTTAACAAAATTCCGTTAACTGATTCGTCGACATTAGGAGAATATGAAAGGCGCTAAGAAATTTAATCGACATTGATAAAGTAAAATTCATGTATACCCTTTTTGGTGGTAATGTCGTTTTGATTACTCAAGGGGTAACACAAGCCACTGCGTCCCATGAGCGACATTTATATTTATTTTGAAGCCTTTTACAGTTTACGTTGAGAATTGAATAGAGAACTGAAGGGTTCCATATGTCATTTCAGGAAAGTAACAATAATAAGATCTGTGTACAATTTTCTTTTTGTTTTAAAGATAAATAAGGACAAATTTCAAAAATTTCTCCGTAACTTGGAATCTATGCACCGCAAGAAAAAACGGTAAAGGAAGTTTCCATTGCAAATGACGTCCGCTGTCGATCGCCCCGGGTCCCAACTTCCGGTACCTGAACGGACAGGTTTGGTTCTGGTAGGGGGCGTTCGCAACCGGCGCGATGGATTCGCGACCGGATGCCGCGGCGAAACGAGAGATGAGTCGGGAGATTGTTCACGGGCAGGGTGACCTCCGGTCGAGGATACAGACGGCTAATGCACTTGCCACCTGTTACAACTCTGGGCAGCCCGAGAACCGGCGGAAAAAGCGATGAACTCCTCACAAAAACTCCAAAACCCTGTATCTCCTCCGAAAGAAATCGCAGCCACTTGCTCGAGAAATCAATTTAAACGGAATAATCTTTCCCATCCATCTACCGTGGACGCAGTTCGCATCGCGAAAAAAATTCACAAATATCGTTTAACATATTTTACCACCTTCTACCGACAAGTGCAGCAAGCTCGATTTCTATTAACTGCCATTATGATTTTACCAAAAATGGCTGCTTCCAGGTGATCCACCTAAACCTGCAAAGGGGCACAAAAATACAGGTAAAACGGAACATTGAAGAAACACCAGGAAGTCGCCAGATTCTCCGAAGTGGCCCACCTAAAGCTGAAAGGGAACACGAAGGCACAAAACGAATCCATTGGGAAAGCGAGAAAGAGACGGTTATACAAGAGCTAATAAGTTACGAAAGTTTCCATTAAAATCAAGAATATTTCGCAGTGCATCGATCTCGTATAATTGACCCAGCAAAAATGTATTCAATTATACATTACTTGGCGTGACAAAAATCTAATATATTTATCTCACTTAAATGCAGACTCGAGAAAATTTCGCGAAAACGATAGTTCACCGTCTCTCCCCGTCAATCCTGATAAAATACGTATAAAAGTATAGGAGGGACAACGTGGCCAAATAAATGATGATTGTCCGTTCTTTCGAACGGAAGACCATCGTAGTTGCCCTCTTCTTAAGGGGCCGCTTCGGCATATAGCCTCTTCGACTTTTGCAGTCTCTTCGGGCAGAGCCCCCTACGTCTCGAACGCTTGGCAATCTCCTGATTTGTCGGATTAATAAAAGAAAAAAAAAAGTGTCCGCGAGCAGATCTAAAAGCTAGCAAAACGACGACCTGCGATCCGAGGATGCGCAGTCCGAGCGTATCGCACATTTACTCGATTCCCAAGCGCGGTCTAATTAATTTCAGTGCTGAAAGAAAATTTGTACAATCGCGGATATATCACAAGGCGGACATCCTTCGCGCTTTCGGAAGCGCGGACGATGGAAAATTATCCCAGGTTCAGGATCTCCTCCCAAACCTCCAGGAAGAGATCCCGCCCTGGCCCTGCCTGCTTACATCTAGACATTCACTCAAGACAACCGACCTACCTCCCTAGCTATATTTAAAAGAGAAAAGACATTCGTTCCAACACACTCACTCCACGGTTCTCTCTCATTCCGCTCGGGGACAAAAAGCCTAATCCTAGGGACAGCATCCCGGGATGCCTCCGACCCCCGAGCTCAGTTGTCACACTCGTACGTTCCGATTGCCATCGCCGGTTGAACGAAACACAAATTAAACTTTTTTACGGAATCGAAAGGCGGATGGCAATCGGAGGAATTCGCGATGTTACGGTTTACCACGTCTCCTGG